ATTTCCTATGTTTTTTTCTTAAATTGGTCTTAAAAGATCTAAATAAATTCCTTTCAACGTATTTATTCTTTATCAAAATGATAAAGAATAAATACGTTGTAAAAATCAATCCTAGCCAGAAAAGTAAAAAATAACACCATTAATGTATACCCTGCATTTTGAGCGGAGCATAACAAAACTACGATAAAGTATGCAATCATAATGGTAATCATGGTCTTGCGCATGATGGGAACCAAAGCGAATCCTTCTCATGAGTCAGCCCTGCTACGCATCATTAAAACCGAAACAAAAATAAAGAAAATACCAATTGGCAATTTTACAAGCGATTTATAGCAATATAACAATCATATTCATTAGTGATTCATATCTAACATAAAACTTATTCAACGGAGAATAGATTTTTAATTCTTCAATATGTTTAGTATTGTCTGTACATACAGATTATACAAAAGACGTTTCCCATTACTTTTTAATGGCGTAAGATTAAACGGAGTATCAGTATGTGGTACCAACTTGTATATATTTTTGTTGACAAAAATATATACTATACTTTAAAATAAATAAATAATTTTCATTTGCATCACGTCACAGCGGTTATTTTCTTTCGCGCCTATTAATTTGATGTGACGTTTCCATCACACTTGTCAAAAGTATGACGCATGCGCAATAAAATTCGCGCATTACTTGCGTAGTTTTCCAGTCGATCCTTTAACGGAAAGCAATATAATAATTTAATATTTAGTTACACACACACAAAAAAAAAGATTCCATTCGTTAAAACTAATTTACTTAATATTACGGTATGCATAATATATGCACAGATTATAAAACTTCGAGGCATTTTAATAAGCTTAGCTCCGGTACAGTTATTAAAATAAATTAATAAGATTAACAAAATAGCTTTCTATCACAAACCTGTTCGACATATACAGTTTGTCTACAAAATTAAATATTGAAATAACTCTAAGTGCAGAAAACTTCAAGGTAACTTGCCGCCTCAATTATCAAACATAATGATATTTTTCACGCATCACAAGTAGTTAGTGAAGCTAAAAGAATATCTGGAATTATTAACCAGACACAGAAGGTCATGTCTGCGTTTCGTTGTAAACAAAACAATACTAAACACGATCGGAAATTGGCTATAATTTTGGGGACTATTTATGTAAATTAACTGAAAATTGTTTGAAACCTGGGTGTAAAAAGTAGGGTTTCTCTATTATGAAAAGGCCATAGTTTGCTGATTAAGAGCAAACAGAGCCACATTATTATATCCTAAGATTCCAGTTCGTCTAGTGTTTTATTTGACGTAGCAGCTCTTAAAGTTCAAAGTGTTTTTGAATGTTGACATTTTACATGCCTAAGTCAGTCCATCTTTGGCATTGACCTATGATTTAGCTAGTCTCAGGGGGGTTGATTCAACTAGAATATACACGAACACTTAAATATATAAATGTCACCCTCCGTCTAAAACTCAAATTATTTTTATTTCAAGAAAATGTTTTAACTCATGTTGGTTCATCATAAATTGGATGATTAGGTTTGTGCTACGAAAAATTGCAACCGTTGCGTTGAAACAGTATTCTAATTTAACGTGCCTAACATACGTTAACAGACGGATTGACACAACCCACCCTTACTCTACCAAACTGACACATTGTAGAAATTCGTCGTTACATTTCCGCATTTAAGATTTCATTTTAATTATAGGCCAGCCTTGGGGCCACAATTCCTACTGGTGGTAAGTTCTGTGTGAGAACATGCTTGATGCATTTGTAAAATACTGTAGAACTGCTCAAATGTAGATTATGTGTATGAGATTTGTCTTATAAAATAAGAAGACACGTAGTACCGCTACCTTTTGGGATTATTTTAAAAGACTGAGTTGTATGCTTGCGCACATTATTTCATCCTCTATAACTCGTTATTTCAAAATATCAGTGGGTTTAAAGCCTCCCGGAAGCTTAATGTCAGATGACTTTCATATTCGTGGTTTTATAACTACTAGCTATATTTTCAAATAAATATTATTACTGAAATTGACGTCATAAATAAGTTTTCAAATGAAACAAACTCTCGTTGTGGACAGTTTTAGTTCCGAATCTTTATCTGTAGAAAAATCGATTCGATACGAATAAAATCCTTACACGTTCCTTCCATTCGATTTAAGTAGAAAAACATGTAATTGAAACGAAAAAGTGTACGTATAATCGGATTTATGGAATCGATTATTCAAATGTGTAACATAAATATCTCCCGTACATCGAATACTTGTTTTTAAGAATCGATTTTTCGATTATCACCGAGATATCTGGTTGGCCATAGGAAATTTTCCCCCAGTCAATGTATCCAAATGAGATAATGGGATCGAATCGGTCCCAATGCAGCGACAATGAACCGTGGGTCGATTGCACAATCGACACTTGAATAACGGGTTTCGAAACATAACAAGCTCTTCACATCTACGTTACAATATAGTAGGCCCAATTGAAATCTCGCTCGAAAGTAATTACAGCGTATAAGGACGCGGCTACGAAAATCATTATAAACATTAACAGTACATTGGCCTTTGCGAAATAATATAGTTGGATAACATCGATCAATTTTTCGTAAACAGCCTCAGTTTGTGTAACATGAATTGGACCACGACAAAATGGCGATAAAAAAATGTCTGGGTCAATCTAGATGGTCACGCTTTAGTCTTTATAGCGTTGAAATTCTGCGCGCGCAGGTAACGTACGGATTAATGGCGGTCGGGATTTTAGTATTAATTCTACAGTGAGTGCATATTAGGAATCGTGTCACACCTCTCGAATAATTGTGAATGATCAATAAGCATGGGGTAAGACTAACAAGTAAATAATACCATAGAAGAAATGTAAGGAAAGTAAGATTTGAAGAGTTATAAAAAGCTTTTCTTTCAAACATTCGTTACTTGGTTTTCAAAAGATAATGGCTAAATCCTGCAAGTATTTTACAATTGGTCAATAGAAAAAATATTGGTATTTTCAGGTAGATACATTTGATATTTTCAGAATTTACTATAAATATCAGTACTGTTAAGTAAAAAGCCACACTTAGATTTGTTTAATACGAAAGCAATTTGAGGCTAAAGACTAGAAATCTTAATTGGAAAAGGGTAGACATGATATTGAAGATCGGTAGATAAATTCTGATTTCGTGTTCCAAACAGTTAAAAGTACAATGCAGAAGTTTAAAGAAAAAATAATTACACTTCATCACAATGCACCGACGGTTCTCGAAACATCCGTATATCCTGTGGAAGATTACTTATTTCATGGGAACTACGTGTTAAGCTTTTTGCGTCGCTAATGAGTTGGCGGTAAATATAATAAAACGGTGTATACATAATAGAATTGTCTCATTTTCCGTGATTCACGTGAACGATCGCTAGATATGACATGGCGAGCTTACTGTGACATGATAAGTGCTTAATTAAGCCATCAGTCATGAGTAGCATTAATACTTAAGTACATATTATCCTTCAAATTACGTATAAAATCAATCAAACGGTTTCAAAATGGCGGACATGAAGTACTTTTATTTTGAAGTAATTAACAAATACATTGAAAATGTTTTTTAGTTATTGCTAAAGGGTGACTATAGTAATATGTACGACGAACGGAGGCAAATAAGTATATAAGTGAATCACAATATATCATCGCAATATGTTTTTTTTCGTTTGTTGTGTTCTATAAAAATACATGGATTAATCTTCTGAAATTCGTAATTAATATTCCAGTTTTACGCTGGTAAGCTCAAGAGGATTTTAATCTAGATGGAGACTATAGTATTCTAATCTTTCGTAATACTAAAATTCGCGATCCATCTAATTATCTACACGTTTCGTAAAGGATTAATAAATTACATGCATTCTATTGATAGTTAATATTATAATGACATTAGCCGAGGCCTTGTGGCTGACGAAACCTTATAAGCTGTAAGTCTTGCGGGGAGAGCATGTTGTAACGGTAATCTATCTCACACACATGTTTAACTTTAAGAGCATCGATCAATAAAGGGAATGGAAAATAACGAATTGAGAAATTCACTAACTGCGAACGCAGCGACTTGAAGTGAGTCGTCGTTTCCGAAAGGACTTTTAACAATTCTGAACAATTTCATTATTAAATCTGTAGAATCTTGTTACAAGATTTACATTTTAGCTACAAGCAATCTAGGCTTTCTAATACTTATTATTACATCGTTATTAGCGAGTTCTTTTAATAAGTAACGTAACAAATTAAAGTAACACAAATTGAATTAAGAGTAAGAATACTAATCTCCTTGCAGGCAACGTTTTATTATATTGAAAAATAAATTATAATAAAGTTAATTTTTTCTTAGTTGTAGGTCCTTTTCGTTTCTATACAGACCAGAAAACATGTTTTGTGTCGCAATTATAACAAAACTAACAAGGCCTACAAACCAGGTTATCAATTTGAAAACCACTGCGACACGTTTGGACCTAATTGTAGAGCATTTGACAATACAGCAAATCACCGCGAAGGTTTCATATTTGAATAATAACAAGATTTTTAACCTAGCTTTCTATAGCTCTAGTACGAGTTAGTTACCGAAAATAAAATAATTAGTAAGAATTCAGTTTAATTAATAAATAAGTCGGTTGAAGCTGGATAAATTGTAGAAGCTAAAATTTCAGTGTGATATTTATTTTAATTACGTTTATTTAAAAGTTCAAAATGGAAAATGACCAATTGTCTATTCAGACAACTTTCTCTTGCTTTAATAGAAACCATAGACACGCAGATATTACGCGACGTGATCGTTAATTACTTATACTAGGGGTATACCACTACAGATTATTTGCCCGATCAATAAACAATAAACCGTTGACCACAGATAAGCCACACATATCAATGTCAAGGGCCGGTCGAGTTACATAATTATTGACACTGGGTGGTGTCACGTTTGTAGCCATGTCTGTGAGATCGCCGGCACATTTTTTGATTGGCGCAATGAGTAGCATGCGCTGGGCTTCAATTGGAAGATTGCTTCATGTGTGGGAAGATATGTCCCGAGCTAAGGATATCCTTCCAGAAAATAACTCAAACAATCAAATTAATCAAACGCTTTCCGCTGGTAGTGGAATGTTACAGTCTGGAAACGAAGCAATAGGCGTAAAATCCTCGATTCCTTTACATCCCAATAGAACGAATCTATGTCTGTTCTAATGATCGATTTTGAGGTCGCCGGTCGGCTAATAATCAAAGCGTCTTGAATTAAATCCCAACAGAAGTCCAATATGTTTCTAATACATTTATATATTTTTTTAAATCTGTATATCAAATGGGTGGTAGGTATTTCATCCGGTTTACGAACCACGGCCCACAGATGAAAAAACGTTAAGTCCCATCGCGCTTGGGCTTCAGTCTGTGGATTTCCGAAAATCTAAATAGGCAGTGCATCTTTAGATTTAGGTTATATATCTATGTTATTTCACCCCAGCCACATAAATCTACCTATCTAGTTGAACTCATATCGTTGTCTCGTTTAATCATAGAGCTACGAAGATATGAAGCAATGCGTGATTTTAATGTAATGATCTAGATATTGGAGGCAATGGCCGACTCTACAAACCAGTTTTGCGAACTTGAATTTCTTTTTTATTCATTAGAGCAGATGCAGCATCGTTGAAACCAATATGCATTTTACGTAACCAGAAATCATGTGACTCGTCTTTATTACTTTTTATTCCAAATTCACTAAACAGACCAGTTTTTTTATAACACCAATATTATATTATAAAGACTGACCGCCTCTGTACCGTAATGGTTAAACGTATTGCCTAGCATTGCGTTGAGCGCGAGAGGTCCTGGGTTCGAATCCCAGGGAAACGAAAAAAAATATTTCGGTCGGGCAGGGCACAGACGTTTGATCAACTACTTGCCCGTTAAAAGAACGGATCAATGAAACGGACACAGAAATATGTTCGCCCCATGCCCCACGAAGAGGAAACGGGCGTTCACTGTTTTATAGTATAAAGTTATACTAACATATATGTGACTGCTAGAGACAAAGTCGCGTTAACAATTTTCGGTCACTGTGCTCTTGTACATTAACATTTTTAAACTATAAAAAGATAAATAAGTCAAGTCATAAAATTGCAGTTAGGCTACTCTGCCTCTAGCGGCCTCATAAATTATACATATAGTTATACTAAAGAAATCGTGTTAACACAATCAATGTTTCCGATATTATTGTAAAGAAATTGATTGAAATCGTTCTTAACTTACAACAGTCTTTCAATAAAGGAATTTCAGTAACTGTAAGAGCAATGTGGTTATACAAATAATTGAAAAGCTACGAACAAATTCAACCCCAGTTACGAAAGATTGTAAAAAAGCCAATAGGACTAGGTTATGTACGCAAACAAGTTAAGCGAGTCTTACAACTTAAGATAACTTATGAAACTTATTACGTGTTGATCTTGAAATAATTACGAAGATGTATTAAGATTACTACATTATTTTTTTAATGTTACACAATACATTATTTATATATCTACATGCATAATTAGACGATCATGTAGTCAGAATCGTATTTGATTAATTAATTTCCGAGTAATATTGTCATTTTTAATCTATACCTTGAAATTTGGGCGAGAAATTTGTCTTAGTATACGATTTTACGATAGCAAAATGTTTTCTATTTTTTATTTAGCTCACTAAAAAACAACACGTCTTTGAATAGCGAATTTTAAGTGTTGTCAATAGATTTTGCAAGTGACGAATTCACAATATTTCGGGTATTACTTGAAATAAATTAACAAATATATTGCGCGTTTTAAACAGAACAATATTACGAATTTCATGTACGTCATGGTAACCATTACTATGACGTAAATATCAAGATAATACGTTATCGATTGTTAGCTAAATTGATCCATAGTTTCGGAAGCACTCAGGTTTGAGTCATGTACTGAATACTGATTGGTACGTAAGAAAATTTTTCGATCACCAACTCGGAAAATTAGAGTAAAATAAAGATCATGCTGTTTGCTGCACCCATATAGAGTAGATATTGTTTTCAGTGGGCTATCATCTCAAGCTAAAAATATATAAATTTATTTCACTAGTATAGCAATAACAAAGACATTTTTAAAACTAAATGCGCTTTAAGACCCGTTTCAAACCCGTCTCGTTTAATACAAATTGCATTGAACCGTCAGTGAATCATTCGAAAGATAGCATCTGAATTACGGATTCTATTCAATTAGTCCATTAAAATTCAACGGGTGTTGTGTCGACGTCTCGCCGGATCATCCACATGACGAACGCACGCATCCTGTGTACTTTAGAGGACTAGGGACTGTCTATAATGCTAGCTTTAAACTTCATCGATATCACTATTATGAAAATCTAGTATATAAGTCTCTATCCTCGCCCTAAAACGACAAGCACAAACAACAAAGTATTTGGTAGTGGCTATAAATATTGAATTTATTATAACAGTTTCTATTGCTTATCATATTTTATTTTTGCTGCACTTAGGTAATAGTAGTTTAAAGCACAGTAAATTTTATATATATATAAATTATGAAACCAAACTTACAGACCCATAGTTTCCACGTGTGTTTTGCTTATTCTAATCTTAAATTTCGTTCATCCTTTCGCCATCCCTACTCTATATTATCTTATCAAATATCGATAAAAAGGACCACGAGAATTTAATGAGGCTATAATTATCGCGAAGCAGATTCTATTTACGGAGTGGCGCCCGACCACATTCCAACAGGACTTGGGATACTTAATGCTGTACTGGACACGGTTTATAAATATCCCTAGTGTCTATGACCCATAACTCGTTTATGCAACATATCTAAGTTTTATTTATCGCATTAAAAGCTATACTAGCATTGCTATAGACATTAAAAAGTCTAAATAACTTTCCTAACCTTAGGTTATTACCCACTTTCACAAACAACCGACGTCCGGCTCAGTCAACTTTTAATTCAATTGAACTAGGCACTCGCCCCCAGCATGTCGGGCCCTTACATTATCCAGCCTTAATTGGAAAATTGCTATGAACGTTAAGATCGGAGGCGGCGCGTAACATTGGCCTTACCGCATTCACGATTCGCAGACGTGCGTTGCAATTTTACGTAGATTTTATATAGATAAAGCGAATTCCACTAATAACTGTTATTACTTGCAGGATGAAGGTGCTGATAATCTGTCTGGCCTTAGTGGCTGCGAGCCTCGCTATGCCCGTCGCGGAAGAGAAACAAGAAACTCCAGTCACACAAGCAGCCGTGGCGGAAGTTAAATCTGGAGAGGACAAAGTTCAGAACGATGCACAACCAGCTCCGGAAGAAAAGAAAGCCGACCCCGAACCTGCAAAAGAGGAGAGCAAACCAGCCGAAGTAGAAGCCAAAAACGCAGCCGCACCTATTGAGGCAGCTGTAGATCCTCAACCAGAAATAAAGGAAGAAGCAAAAGAAGAAGTCAAGAAGGAAGAAATTCCAGAAGTAAAATCTGCAGAGCCTGTTAAAGAAGCCGAACAGAAAACAGAAGAAGCACAGCCAGAAGAAGCTAAACCAGAACAAAAAAGTGAGACCCCCGAAGTAAAACCTGAAGTGGCATCAAATCCAGAAGAATCTCAAGCAAAAGTGGAAGAAGTTAAAGAACCGGCTGTTAAGGCCGCAGTTGCTGAAGGTTTCGATGTAGTAAGCGCAGTTAAAAGTCCTGCAGCTGTTGCCGATGATATCGTAGATGCCGCTGCCATTAACCCCATTTCTGAATCACAGCCAGCCGTAGCCCCTAAAATTTCTGAGCCCGAAGAGAAGAAAGATGAGAAACCAGCTCCTGAATCACCTGCCGCTAAAAGCGGAGACGTCGCAGAAAGCGCACCAGCTGAACCTAAAGCCGAGGAAAAGAAAGAAGAACCTTCAGAAAAGTCATCTGCTCCCGTTTCCCCCGTTGAACCAAAGTCCGGAGACGCTGGTGTAGTCGCCGATGAATCACAACGCGTTGTTCGCGATGCCGCAGATGAAGCTAAGCCCGAAGTACCGGCAGCAGAAACAAAATCAGCAGACGTTCCCGTTCCCGAGGAAAAACCCGCAGTGCCAGAAGTAGCTGTTAAAGCGGCAGAGCCAATTGTAGAATCGAAGGACGAGAGCCAGAAAGTTGAAGAGAAGAAAGAAGATGCTCCACAAGTCAAGGCAGCTGACGCACCCGTAGAACCAGCGGAGTCTAGCGATGCGAAGCCGCAAGTGAAAGAGGGTGACTTACCCCTAGGCGACGGACCAGCTAAGAGCTCCGAGGAGAGTGCAGAAAGCGGCGAGAGCAAGGAGAAAGATTCAGCGGAGGAGAGCGGCGAGAAAACTGAAAAGTCCAGCGCTACCTCCTCTTAGATAAAGAAAAGTGGCGGTGGGCGTGTGTCGACAACGGAGCGTTCTCGACACGCGCCCTTTGCCAAAGGCGGCGCCCTGAGCTGGACGCAGTGCGTTGTGATGGTTCCCCGAATGAGCCGGCAAAAGCCGAATATCGCGTGAATGTCAGACTAGTTAGAGACTTATTTAAATAGTGGAAACTAAAGAATTACCTACGTTGTAATTATTTTCAAATAAATTATCGAATTTCCGGTACTATAAGTAATAAATAAATACGTTTTTTACACTATATTTCATTTCTTTCCTATCAAATCAACGCGTTAATGATAATATAATTTAAATAAAACACTTTAACGGTTTAAAATATTCTCGATATATGTATATTAATTGTGCTGCAAAGCAACCGAAACGTCCTAATTAAAATAACTTTAACTAATACATATCGCGTTTTAAACCATTAGTGTTTTATTTTAATGTGCACTACTCACGTAAACTACACAGTATTTAGATATTATTATTGTTATTTCACATATCAAAATACACTATTCACCTACTGTGTATCGAATTCCCAGACGTGAATTTAAAAATTGTTTCGCAAACACTAGTAAAGTTTCTATGAAATCCAATTAATATGTTTAATATTAAACTATATTTTTCAATAAGAGTAAATTATAATTAAATTTTTATTTTGCTGCAAATACAATGAGAAAGAACAGAACTGTTTGTTTGACTTCAATTGCTAGTGTCCAAAACTACTAGACTGATTTATGTAATGGTGGTGTAACTTTTGAGATATCAATAACATTGATAGTGAATTGGGTTCGTTTTAATATCTGAAAGAACGCGGCTAGTGCGAATATAAGAAAACGTATAAAATCTGCGAACATATTTCTGTGCCCGTTTTACAAAATATATTTAGAGCCAAATATCTGATCAGTGTTAATTGCCCATCGAAAGTAATTTATTTCTTTCCCGGGATTTGAATCCAAGTCATACTTGACGCGATTCTAGACAACACGTTTAACCATTAAGCTACAGAGTCAAGTATAAGACAATATGGTATTAACTTAAGTACAACTGCAGTTTACTATGCTTAAATAGATATAACTTTGGTAACTTACCTCTCCAGTCAGCATTCTGCAAGTCACCACTCCGAGTGACCACCAATCAACAGCGTGTCCATACGCTTCACGCTGTAAGATTTCCGGAGCTGGAAACGAATACTTCAGATATTTATACAAATAAATAAAAGGTTAACTGTTTGTAATATTAAATAGATTACAACTAAATGCATAGCATAATATACAAACGTAAAAAAATTTCGTCATTAGTCTATTTAATGTTATTAATCTTTGAAACAATTGCCACTTAAATAAAACACTTTAAACGGTTTACAACGCGAAATATTAGTTACTTATTTTTTAATTTCCCCCTGACCTCAGCTATTACAAAGCACCTGTGGTCAAAACATTGGGCCGTAGTTAAATTAAATATAAGTGTACTAATATATATCGCACTTTAAACCGTTAAAAGTGTTTGATTTAAATGTGTACTACTCGAGTAAACTACGAATATCCATATTTAAACTTTCACAAGTAGCTTTTTTATAATACAACTGATTCAAAGATATAAAGTTAGCCCAAAAAACAATAAGCAATATCAAATTTAGTACTATACTATGTGCACTGTAGCATGGTAGGGGACGGTCTTTTTTTAAATTTTATTTGTAAACTAAAACAGCCTGGAAGAATTTAAGTTGCTATAGTTATTATTAGGTTATGGTCAGATTACATTCAGCAATGAACAAAAACTTGGAAGAGAAACACCATAGGGAATGCATACGTACTATATATTTTAACAGTACAAAAAACAATGTCAAACATTTAAAAATAGAAAATCTACGTAATTAGCTAATAATATAACAATGGTTTATTATTATTTTATAACTAATATGGTACAGATGAAAAAATAAGTCAGATTTTGTTAATCGCAGCAACTATCAAGTGTGGAACGTTACATAAACTGTCATTCCATGCTACAGCGCACAGTGTATAGTAATCAATAAAGAAAACAAACATTCATACTTCTTGTGCTCCGCGCATACATTCCTCCATTCACACAATTAACTACAACATACGAATTAAGCTAATTAAAATATAGGAAAAATAATAATTACGCCATGGTAGGAATCGCTGCATGTCGTTGAGCACACGAAGTTTTCTTCTCCTGATATCCCAAAGTCATCGATATTTGTTCGTATGAGAATTGAAAATATTTAATAAATATAAGTTATAAGCAAGTGTTAAGGTTTAAATTAGATTGCGCGAGAAGTGCACGTATCTATAGGTTAAGAAGATTCGACGATAACGTGTAGCTCTCGGTTGCTCAATTGTTTGGAGCAACAGCGCGGAACGCAGAGGATGCGGGTTCGAGTCCTGTCCGAGTCGTAATTATTTTCTTATTTATAATCGATTTTTAAATTATTCATTCAAATTTGGCTTCAATAATTTTCAGTTTAATATGTTTACAATTATTTCTCTTATTTGTTGTTTAGTTTCTAAATCAAATTTAGTATGGTGTATAATTTAAACATTACATCCTAAAATTAACTGCGTTAAGCGCGAAAGGTCCTGAGTTCGAATCCCGTGGAAACAATAGATTGTTTCGGGCAGGGAACAGTCTGATCAACTTGCCTGTAGATGTTACCGATTATTGAAACAGACACATATACGGCTTTCTCTATGACGTTATTATAAATACGTTGATACGATAACGTATCGGCGAAGGACGAAAAAAATAGTTAACTATCAAGTAATAGAATGATAAATATCTCAAGCGTGCGTGGAATGACATTATTCAAATTGTTATTCTCTTACTTCTACCATCTTCTATTAAAAGGGAAGATTTCGTTTATGAAAGTTGGCATCCATATCTTAAACGATTTCATATAATTATTATGTTGTCATAATAAATAGATAAAATCGGTCACTTTTCGGTCACTGCGCTATTGTAGATTAACTTTTATATTCTACGACAATATAAATAAGTCAAGTCATAAAATCTGCAGTTAAGCTACTCTGCCTCTAGCGGCCTCAATGTTACTCTTTAGTTTTTCTTTACCGACCGCGTACCGACATCAACAAATGAAATAACCAAAAAAATAGTTTATCATTTATTCACATATTTATATAAATTATCACAAGACTAATGTTCCTGCTTTTGAACTGATACATCACAACATATATCCTCGTACCATACATAAAATAACAGCCATACATACTAATAACATCTTTCAAGTAAGGCCATAGCTACGTGCGTTTATACATCGTGCTAAGTAAATCTTAAACGAGGCACACAATCAAGGTATTTCTAGAATAAAATATATTGTCTCATCACCAAATACTTTCGATCGTAAGGTACTGATTGATATGGTCTCAATTACCGATTGTATGAACATTAATCAACAGTTAAGACTCTTTAAAAAATCTTAGTCAGGCCTTCAAACGTCAAAACGAAAATTTCTATAAAGAAATAAACATTTCGAAGGCGGCTATACGAGACAGAATTTCAAAACATAGATCCAATTTCACCAAGTACATTGATTCCCAAAATTTATCAACCGTTAACCCGTATAAGACCATAAGGTAACCGAGACTAAATATGTGAACACAGTTTTAGCTATTTTAAAGAGAATAATCACTAGAAAAATATAGCAGGTCGTATGGATTTCCTATAATTTATTTATATAAGTCAAAAAAACATCGATTTAATAATAGTCCAATAACCGATAACGATTTTCGTAGGAGAAGTTCCCTTGAGCATGAAAGGGTTAAACTAGAGATTGATATATGGAGTAAAAATTAAACGTATAAATGCGTTCGAATACGTACTTTTGGAGGAAATTGGGTCATTATGATCGAGATATAACGCCATTCATTAAAATCTTAACTCCGTTGATTACGGCTAAATGTCAAATTAGCCGCGTTGGTGAAATTGGACCTAAGTTTTAGTTCCTTATATAAACTAAAACATTTTCTTATATCAGTGTATTTGTCGTTTGATTTTAATAAAGTCACAAGTACCGAGTCTTAAATATTGTTTAACATACAGATATTCGGGTTAAAGTTAAAATTAACCTGTTCCATATTAATCAACTGTTTTATACATAAAGTTTAGTGTGTAGAGAGCTATATGTTCAAAATATTGCTTTACCTATATCCATAATGCAAGTGAGATTTAAGACTATGACAAAAACATCTTTTAGGCGGTATTCGACTTATTACATCTTAAAAGTACTTGCTCATCGTAACAGGTCCATAACTACTTATAGATATAAAATGATCAATAAAGGCATTCTGGAATCTTTGACGTGCTTTTTATGGATAAAACAGTGATCACTTGAACATAAAAACGCTACAAAGTCAAAATGTCATTCTGAAAGGGAGTTTAAGCATAGATAATATAATTTTCATAGACTGAGTCTGTTTTTTTAATTGTTCGAAGCCATTCATGAAATTGTCAACGCAAGATACAGCCTTATCTTTGGTGACAATGGTTACATAGAGTTTAATAAATATAGACAAACATAACCTCATTCAAAGCCGCGTTATAAGTTGTACACATCTTGTCTCTGTAAGTAGATTATTTTATCATTATAGTAGATGCGTATTAAAAACTCAGACTAATATTATGGACAACTTATAAAAACATTTTGAATAAGGTTACAGTCACTACAAAAAACTTTTTGACAGACGATAAAAGGTTTTTATGTAATCGAGTTATTCGTCTGAAGTAACATCTCCCGATGACGTCACCCACTCGTGTCGAGAACGATTTCTCAATTACGACGCGACGGTCGAACTCGGAAGCACCGATTTAACAAAATGGTTGTAAAAGAGTTAAGTGATCGCTTAGACTAGGTTCCTCAAGGGAAATTTCAATAGTCCAATGACAAAGATTTCACAATTAACTTTACGAATCTTTTGTAGTGACATAGACAAGAGACTTAATTGAGATGAGAAACTACAGCTAGTCACAAAATGAGGTAGGAAAGTAAATAAGTTTATGGATGGATTCATTACAATGGAGATAGTGCATACACATCAGGATGTTAAGAACCAATGCTTGCCACACTTACAAGAAAACTTATTTTATGAAAGATTTGTTTTAGAAAAGACGGTAGTTTGATTTAAGGTTACACAATATAGCAAGTGTGAAATTTTTATGTCTCGTACAATGTAATTTTACAATCTAAATGGATTTGTGGTGTAAAATGTTGACAAATATTGCAACTGTATACTACTTTAAAATTTTGATCGACTACAAAGCTATTTATGAATTGAAATAACTGACGAGTGTAAAGTGAGTATGGTATTCCTCATAAGCCTTGCTAGCACCAGTTCTTGTATCGTAGCTTAGGACATAATGAATATAAGGAGACCGGTAGTGTTTTGTATATCTGGAAATCTAAACGAGAACACGATTTGTCTGAATAATTCATATGTATCTTAAATATATTTAAAACCGTTTAAGTTCTATTTTCGCCACACAAATATAGAAATTAAATCAAACGGTTGACTCCCGAATTGTTTAAAAACTCGTTAAAAATTATCTGATAGTAGGCAGCGAGCTTACAAGTACACTAGCTAAAATAAAAAATACGAGTTAATAATCTAAAAAGAAAACACTAATTACATCTATAATTAGAAGTTTTCACAGTTGGGAACACATTTTTTTTTTTAATTTTCTCTTTTCCTATTCTATATCCATGCACCTTTATTACTCTAATTATATATCACACTGAATTTAAAACCTATGCAATGAAACTACAATATACATTTCTAAGCAGAACATTAGTATTATAAAGCTCTCAAAATTCCAACCGTTCGAAGATTAATTTGAATGAGAAAATCTTTAAAATATAATCTGTACACTTTTATATACAATTAATATAGCTTTCATATAATCTATGCTTTAGCCGTTATATTGGTTCTTAGTTTAACTACAGCCATTTTTACAAAGCTATCTCGATAAAAATAAAAATACAAACGTCTAATCTACATCACACGGGGTGTTACTGTACCCGAATATTAAAAATTATCTTCTATATTTAAGATCTTGTCGAAATTAAAATTACTTCCTGTATTTACATTATAAAATATACTTTATAAAAATATTACTAAGTATTCAAATAGGCACGATGTAACGGCCTAGTCAGAAGGTTCACGAAATCTTAAAAAAATCGCTTTGTTACAAAAGAAACTATATTATAACAGAATTCTTTAACAGAAGAAAGGTCTCCACGCTTCTGTGGTCTACAAATTATACTCTATGGTCCTATATTAGTAAAATAAAATAATAAAAGAATGGACACGTCAACCAGCTTCTACAGACTATAGTTAAAACTTAAAACAGTACTACAGACCATACGTCAATGAGAACTAAAAATTGTGTATTTGATGACTAAGTACAATTAAAATAAATAAAACATTGTTCACTAGATTATTATGCACAAATCAATTGCACGTTTCATATATCACTCAGATAGATAGATATCACAAAAATCAATCAATTAATCGCGTCTTTTACAACTCAAGTCCGCCATTGTTATATTCCGTGGCAAAAATGCGCACGCGCATCTACATAACAAGGAATATAAATTAAAAATTTTAACATTGACTTTTAAATCCTTGGATTCGAAATTAGAACAAATATATTTAGGCAATGCAGATAATGAGATTTATTATTTATTGTTTAACACCACCTTTCGCCTTCGGCACTCCCCTTAATTTTTCACATCCCCGGTATTCCCCTAGCACTCTATCACACGTACGCCGAAAATATCTCGTTAAAGACAATTTCGTCAAAAGCTGCCAAAGCGTATCACAAAGCTAGCGTATCCCGTATAAGCTTCCGCACTGTGTTGCTGACCGTATTCGACTCGGTCTCTGGCAATTTATACTTTATCGCAAAGAGATAAGGCTGAATATCTGGGTACGACGTATCAAAGATCAAATCCGCGTCCGACCGGTTCGGCATTTTGGGAACGTACTCGTGACGATTGATTATTTCCGTAATGAAGACGATTTGGTCCTGCAGCATTTCTACGACGCTTTCGTGCTTGTGCATGTCTTGGTCGCCGCCGGACTCGGTCAGTTCGCAGCTGACGCGCCAAATCTCCCAAGGCACCGGTACGTAGGTGGGTAGGAACCATCGGGTCCGGTGTTTCTGGAAGAACTCGAGGCTAATTTCGCCCTTCGCTGGCGACGGCCGGCCGTCTATTGCGCGCAGGAGCTTCGAGAATATCGATATCTCGCGTTTGAGCTTGCGCACGAGCGTCTCGGACGCGCAGCAGACATAAGTGAAGTCTATGAAGTCGCAGTCCACGTCCACGTAGTTGACAGTCCTGATGGAGTAGCTCTCCTCGTTATTGTACGTGAACTTGCCACTGGACCGGTGGAATAGAACCGTGTGGAATATACTGGCGACAACTTCGTCCACTTGGCTGCCGTCCATGGCGATTTCGAAGTTGAAATCGCGGGCGTTCATCTTGGCGTCACTGGCGAGTCATGGCGGACATAATCGCGGGCGTGCGGACGGGTTATGCGAGGTCGGATCGGAGGGTATAGCGAACGTATGAGGTTGTGTATTGCGCCATTTCAATATTTATAACGAGTCAAGTCCCACACTGAAATGGAAAATGACCGTTTAGATTAAGCTCGGTATCGTAAAGGATAATTAATATTTATTTTATAAAAATACTAGCTGTGCCCGCGACTTCGTCCGCGTGGAATAGTGACTTGGAATACATTTTTTAATTATTTAGGCTGTTTATTAATTTTTGTAAGGGCTCATTTAAGGCAGCCAATCTATTTTGTCACTCCTACTCAAACTGCCACTCTCATTCCTACATTCACTCTCATTCTCACTCCCACCCTATCCCTAAAAAGCCAAAGAAGAAAGTTTCATTGTTCTAGCTTCAAAAACCACGAATTTCCATACAAACTTTCATCCCCTTTTTCAACTCCTATTTGGCATTAAAAGCCATATAGCCTATGTCCTTTCTCAGGCTCTAAAATATCTGTGTATCAAATTTCATTTAAATCAGTTCAGTAGTTTCGGAGTTAAAGACAGACAGACAGAGTTACTTTCGCATTTATAATATTAGTATAGATACAGATACTAACATACATACCAGGCATGTTTTAAAATAATTTATTTCACATTACCTATAGAAAGTATAAATACTTTCTTCAAAGTGTGTAGCATGTTATTAAAATGAAATTTCGTTCTTTCGTCTACCATAGAATGTAGTTCTACTACGAGTGGAATTTATCTATGGTATTGTTTTTACTGTGAGTTTTACTTTAGTTATTGTAAAAATAATGGTTTAATACTGTCAAGGTTATAAAAACCACGCTTAGATTTTATTACGTTGAAAAGTCGTAATATCAATTAGGACATAAATTTTTCTAAAACTACGTAAATTCAGTTTTGACATGGATTATAAGCAATTACCTGTTCGCTAAGTTATACTTAGATATAGTTAAACCCGGCCCAATTGGATGTAATATTATTAAATATAACTCACCCATATATTGTAGAGTACCACACAGCGTGGTCGTTCTTGAACCGATAGACAACCACTTGGATAGGCCGAAGTCTATCAGCTTAATATGATAATCAGCGTCGAGCAGTATATTCTCCGGTTTCAAATCGCGGAAAATTATTCCCGCATTGTGTAGGAAATCTGTGAAATATAATATCACAATTATGTACACATGTGAATCAAAATTTTGAAGTATGTTCCATACGAGAGTTATCATATATTAGATCCTTATTTGTGTTGAGTAATATTTTGAAACGTTACCGTCTGTAGTTTACGCGAGTAAACATTTAAATAAAACACTTTCAATGGTTGAAAACGAAATAAAAATGAATTATTTTGCATTCTAAACGAAATCATTTAACCATTGTACTTAAACTTTCAATCCCAAACCGTTTAAAAAAAAATTACAAGTACACTTAAAAACTTAAAGATTAAGGCATTACATATAAATTACAATCATATTTCCAATGAATAAAATTTATTTAAAACTATTTCTTGATTGAAGGCATTAATGTGAAGTCCAGTCTATGCTAATATTAAGCTAGAGTTTGTTTTGAACGCGCGAACGACTGTTTCGAATCTAACAATTGTTTGTTGTTTGGACCCATTTATCGAGGAAGGCTTTAAGCTGCGATCAATAGGAGCGGAGAAACAAAGGAAAATTAAAAGGGGAAATTATTCCTCTTTGAGGGCATCCGTTACGTTCTCTGCGAAAACGATTCAAGAAACAAAAATATATATGAATGAATAATCTAAAAATATCACCGTGTATCTGCTTAAGATTAAGGGTCTCAGCACACATATGGGATCGGAAAGGGATCGTAACCGTAACGCCTTTCGCCTCGCTGTCAACCAGGCGTCAACCTACCGTACGCACGTAACGAAAGCGTATCAGCAGCGCCTGTACGTCAACTCGGCTACGGCTAGGCGACACCGCGCTTACGCCTCGTCGCCCGAAAGATATTGGGTACACAATATGAATAAAGCAAGGAGGACGCAAGCGCGGGGACGGAGAGACGTAAGCGCGGGGACGATGAGCCGTAAGCGCGGGGACGATGAGCCGTAAGCGCGGGGACGATGAGCCGTAAGCGCGGGGACGATGAGCCGTAAGCGCGGGAATAGCAAGTTCCGAGGCGAGGCGATTACGTTACGATTCCGATTAGTGTGCGTTGCAGTAGGGAGTTTAATACAAACCATTCTGAACGGCTCGAGGCGTTACGGTTACGATCCCTTTCCGATCCCATACGTGTGCTGAGACCTTAACTCACAGACGCGGACGACACAGACTCGTTGGGTAACAGCTATAATCAATAAAGCGGAGATGGTTTGCCCAAAATTACCACCATTTAACCCACGGACGATGTCGGGCACAGGTAATATTTTAATATTTTATTATTTATAATCATTGACAGATTTACCTATCGTTAGTATTCCTTAGATTTCTATAAGAATCGTAATTAGGAATGTTTTTGAACATAGAAAAAACTCACCAATAGCTATCGCAATTTCAGCAACGAAAACTCTCACAACCTCCTCCGGTAACTTCCTCCACTTGTCTAGGAGAGCTAACAGCTCGCCACCAGGAATGTATTCTGAAACTGCATTTACAAATGAGGTCATTAACCCTTATCATTAATTATATCACGTCATTATTATCACCAAACGAGGAAACAAAATGTATATTCTTAGATGTCGTTTAAGTCGCCAACTGTATACAAAGGTGAACAGTGTCAGCTTTAAATACTGTCTATAGTTTACGCGAGTAGTACACATTTAAATGAAACACTTTAACGGTTTAAAACGTTTAACTAATATATCGCGTTTTAAACCGTTAAAGTGTTTTATTTAAAAGTGTCAGCTTTTCTTTAAACTGAAAGATTATAAGATTGGGGATCGCACTTAGTGGCGTGTTAGTGAAACAGTTCATATTAAATCAGAAGATAGTAATGTTATTATTTTTTGTATTGTAGTTTATTATAAATTCCATTGTATTTGTAACTGTAAACCCTTATTTCTGGCTGTCCCTCTTAGTGCGCTGCAACTCTGTTTTTGCAGCAGCAGCTGAATGATGCACTACCACAACAACGATAATGTATAGAGTTTATTGTTAGCCATTTATTCGTTTTCTTATATCATTGTATAATTTATGTGTATTAAACAGAAAGAGACAAGTGTATAATACCATTTCATTGATTAAATATTATTGCATGTTAACGAACTGTTATGAATCTGCTGTATCTTATAGTTAATCATTAATTTAATCAGTTCACACAAAACTACGAAAATATACTTAATTATTTTATCTTAAATGATAAAAGAATGACTAATTCTGGGTGAAGGAATCGTCCAATCTTCTTATCTTTATATTGTAACATAGTCCGTGAGACAAACAAACATGGTTTAATGGCAGAAATGTTTGGCGAATAATTAACGGGTCGTGGGTTAGATCCAACATGTCTGTAAACGATTTATATATTTTTTAAACATGCTGTGTTTGGTCTGGAATTCTGGAAGTTAAAGGGGTGATAGGTATATCGGAATTAAGTCCGGGTTACCAACCTCCGTCAATAGATGACGCCCCACGTTTATCCCCTCTATCATAAAAAATATCATTTTAGCTCTATGAAAATTCAAATAGATATTATGCAGGCACTATTAAATCAATAATAAATAACTTAATTCGATGTATGCTATAAAACTGTATTACAGTCCGGTGATAAAGACTTTAATTAAATGAATAGCGGTAATTGTGTCACAGATTAAAAACAGCGCAGCAGTCGTAAAAGAATGTCAACGCACTAAAATCACGGCGTCCCAAAGAGGACATTAGCCGCTTTAGACGAAAATAATCGCTAAGACATTTTTTTCGCAATAATAAAATTAACAAATAAAAACGTGTATCGACCGTATCCTTTGATTCAATTATCCTTATAACTTCTTCAGTTATCGTGAACATATTAAAATCTATTTAGTGCTTCAGCTCAACCAAATAAAATTGTACTCCTCAAATTTAACAACTTATTACAAATACGTCACTATCACTACATAATATAAAATAAGTCGCCTTTTCTGCCTATGTACGCTTGAATCTTTTAACTACGCAATGGATTTTGAGTCAAGACGAAGGTTTGTATACAAAGTTCAAAGTCTTCCTGTAGTGTATTTAGTATCACCATTGCACCCGAGCAAAGGCGGAGCGGGTTGCTAGTAGTATATAAAAAAGCGTAAGTACAGGTAAGGTATGTTTTTTTTTGGGGATGGATTCCCCGGAGACCAGGACCTATTACGCTTAAAGCAATGGAAAAAGCCAGAGGAGGCACAGTTCTAAGGACCTATCTCCATAAAAAAATTGGATACAACTTATGCTTACATTCGAAATTTAAATTTTATCATTGCATAATCATGTTTCTTTTTCCAATAAACACTGACAAAGCATAAATAACGATTTTCGTAAGACAATCCTCGTTATCAAAATATCTTTAACAAAAAATAGCTTTGAATGAAAAAACGGAATAAATGTTTTATGTATTTTAGCGAGAGTTATTTTGCTTCACTCCACTTGTTAAAAGTTTTAATTGCTCTCCCTCTCTCTCTCATTTTAAGATTGATAGTATAATCTAAATAGTATTTATAGATATATCTTCTATTTTTCTCTTTTCTATTAAAATGCAACCGTGGTCTCCCCGTGAGTCGGACCCGAAACGTCGGGCCGTAGTTAATAATTTTCAAATAAGTTTAACAAATACATTTCACTTTTTAAACCGTCAAAGTATTTTATTTAAATATGTAGGTACTACTCGAGTTAACTACAGACAGTATTTATTTTTTTCTAAATTTTATTTATAATTTACAATCTACCGTCAAAATTGATAATAACGAAACTACCGTCTACTTTAACACGTCACGATTATGGTTTTCGAAGTAAGCCAACAAAACGTAACACCAGATTCGACAATGACCTTCAATTGAATAAAACCACAATCATAATCGCATCCACAATGACCCAATGACACGTGCGACTAATGTGACCTCGTTTTAAAATCGACGAGTGATGCGCCCACGCTTCACTTTTGAGCTACCACTCAAAAATTGGCACATAAAAAAGAGATAATCTGCTTTATGGTATAATCTACTAATATTCAATTTTTAAAATTACGTAAGTAAACACTTAGGCTAGGTAAAACAATAAAGATGATATTACGTAAAACTCAACCCTTCATGTTAACGGACAGATAAGTTAAGACTAACATCAGAAAGACATGAATATGTCAAAAAAAGTCTTCAATCAGTAGATCTGGTTTTTGTTAATGCATATTATTATAATACAATAAAAACCAGGTAATGTTATATTCCTTAATACGATTAAGTAAGAATAATTGTGTAAATATGTTTAAAAATCATTAAAATTTAATATTAAGTGTAGATCAAAAATCAAATTTTATTTAAAAAAAAAATCGACTCGGGCACGATCTGAACCGGCATCGTCAGCGTTCCGTGCTGTTGTCCTACCGAGTAACTCTTTGATATTTAATTTATTTTTGATTTTTAATCTATATAGTGCCATCATGTGCTAATACATGTAAAAAATATTAAAGTTCAAAACTTAAGATTTGAAATAAACACTCGTTCTATACTTCTATTGTATATTTACCTAAACAAACATACAAAATAATCTTGTATGTTTATAGTTTTTTTTAATGTTTATATACGTGTCTATGTCTAGGTGCTATCAGGGTTGATAACGTTGGAGCAATTACCTCCGATAGTAGGTCAACGCGATACAAAAACAATATGGGAATTTTCGTCCGCAATCTCGTTGATAAGGATTTTATCAATGATTTAAATATCTACTTTACGTTCTTTAATCGGTAACAGCGTTTTGAAATAAGAATTAAGAGAAAGCTTAAACGTACGAACTTAAGTTTAGTATTTTAAAACGTCAAAAAGATGTCAAGCCACGTTTTATAGAATTCATTAAAAATAATTACTATCTTAAGTATAATTACCTTTTGCTAACGTGATAGGAAACCAGTCTTTAAAAATAATACATAATATTTGTCAGTGCAACTATAGAGTACATGATGATGAGATCATCGTACAGACAAAAAACTGCGCCTGATTCGACAAGAAAAAATTTCCATTGGTGTTTTTTGTCGTTAGAAAAGAATTAAAAAACATTTTAAAATGAATATATAAATCTAACACAGCAAGATTTTTGCTACATGCGCACACGCAATAAGGATACGATCAGCAGATAAATTTTTTAAGAGCGTTACTTAAGCAGCACACAATTTGGAGTCCCGACATCGCCTTAATAAGCAGTAAGCAGTGTATATGTTATATTTTGAAATTGTTGGTGAATATAAATCTTAAAGATATTGTCCTATACTCTGCCCACTATATTTAGCGTAAGATAAACAGTTCAACATTCACAATGTGACTATCACGGGGTCCCTGTGTGACAGCTTGTAATGAACTTTCATCTAGTAAATAACAAATAGGGGATAATTAGTTAGGACAAACATTAAGTATATAGGCAATGAGACATATATTGTTCGTTATCTAAAACATATATGTACTATAAAACACTTTAACGGTTTAAATAATATTATATAACCTAGAATTTCGTCCAAGCCACAATTGGCGAATTCAAAAGTCACGTCAGTCAAGTTTTACTGCTACTACATTTAACTAATGTTAAAAAACGCCAAAACCTGGAGTTTTAAATCAAAAAAACTCACCTATATAAAGTCTTTTCTTCGTCTGCCAACGTGAGACAGCGCCAGCGATGAAAGTATGGTGTCCAACTATAGCTTGTATTTTCGCTTCCTCTTTAACTTGGACCACAGCTCTTTCGTGAACCAACTGAAATAAACAGTTTTTATATACATAAGTACATTATTTACACCAAAGACGTAAATCTTCATATTATAATTAAGGATTATACTTATGTATTAATAATTTAAACAAATACTAAATCTTTTAATGAAATGTTTTAAGGTGTTTTTTTTTAAACTATACCTACATATTTTAATTTTAGTATTTTCAACACTGTTAGGTATAATTTTAATTGAAATATTATCAATTTTTATTTGCATGTAAGTAGGCTTTTAAATATCTCTTCGTTAATAATAAGAAACTTTTAATTAGATGTTATACAAGAATTGATCGATATTTAGAATATTAAGAACTTATGTATACATTATTGTTCCATTAATTTATTTAACACAATGACAATTAAAATCAAACTTAATGTAACACCTTCAACGGTTGTCAACGCTACGTAACAGACAGTATAGTAGTTTTAATTATCATCGGAATAATAGAAATTCGAATACAAACAACTCTATTACAACTGTGCAAACAATTGACAGACCAATAATTATAGGAGTAATCTTGCGTTACTTCAAAGGTCAAAAAGCTTATACCACTTCTTAGAAGTGAATTGTTACTCTATGCATTGTGACGTATTATATGTTCGAAGGGGTTGCCTATAAATATTCAACATGTACTAGACAATCAGCCATGCATAAACAAAACAAAAAGTCCCCTTTACACCTTGTACGCAACAGCGGTAAATATCAATTCTATGTAAAGTGCTTCCCCTTTTAGCTACTAATTTTGCGGGACCCTATTTCTTTGAAATAGATGCAGTTGTTTAGTAGAAAATAAGATGTCTGTTGCTTTAAAAGCCAATCAATATCAGTCCAGCCGATTTTAAGACTAACCCTACCAATAAAGGATAATTTTTACCAAAAATCAAAGATACCATTTAATTCCTTTGTATAGATGCCAAAGTTAAAGGTGCCAAAGAGATTATCAGTAATCCTTCAAAATATGCTAATAACCCAAAAACGTTTGGACAAAGCGTTGGTAATGAATGGATCAAATTAATTATCTTAATGTCATTGGGCATTGACCTAGTGTCCTACTTATTTTGGTATATTTATAATCTGTATTACAGAGTAATTCTTAATGGCGGCTTAGAATAATTTTAAGAGGTATAAGTAAAGTTGTTACTAGTCCAAGGTGCACAGGATGACAGACAAGCTTCTAAACACCACTTATTTTCAAAGAGAGAGAGAACACACCTTGAAACAATGACTAAATGAATAAAATGAAATCTTTCTGCAACCAACATGTCTGTATTTTAATATACAGAGAGTTAACTTACATTTCAACAAAAAAGAAATGCAAACAGACTATATAAACCTTTCCTGATGGTCAGGTAAAAATAAGGTCCTTTATTTTGGTTTCAACCCCAGGTCAATTTAGGTAAACAATGGTATATGCATTGTAATATAAAATGCTACATAATACATATATTCAAAATTTACAGACAAAACAATATGTCTGAAACAAGCCCTTATTATCATACAAATGTAAAATGGTAATAAACAAAAATAAACCATTTCTGGAAGCAATGTTTAATGTTACAGGAATGAGGAAATATTTGGCAGCGTACCAATTTTAAGCAATACATAAAAATAGGTCAAGGGTGAACCTTTGTTTATCTTGTTCAGAGATAAATAGAGCAACTAGCTTTTTAAACAGGCCTACAAGAGGATATTGTAAACAAAAACTACAATTAAAAAGTAGTTTTGCTTTTGTGACATCTCTCTTTTGTTATTTTTTTGCTAAAATTTAAAGTTACCTGACAAACAATGAACCTGCCTATATATTAATTCCTGTCTTTTGTGGACATCCATTTGTCATCTCGTATTAAACAAATTGAGGTGGCTATTCTAAACTCAAGGTGTAACAAAAGAGATAAAAATGAGACTTAGCTACCTTCACTGGCTTTGTTGAAACAATAACATCAACAATCAATAGGTTTGTTCTCTTAGGACATTTAAGTCCTAGCCCTAAGTCATCTCTCATGCCGACAGACATGCAATTATGCTACAAGTATAATGTTCTAACTGACCTGCGCTTTATTCAAAACTTTCAGAGCATATTCTTTATCTTCAGTAACTCTCTTTGCTTTAAATACTTCTCCGAATGCACCTTTAGCTATTGTTTCAACTACTTCAAAGTCTTTTGTCTGGAGATCAGTTGTTATTGGAAATTCTGGGAGGAATATTGACTCTTGGTGTGAGACTGGCCAAGCAGTTTTACTTGCCTCTAGTGGATTATTTAATGTTGATTCATGCCATCTGAAATATTTAAAGTATTATCTCTTCTCTTAACCCTAATATGGTATAATTGTATTTCGACCAGTCTTAAGTACTAGCAGACAGCAGATAAGTACTAGCAGAGTAAAAATCATATTTTTGAGAACTGGAATTTATATGACTTAAGAAATAATATTAAATATATTTTAAGATACAAATTCCAGTTTAAATTTATCCTAATATTTGTATTTTGTTGTACATACATCAAAAATAGAACCAATGTAGTTTTGAGAATGTAAAATATTACAGACAGTTTTAATAGTTTTATTTCATTAGGCTATCTACTAGGGCTTAAGTGCTTCAAGTTTAAATACCATGCTATCAAAATCAAACCTCCCAACATGATGATGATGAAACATTATTAAAGAATGACACTTCATCGTAACGATAACTTACGCGGCCAACGATTAAATTCACACGTGAGAATTGCCTAATAAACGAAATTTATAAAACAAACCTTCGTCTAGAAACTCGAGACCAAGGCCGCGAAGTGCTGTATACTGAATGGTCGCTACTTATGCTAACGAAGGAGCGCCCGCTGAGGTTACCGACGAAATGCGACAAGCTGAACTGTACCCAAACAAAACATCACTTTGCAAAACACAACACAGCAGACTTGTTGAGTAAATTACAAGGAAGCAACATTACTTTTCTAGCAACAAAGCATTTGTTATGTTACGTATGCTTTCAGCTGTGAATGACATTTGCAACTTTTCGTTTGGTCGCAGCGCTGAGCGCATATTACCTGACTCGTAAATGCTTGGCCGTCGCGAGTTGTGTGAACGGATCTCTTTTTTCTTTCTTCTGTGTTCTTTGTTAGGAAGTTTCCCATTAAATTAATAAACCTAAAGAAATGGGTTCAATAATCAAATTAATAACTAAATACGATGAACTAGTTTGTATGATGATTATTTATTTTCTAATTTCTATTGTATGATTTTCGCAGTTAATGATATCGACTGGATTATATTTATTCAATATGATAGTTGGCACTTGACAATGTCAATAATATTATATGAATGTTGGCAATTGACTATATTAATAAATGAAGCGTGATACCTTATGTTTTGTATAAAATACATATATTTGTGAAGTGTTTTTAACAAAATTTGCAACTGTACGTATTTCATAAAATATTTTTAGGCTTCATCATTACATTCTTACTCTATTTTTTTTGAATATTCTAGTGTATAAAATGTAATTATTATCTGTGATACAAAAACTTTATGTCACCTATCAATATATGCTTTATCAATACTCATAACATAACAGATTATAAATAAGATATATTAATGATAATAAAAAATAATTACATTACTTATTCACGGTACTGTTGTGATTTGGAATTTATTTACAGTACACGAATTTTTGGACATTTGAAGAATACTCATTATCCCTTGTTGAGTGTTTACTAGTCCAAAACAAATTTTATTTACATCAAATGATTCATATAATTACCTTGTCATTACGGAAAAATAGTTAATACGGTACTACATAATTGCTATATACAGACTAAAAAGAGAAGGTATTTTTTATCAGTGATAAACTGTTTGAAACTTTTTTGCTCAACTTGATATAACCTACAAATAGGTAATATTTCCATCTTTTAATAACAGTTTCTTGTTATCTGCTTGCGTTTACACACATTACTATCGCGGCACAACACAGCAAAGGCAGGTGATTTTAGTTGGTTTTATATTATCAATGTTCAAAGTACATTTCAGTACATAAATATAAAGTATTTGTGTTGGCAGGGAAGCTTAATTTGTAATTAGAGTTAGATAATATGGATCTGTATATTCATGTAGATTAATTTTAATGGATATATTTACTATTGTTTCCAAAAGTATTGTAATGTATAGCAATGTATATACAGTCGCAATAGTTGTTATTTTACTATCAATTACCTTATCCCATTACTTTATCAAAATGAACATCAATTCAGGTAGGTATAAGCACAACAAACTTGTTTTGTTATTTAGTATAAATGACTAATGTTTAACTGTTTTTAGAACAAATGGCTTCTAACGGATTATTATTCATTTCTAATGCAGCAAAAACCTATAGATTGTGTTTGAAATCATCAAGATTGGTAAAAAATATTCTTTATGTAAAGTATGTGGGAGCAGAGAACAACTTATCAATAATAAACAAGCAGATAGTTGATGTTTACTCACAGGTATATCTTTATTTATAAATTTATGTTACATTATATGTCATACAATCAGTAACAACTTATGGCAAAGTTCTGTATTTTGATCTGAAAAACATCTATGGTCTAAAACTAAAGAATTTATTATTTGTCACGACTTTCATGTGTTATACAATAATACATTTCTAAAATATTTTTCATAGGACTCAATAAAATTACTCATAAAAGATTATAAAAGTGTTTTGCATGTTAGATATAAACTATTATATCATTTTACTACTGCTATAAGGTACTAACTGGTTGTAGCTATTAGTATTAAATTATTCTCTCTTATCATGGTTAAATGCGTTATCCAGCATTGCGATAAGGGCAGAAGGTCCTAGGTTCGAATCCCAGGAACATAATAATTGGTTACAGTGCTGCAGGGCACAGAAGTCTGAATATTTACTTGCCTGTATCTATCAGTGAAATGGACAAACAAATGTGTTCAGTAGATTTTACTTAAATTATTTACCATGTTCTTTCCAGACTGCAATAAAAGCTCCCAATTTAGATATAAGATTAATGTTAAAACCTATGGAAGGTGTCCAGACAATCAATACGAATCATGTCATTGACTTAATTCTATGTGATAGTAGTATAGTGAATGAGGATTTAAAGAAATCTGTGATAAATGTAAAGAAAGGATGTCAATTACAAAATATTGGTAAGTAACATCTTTCATTGCCTACTGGTTTATTGGTAAAGTTTTAGACCCGGAAATAATACTTAATAAGTTATTGTTGGCAATAATAGGCAAATCGCCAACCAAATTTTCTTAAAATATTTTGTCTATCTAGATAATAAAGCAAAGTTGACTTTTAACATAAATATAGTTATACATAATGTTAAATGATATATACATTTCAGATGGTGAAGAAAATAATGGAAAAGCAGCAGAGGAAGATGTGAAAACCTATGAATATGTAGCCCTAGGTGGCACCTTTGACCGTTTGCACAATGGTCACAAAATACTTCTGTCACAAGCTGCCTTAAGATCAACCAAACATGTAACAGTTGGAGTTACTGATGTTAATATGATTCAATGTACGTAGCAACTGACTCTTCTTCTCTTCCTATATTGACTTTGAGTTTATTTAAGCTTCGCTGAAAGATATTTATTATTAAACAAGTTAAATAAAATGTCATAGACATATCTTAGATTTAGCCTACATAAATATGCTGTTTTAAAAGAATTTGAAGACGTTAAATTCTATATAACCAGCTTAGTAGTGTATATGTTACTCCTAAACAAACAAACTGAGAGACAGATTTAAACAATTATGTTCCAACATCTATTATGATTATTAACACTTACAATTAAGGCTAATGTATCTGGTTTCATATAAAATGTTTGTGTTACATATATTTTAGCAAAACTACTATGGGAGTTAATTGAACCAGTTGAAGAAAGGGTTGAAGCTGTCAAAGATTTCCTAACTGACGTCAAGCCTGATCTGGAATACAACGTGCTGCCTATTCAAGATCTTTATGGTCCAACGAAGGATGATCCCAGATTTCAGGTTTGTAAAACACTTTTATATCAATAGATAAACTCATACACTTACACCCAATAAATTATATAGATAAAATTAAATTTTTGTAAAATTATTTCTTAGCTAGCTTGTTTTAAAACTTTTATGAAATTGTGAAATTTTTTAATATGGAAGTTAACATAGGCTTAATTATTTCCTAGATGATCGTACTAAGTGAAGAAACACAAAAAGGTGGTGTGAAAATTAATGAGAAAAGAAAAGAGAATGGTCTACAACAGTTAGATATGCACATAATTGCTCTTGCTCGTGATGAAGAGCATTCTGCCGAAGAAGAAGAAAAATTGAGCTCTAGCAACACCAGGATGAGGTTACTTGGTACCTTGATTCGACCACCTCAGGTATTTGATATTTGTTTTTATAATTGAAGTTTTTTAACAGCCTATATCTGAAAAGTATTATGATAATTTATTATGCAAATAGAATTACAAATAGGTTTGGAAGAACTTAGCTTACCTTTAGCACAATAAAAAATACACTTGGGTTTTCGGCAATTCGGCCGTCGTAATTAAGAAATGTTTCTCGACAATTCGCCGTCACGACGGGCGACATCGCCTTATAAATAATACAAGTGCTTAAACACCTTCAAGTTTTGCTATATTGTTTTAGAAATATAAATTACTAAATACTTTAATTTGATTTTATTAACAGTATCTATTAATTTTAAAACTCTTTTAGCCAAATCCAAACATTCCAGATTCACCATATGTCATCGGTCTTACCGGCGGGATTGCTAGTGGTAAAACTAATATTACTGAAAAGCTCAAGTAAGTTTTCATAACTCCTAGGTGACTATGTAATATTTTCTTGATATGGCCACACTATGTCAAGAACAAACTCGTCTTTCTAGAATCCAACTAAGATCTTTCACTACTGAAAACTTTAATATTTCTCACATTAACGTTAAGGTTGAAATTACACTGCGCGAGAGGTACATGTATCAATAACTTGAAAAATTCGACAATGTGGTGTAGGACTCGGTAACTCAATTGGTAGAGCAACAGCACGACACGCTGACGATGCCGGTTCTAGTCCTGCTCTAGTCGAAAATAAAAAGAGTTATATTCGATGCGTATCACTATACAATATTATTCTAATTCTAATAAATAAATAAGTTTAAAAATATCATTAAATTTAATCTAAAAAAATATTGCTTGAACAATTTCTTTAATGACAAGGATGCCTGGCAGTAATATGAATTCTTAGCATAACAATTCATAAATGTATTAGTTTATAAGTCATGTTTAAAAAAGCCAGACTGAGTTTCTTGTGTGTTCTTCTCGGTCATGTTGCTCTTTCTAACACTGTAGAATCACGACAGATAGACAGGCAAACATTTTTATGACGAATCTAAATAACTTTTGCAATTTTAAAGAGAATAAAGTATATTTTATTTATTTTAATATTTTTTCAGACAAAAGGGAGCTGCTGTAGTGAATTGTGATCTTATTGCGCACGAGTTGTACAAGCCAGACATGCCGTTGAACAGAACTCTAGCAGCAACATTTGGCAATGACATTATCACTGAGGCCGGGGAAGTGGATAGAAGGAAGTTAGGTCAGATTGTTTTTAGTGATAAGGTGAGTAACAGCAAAGTACCACTTACAACATAGATTGACTGCCTTAAATGCACTCTTACATTAATGAATAAACAGCCTAAATAATTAAAAATTCAACCCCAAGTCACTATTTCAAACGGACGAAGTCGCGGGCACAGCTAGTTGTGAATAATTCTTTAACCACAGCTATTTTTAAATATATTACCAATTACAAAACCTTTCAGAATCAATTGGATAAGCTGAATAAAACGGTGTGGCCATTCATAATCGAAGAGGCTCGCAATAGAATCAAACTACTAGGAGAGCAGGGCTACAAGGTAGTGGTCATGGAAGCAGCTGTAATGGTTCGAGCCAAGTGGTTCCTCAACTGCCACCAGTTATGGGCCGTCATAGTTCCGCCGAAAGAGGTACTTTTCAATTTATCAATGTTAACGGGATTAAATTAAAAAATATGAATTGTTTTTAAGAGAGCATGAAAAAGCTATCAAGTTTAATAGTGTTTTGATTTCAGTCTGTGGATTTCCGAATATCTTGATTAGATGTTATATGGGGGGTTTTTTTACCCCCCCCCCCACTTCCCGCGGGGGGGGGGGGGGGCCCCCCCCCCCCCCCAAAAAAAAAAATTTTTAAAAAAAAAAAAATTTTATTTAAAAAAAAAAAAATTTTTTTATTTTTTTTTTTTAAATATTTTTTTTTTTCGCCCCGGGGGGGGGGGGGGGGGGGCCCGGCGGGGGGCCGGGGGGGGGGGGCGCAAAAACACCCAAAAGGCGGGGTTTTTTATTTAGATGTGTACTACTCGCGTAAACTATAGACAGTATCTAGCCATACATTTCTATAATGGCAGGACCAACGACGATGACGTGTAGGACACGGTAGCTCAATTGATTGAAGCAATAGCGCAACGCTATCTTTTCATGTCCTGCCCGTGTGAAAAAAAACAATTATTAGTCTATTTTTAATTTATACAGTGCCCACGTGATAAATATAAAGTTTTCAAATAAGTTTTTTTAGGCTATACGGCGAATACAAGAGAGGAACAACCTAACCGAGGAGGAAGCGAGACAGCGAGTGGATGCTCAGCCCACCAACGCGGAGCAGGTGGCGCAAGCGAACGTGGTCTTCAGCCCATACAGAAGTTACGAATTTACGCAGCAACAGATCGATCGGGCCTGGGCGCAGTTGCAGCGGTATCTCCAATAATTATCTATTTTAAAAAAATGTTTGAGACATAGTTTGCGAATGCGGTTTTATTTAAAATGATATGAAAGAATCTAATAATATATAAACTTATATAAATTATTTAAACTTACTATTTATTTATTTATTATTACAACAATTAAAACGGCAATAGCCAGTTACATTAATTGGAGAAAATGTTTTGCACATCGTTAATTCAAACATGATTTTTATAACGGTCTTTTTTTTCACACAATGAATCAAAAAAATGCAAAAGACTGGTTTAGTTGAGTGTTACATTAAATAAAAGTTTCGACGGTTTCAAACGCAAATTGTATGTTAAGCTGTAGTCTATCGCGCCTGTTGTGAAGTAACGAAGCATCGTGTCACGGTTGGATATAGATAAATTAATATTTTTTTGTACTTTGGTGTTCTGGGTTTGATTATTTTATGTGATTTAATATATGATAAACTATCTATAGATGACAATAATCCATCAAATTGAAAAACAAAATGGCTGTATTTATTATATTAAATAACAATAATAATGGAAATAGAGTCTGTAAAGGTGGGTATAAACCATGTTATCATGTTACTAACGACTATATAAATACTTAACTAAACAAAAAAAAACTCGCGAACAACAGTCTGTCATATAAAATACTGTCTATAGTTTACGCGAGTAGTACACATTTAAATAAAACACTTTAACGGTTTAAAACGAGATATATTAGTTAAACTTATTTGAAAATGATATTTAACTTCGGCCCGACGTTTCGGATGCTTTGCAGCAGCCGTGGTCACGGGGAGACTAAAGATGGAGGATGTCTCTGACGTCAAAGTAAAAATTGCTACGGTAGCGCCCCATCTGTTCCGTCGAAGTTGGTATTTGGCGAAACTGGCCGGGTCCTTACAGAATTGGATAGAATCCTAATATATCGCGTTTTAAACCGTTAAAGTGTATTATTTAAACAGTCTGTATTTGATCTATATCAATAAGTTTACATTGAAATAAAATACGATTAACGGTGTAAAATGCGAAATGTATAATTAACAAGTTGCGCTAGCGTAGCAGTTTTTACTTTGACATTAGTGACACCCCCCATCTTCAGTCCCCCGTGACCACGGCTGCTACAATTCATCCGAAACTTTGGACGTAGTTAAAATATATGGTAAAATCTTTTATTTTTCGCGTTTTAAACCGTTAAAGTTTTCTTAAAAATTTAAATAAAAGGGTTCCAACTTCTTGTATTCATTATTATTTAATATTACGGAACCCTTAAGAATCGACACAAAACCTATATAAAGTGTGTGAAAATTTGTTTTATATGGTAAAGAACATTTGTATTGGTTTTCGGACAAAAAAGAATGAGACACAATTTTGTATGTGCCTATAATGTCAGTATAATATTTTGAGTAACGCCATCAATTTAGTAGTTAATCACTACATAATGACATATTTTGGGATAATGTTTGATAAATATATATTATCTGTTATTGAAGATGAATTTTATTTTTAACATGAAAGTCATGTTCCTTCGGTTTCCATTCTGTATACTTACTATAATCATATAACCACAAATAATTGTATTCTTGGCTGGTTTAAACATTAATTGTACACGAATTTAATAATCTCTTTTTATCACGATTAAAAAGCCTACATATAAATTGAATATATTACAAATTAACGCCTCCGTGGCTGAGTAGTGAGACGCATCGCCTAGCGTTTGTTTAAGGCAAGTTCGTTCAACCATTTGTCTGTAAAAAAAACCGTTCAGTGAAACGGATATATATTTGTTAATGCCAAGATTTGCCATTTTAGAGGTGATTTGAATCCAATGAGCGAAAAGAAATTTTTCGTAGATTAGTTGATCCATACTTATATAAAAAGCTGATGAGTTTGTTTGAACGCGCTAATCTCAGAAAGTACGGGTTTGAATTGAAGACATATTTTTGTGTTGGTTAGAGTATTTATCGCGGCCTATAAAACATCGCCCTATCACTAATACAAGCTAAGACACAACGGGATATGAAAAAAAAATTCAAAATTATATATCATTATGGTTTTTCGAGGCGTACGCTGCAAAAACGATTCAAGATACTCACAGAATATGTATGAGAGAACAATTCCTCTTTAAATGATATACAAAAAAGTCCGCGACGCTATATGTCTATCTTTTAAGAACTTGCAAGAACGACGGAAAGGGACGCGACCGACGTCGTGGGTAATAGCTTAAGTTTATAAAGAAGGGTTTGCAAAATCGAATTTGCCCAAAATAAATATTAGGCTAGCTAGCATAAATATAACTTAGCTTCATTATATATACATACTAGTCGACTCAAACGTTGTTTTACTATATCCATTATTTCAATAGAAATTTTTGATAGGGAGAAGTTAGATACTAATTATAAGTGTGTGGGCTAAGCAGATAAAAAATTATAGATTTTTTTTTTAACCCGGTACAGCCTTGTAGGAGTATATTCCCTACAAACCGAGGGGAGACTTGTAAAAAAATCAATTACTTCATAGACATCACATTATTTTGAATTATTAATATCTCTGAAACATAAATGTGATTTAGACCACATTATCCTGCTATCTTACTTATCAATCTAATGTAATCAGTGTTTTATATCTAAGCCCGAAAATCTACAAGTTTCAGATTTCTTCGATGTACACTACTGGTCTGTCCTCTCAAGTGGCACACATTGAATGAACAGTTTAAAACATACATATAACATACATTTTTTTATTAATGTTAACATTTGAAAATAGTTATGAATAACTTAGCAATATTTCTAGTAATTATATTAAAGTTAATTAATTATGGAACTTGTTATATCGTACTAAAGTCGACGCAAGATGTTAAAATCAATTTATTGGTAAGTTTCACTAGTAAATGTAATTCGCACTGATGAACATAGAGATTAAAATCTAAGATCCACCATACTTCTTCAGTACTGGCTGGTGAACCACTAAGTACCACCTCTATATTATTGATCATTACAAGGAGCCACACTTGGTCGTGTTACCCTTAAAAAAAATTCAAATGCAGAACATATTTTAAATTTGGCTCACCCTGGGTTCAAACCCTAGATTTCGTAATCTGCAGTCATACTTATCACTGGACCAACGAGACATTTAGTCTAAGCAGGCAGTAATAACATTGTTCATACATTAAGGTGTACAATTGTTACAAAACACATTTTTTTTATTTAATTTATCTTCAGGCTCATATAATAAACAACAACCTCAAAGACAACGGACGTCAAACATTCCTCTTCGTAGGAATCTTCCCTGACGAGGTCTATGCAAAACTGAAGCACCTACCCTTTACCTTCTCTATAACTAACATCCACGAAATGGACGAACAAATAGAAGACATAGTTCCGTACCCCTCCAACACTATTGCTCTCAACTGCCATACATTGAAAGACTTCGAAGAGGCCATGTTTAAAATCGTTACTTTACCATACTGGCACCCTCTTGCAAACATCATCCTATTATACCACTCAGAATACAACACCGACACATTTGCGAAGATGTTCTATGCGTTTTGGTATTTTAAAGCTATTAACGCTATAATACTACACTACAATGATGAGAAACAAGAAATATATCTATCTCATTTTAGTCCTTATATTAGTGAATACTATAAACTTCAAAGTACATACGGTTGCTGGACCGTTAAGAAGATAACTATGCCGATCAGTAGTTTGGATGGCTTGACTTGTGAAACTGGCTGTCACAATGTAACAGTTAATTCAAAACTCCGGAGCAATAACCTGGGAACCTGTCTCGGGTTCAGCACTATTACTCTCAACTATCGAAACATAGAGGAAGTTAAACATCATAATTTATTCGAAGACAAAAGTGCTAACTTCCATAAATACCCTATGGCCGCTTTTGCCATAAAAATAGACCCATTCCTTGATATAAGATCAAACAACGGCTCATATACTCTTCACCACAGAGATGGAAAAATTTGGAACACAATATCTGGTCTAATGAATTTCACCATAGATATATCTATGAACGAACCGCTGTGGAAGCACGACTTCGATTACATTATGAACATGCAGGAGTTTGTGGCCTTCACGCAGCGGAAGAAGGATTTGGTTCTGTTACCCCTTTACCAATTTGACGTGATGGTTGTGGAGTTAGACAATACAGTGCCCATAGAGGACAGTGGGGTATGCTTCATGGCGCACCGTGCCGGCTTCGAAACCGTCGTATTCGATTTTAAACTGTTCAAAAGCAATTTGAAGTTGATTGGACAATTTTTCTTCTGTTTCTTGTTTACCTGGCTGGCATATATCATCTTTAACGTAGAACAGGCAAGACGTATTACTTTCGATCAGGTAGGGAAAGATCTAGTTAACTCGTTCAGAACCATTCTGTCCATGGGTCCCCATAAACCGCCTAAACGCGGTTCCTTCAGGATATTCCTTGGCATCGCCATCTGGAGTTTCTTTGTCATAAATTTTTCATCGCAGGCGGCGATAATTTCGTTCTTCTCCGTCTATAAGAAGGGGAGAGAGACAGACACGTTCGAAGATATCTTGGAGAAAGATTATGTGATTGAGGGCATATCTTCTCCCGATGTGGTGCTGCCGGATACGGAGGAAAAATTCAGAAGGATCAATAGCAAGACCGTCGCCGTCCAGAATATGTTTATCTGTCCTAATCGGATGAAAAACGATAGCAGGAGATTTTGCTTGGTGGATTGTGCTTTAGGAAGGTTCATGGAGCGTAATATGTTGAACGATAGAGGGCAGCAATATCTGCATATTGCACGACAAGACAGAATCCACAGCCACTACTTGCAAATGATTATGCACAAGCATTCGGTTATGACAGAGAGGTTCAACAGATACATGCAGTGGATATTGGAGGCTGGATTAGTCAATAAATGGATAGATTACAGATTCAATGAGATTAAGGAAGAGGCACCAGTTAAAGCGATAGCGATGGACGATTTGAAAGGAATCTTTCAAGGATACTGCTTGCTCCTATCGATGTGTTGCGGTGTGTTTTTGATAGAAATCGGACTAGGGCTTCTTCGTTGGTGCCGATATAAATGTAACAAAGAGATCACTTGTTCGTAATACTATGTAGACTTAAATAAAACACGTGTGTTAAAAATATTTATTTCTTTTATTAAAAAGAAACTATAATTATGAATTATTATTTTATTTCATTCGCTTTTATATAAGCATAATAGGTAAGTTTCTGTGATACTTTTAAATTCTGCGCATTCTTATGTCTAATTATTTACTTAACAAGCAAAAAAAAACATACGTGTACATTACTGTAACAAAGAAGTTTAAATGCATCGTTATATTCACAAATAGTTCTTGCATGATATACAAAAAGCATTATATCATCAAATCGTCCAAAAAATAACAATATACAAAGGTTAAAACAAGCCTTGATTAATTATTGTTTAAAGCTAACACCGGTCACAGTTCAAACTACAGAACAGTAATTACGAACTATCAATCAATTATAGATAATATAGATCTTAAGTACAAATTTTTAACCGTCTCAATCGCGAATTATAACAGTTGAATTAATTTTAACGACGTCAACGTTTCGAATGTGTTTTGTTCAACGTGTACCACTCGCGTAAGTTATCGACAGTATGTAACATTGCTTTATAAAATACAGTTCCAATGTTGGACTATTTTAATAAAAAAACCTACAATAAATTCTCATTGTACTTAACTAAATCTAAAATGTACAAAAAAGGTGGGTATTGTGTTCTAAGAACTAATTTCCATAAAATCCCACGGCCATAATAAAAATAAACACATACAACATAATCAAATTAGCAGAACACGTGTTAAAAAAGTCAAGAGCTGTGTTTAAACTACACCTAATCCTCATTTCAAAGTTTAATCCAAGTTTATAAATTATGAAGCTGACAGCTCATCAACAAGACAAGTTTTACAAAATCGTGTGGGTAATTTTATTTTTAGCAGTTATTTTAAATTAAAAAATCTATTTAGATCGGTTGCTGTTGAACGGAAAGCTGGTGAATGCTTTATTTCATCTAAATAGATTTTTAATTGTCGTAATGCCATCATGGGCAATCACATGTGAAAAATATTATTAAGTAATTATTTTTTTTAAACATTGTACAGTATCGAATATTAGCTCGGTGCTTCAAATATTTAATTATACCTGACATAAAAAGTGATGAATAAAATATGTTACTTTTCTATACTGTATAATTGTACGGTATAGAAAAGAAGCTTTAATTAGTAGTGTAATAAGTGATAAAATTGACACCACGGCACATACACATATCAAGGATTTCTTAACAAAGTATTATTTTCAGTTATTACTTAGGTAATATTAATGTTTGGTATGACTAGTTATATGCACTGAGAAACCGGTTATCCTTACTGAATGTACGAGGTCTGATACACCCTGTGTCCACTTGTGGTCCACCAATACTGAAATGACAGGCACATAGTACAGAAAAGGTTTATCTCAACTAATATTATAAAGAGGGAAGGTTTGAATGTTTGTTTGCAATGTCTATTCGACTCTAAGACTACTTGACTGTTTTGAAAAATTCTTTCACTAACATAGGCTATATTAATTAAAATATATATAGTCTTTTATTTGTTTTTGATGCTGTGCTGGTGTTGGAGAATATCGAATTTTTTTAATATATTTAGATTATTATATATTTAGAGAATGCTATGCAATATGCACTGTTAATACTTTCGGCACCATAATAAAACTCAGTGCATAGCAAGCTGCGTTCGTGTTATCATTTTATCGACCTTTTAAATGGTCCTTCGAGCCGGATCTGAGAACCTGAAAACTGTAACGTGTTTCAGCACTATTCAACTGAAGCGCTAAGTGGTTGATATGTCATTTGCTTTAATGAGTGTGGCTGTTAAACAATATTATACCTTTATACTAGCGTAACTCTTTGAGACGTATAGCTGTCTCGTCGTTGGAGACGCGCGTGTCGTCTGTAGGTGCTGAGCTGGACATCCACCGGCCCGTGTTCGTCTCTCTCGTCTGCACGCCGCGGATCCTTTGCCATCTGAAAACATCTCAAACTGTAGATTTTTTACATCTTAATAATATGCACGTTTACACGTTTCTGTAATACAGAAACTCCCGAATGACATTTTAAAGCTTTTATTTTAAACTATTAGTAATCAATTATGTTATCCAAATTTGAAATATTATATAATCTTATGAATAATACAAACTTCCTTCCTTTCTCTCACATGTAAGAGTAGGTAAAAATTATATATTTTTGGATGTCTCTTGTCTTTTTGTCTAGGAGCTTCCAACCTCTTAAAAATAAACGTTGTTCTATGTACCATTTTTCCAGGATAAAGAATATTTGTATAGATTATAAATTCTTTATTCTCATGAAATGCGACAGAGACGGCTGGCGCCATCTTTCTTTCACCACCCACAGAATGTCGCCGTCGAGGTTAGGACATTATTTAGAAGTTTGTCATAACTACTGGTCTACAGATGTAGTACCTGATACTATCTTGATTAGAGAATTAAAAATAAAAGATTTTTAGGTATTATGCATAGTCAAAGGATGTGTACTTACTTCTTAGTGACCAGAGAGCGAACTTTATTCTTCCAAACGAATATAAAGAATATATAAATTCCCAACGCGATATTCGAGAAGTCGATCAATATCCAATACCAGTTGGAACCGCCGACTGCAAAGCTGATCACCTCGACTGACCAATTCACGCCCATCACCACAAACAGTTTCAGATATAGAGCATATCTGGAAAATAAATATTAGAAAGATAAAAAATCTAAAACATAGACTCGACTCCGTGACTGACGGGATGTTCATGTGTCAAGTTTTATCTAAAAAAATGTATATTTACTTTGGATTTATTTAAAATTTAAAACACATATTATACTTTAGTACTCGCAAATTTAGTTCTCTTTGCATGGAAGTGAAATCCCGTTTTCCCCGTGGGGCATGGGGCGACACGACACGTTGCTGTGTCCATGTCACTAATCGGTTTTTTTATATGCAGGTACTTGATGAGACTTCTGTGCCCTACCCGAAAAAATCTATGGTTTCGCCAAGTTGGAACTCAGGACCTTTCGTTTTAACCATTTGGCTACAGAGTCGTCTCTTTGCCTTAATGAGAATTAAGTCCATTGTATTTTTGTATTTAACAAATTCTCAATCTATTTATCTTTACCTCTGTTTGTCCTTTTTCAATTTATCACTGCGCGCTGACTCCACGCCTTTGAGTATGGCCGTCTCTTGCTTGATCGAACGTATGCGATATGCAGTAATTGTAAATAAAACAACGTTGCATATCACTATTAAGAAAACCGGGATGAAGAAGTATACTAGTTCGCTTAGCCAATCTGTAAAAAAATGCTACGTCTGCAGTTTACGCGGGTCGTAATTTAAAATAAATTGACTGATATATCTCGCTTTTCAAATTTGTAAAATACTTATTTGCTTTAGTGGCGTTGAATGATGGAGAGTCAAGCCAAAAAAAAAATTAATAAATGTATTCAAACAATCCGTGTTGCCTGAAAGAGATCGCTTAATTGCGGTAAGGTCGTCCGTTGGACTCCATCGTTTATAGATATTATTCTTTTTGTTCATTGTAATTGTCTGTGTGTTGTGTAATAAAGAATAAATAAATAAATAATAATGGGGAAACATTAAATAGTTTATGAAAAATTATATGAACACTTGTATTCAGAGATTAATATTCAATAAATATCTATTATCAAATTTTGCAGGTAAAACTTATCCCCTTAACAAATTCGCTTTATGTGATTGACTTATAGGCAAAATATTTATTAACTGGTTGAGTCCGCGACTTTAACCGTCAGTAATAGTTGTGTTGGGGATCAAACTTATTGCCTCCGCTTTATAAAATACAGCTGTTACCTACGACGTCGTCCGCGTCCCGCAGTTTTTGCGAGATACTCTTAAAAGATAGACATATACTGTTGTAGACAATTTTTAGATCATTTAAAGGAAAACTCTCTCTTTTATACATATTGGTTTCTTGAACCGTCCTCGCAGTGCATGCAACGGAAGCACTCAAAGACGAATAATTTTACCCGTTTAATAAATAAATACTTTTTTAACTCGAACCAATAGTTCCTGAGATTACCACATCCACCAAACGAACAAGAACTTATAATATTAGCATAGATTTATAACGGTTAGTCCAAACTCACACTAATTCCAAGTTTAGCAACCCACCTGCAAACCAGCACCGTTGGCTGCCAAAACCTGGAGTTACGATGTTAATTGGCAGGTCCTGGCTGAATTGCATTGCGATGGTAATGGAAGTGAGAACAGCTGGAACACCCCAAGCGTAGAGAGCGTATAAGCCGAACCGCTTCTTCTCCCGACGCTTATTTGAACTTCCTCTGTAGCCATGGCTGTGAAGTAAATTGCTTAGTTTTTTGTAAAATGACAATACTTACTTAACATCAAGTTTATTGCTAGCGCCGTCAATTGTCATAAAAGGGCGGGAAAACGTCATCGTGTCGCACTTTTTTTCAATAGGGAAATAATTCAATATAAAAAAAAATTATATTGAAATTTTGGTTCATAAAATGAATTATTATTTCATAATTGTTAACTTATTTAAATTAAAATTAACTGTATAAAACGCGAAATGTATTAGGTAACCTATTTACAATTTATTTTAACGACGTTTCGGATGTTTCCAGCAGTCGTTGTCACAACAGTTAAGAGCATTTCACGTTTTAAACCGTTAAAAGTGTTATATTCAAATGTGTACTGTTCGCGTCTACTACAGATAGGACTTAACTTTTTAAAACATACACTTCGAAACTGTCTTTTGTTCTTTAGAATATTTCAGTTTTATCTTTAGTTTTACCTCGCCGATTTCTGTGACGTAATACCGCCAATCCTTTTCAGAAGCGTGTAATGTGAATAAATAGAAATTAGTCCACGTATTTTAACAATGTAACTTCCATGCCAAACAGTCTAACAAATACGTTGTTATTACGACACTTTCAATGTACATGCTTCTACTTCTGACATGCTTTTGAATCAACGAAACTATTTACGACTGAATGGGGAACTAATTTGAAAATAGAACACGAATTTTAAAATTCGAATTACTGAAACAGAACGTATGAGCTACGAAAGATAAATAATACAGGTATTGTTCACTTGCAAGAATAGAAGACTAAGTAGATTTTCGATACTTAGACGACAGAACATGCTGGCAGTACAAGACGTGATCTAAATAAGAACCTTCGAAACTACCTACTGGTCGTGTTGGAACGCGACTGACGTTGGAGCCACGCTTCTGTAATTTATATTATCCTTATTTAGACAACCTTATTATATATCAGTAAGAGTTCCTATCTCTTGATTAGCCTTGAAATAATTAAAATATTAGTGATACGCCTAAGCAGTGAAAGTAAAACTCACCTAAAAGTCCTCCAAATATCAAAACACATGATGTTCAGCCAAAAGAAACTGGACTGAAAAGAGAAGTACACGATGAACGCTGAAAGAATAAAATATTTGAGTAAATTTTATTGTTACGATATAATTCAATATAATTCTAAGGACACTAAATTATGACAGGATTGTTTAAGTCCATACTTGCACTGTATACACGTCAAAATATACACATGAATAAAGTGGCATAGACGCTTACTAGAACCTATTGGTAATGCGTTATTTTTTGCTCAAGATGAGCATAGATCGTCTACTAAATATTGCCTGGGGTATACTAAATCGAATTAACTAGTTCTATGGCCTCAAAAATTTGTCTGATATAGTAATGTATGTTGCAATAATACGTTTAATAAAATTACTATCTGTAAGTGATAGTCCATACACAAATAAATTAAAAATCTATTTAGGTTGAAAAAACAATAATAACACGGGCAGGAATTGAACCGGCATCTACAGCGATCCGTGCCGCTGCTCTTTCCAATAGATCTACAACAACACGATACAGTAGCCGGTTCGACGATGTCGTCGTTTTTTTTTGATTCTAATAGATAAGTAATGCCAGCATGTGCAACAACATATAGAAAGTAATAAATTTTTTTAACACGTATACGTTAATAGATGCGTAGAAATTAAAAATAAATAACCTTGCTACCATAGACTACAGATATCGAACATTTGGTTCAAATCCGATTTAAACAAATAGAAACGGAAATGCGCTGTTTTCTTTCAAACATTCGGTTGTGATTCTTTTGGGAGATTGAACTTCTGTCGTCGAATTCTTTGATATCATCGTTTATGATCTTTGAGTTTGTCTATTTATAGATGTAGATACCATATTGTAGAGCATGGCCCTTTAAAATATTTCTTAATTACTACAAAAAAGTTTTTTTTAACTTTGTTGTAAGCTTACTTTTACTAACTTTTTTTCATCAAGGCCTATGTATTTCTTTTAATAAAATTTATTGTAAAGAAGTTAACTGATAAATAATATGCGTTTTAAACCGTTAAAAGTGTTTTATTTAAATGAGTACTATTATCGTTAACTGCAGATTGCACCCTTTATTGCAATTAGTGGTTTGTGCACAACCAGATTAGCAATAACTGTAGTAACTAAATCTTTCTTTTGCGCATTGGTCGATATTCATCCCAATATAAACTTAATGACCAGACTTTTAATAGCTTCCTCGTATAGCAATATGAGGGTCGATATATAAGCATCAAAGAACCACCGGGCTGGGCAAATGGACATTGGCAGATGATACATGTAGCCAAATCAACGACATAAATATAAATTGTGAGTGGTCTCTAGTATGAGTAGTGCACATTTAAATAAAACACTTTTAACGGTTTTGAACGCAAAATATATTATAACTTATTTATCATTTAATTAAAACCACCGTGACCACGGGTGTAAAGCATTGGATACATCGGGCAGTAGTTGTTAATTGTGAGTAAGTAATTAGCATTCTTCGCGTTTTATTTATTTATTGTGGTGGGATCTTGATGTTTTATACTCTTTCATTACGGTTTATTCATGTATAATGCGTTCCTAGTTCTTAATACACTAAGCAGAAGAAATTATAACAAGTAGCTTTTTAAAAATAACGGTTTAAATCGCGAAATATAATAGGTAACTTATTCTTGACTACGATGCGACCTTCCTACCGGAAGCTAAGCTTTGGAGTACCGTTAAGTCATGTTCCAAGTAATGTATGACTTGTTGTAATCTTCGAATGATATTTACAATATATCTTTATTATGTGATCAGAAATACTCCATGTTATGATCAATTATACGACGTACGTAAATATGCGTCATTAAATAAGAACACCGATGTTTGTAAATACTGCAGAGTGCTGCTAAATACCACTATTAGCCGAAGTTTATTTACGATACTAAGAACATTATTATATCGTGGAGTTAGAATGATTTCATTAACAAGCAAATGTATTAATAATCGCAGAGTTATCGAATAAAATAATAACGATAAACTATTCGAAACTATATTGTATGTGTGTGAAATCTGAACCGGTGGAACGTTGCATTGATCACGGGATTTCTTGGGTTTGAATCTCGGGAAAAGAAATTGTTTTGCGCGGTGCACCAAGTCTAATCAATTGGGTGCTTTTAAATAAAACACTTTAACGGTTTAAAACGCGATATATTAGTTAAACTTATTTGAAAATGATTTTTAACTTCGGCCCGACGTTTCGGATGCTTTGCAGCAGCCGTGGTCACGGGGAGACTCCCCGTGACCACGGCACACCAGTGAAACGGATACAGAAGTGTGTTTGTTCCATGGATTTCTGTATTTTTCAGTGAAACTTAAAACTGTAAAGAATTAAATAAAGATTTAAAAATTAATACTACTTTTTACAACAACCTTTGTTGCGACTCATCGTTTTAATGTAGAAGCATTTTTTTTACGATTAAAATTTCTTCAGTCTAAACGAATTCAATCGATGAAAGAGACACGAAAATATATCCCGTGTCCAACGTCAGGTAAACTGTGAAACATGTAGGTATATATGAATTATATAAAAAAATACAACATTTCTACCACCGCTAATGAAATTAAAAATATTTGCGCAATCTTTACCGGCCCACCCAAACTTTTCGTTAATTACTAAAATTACATTTTATGACAATCAGCGCTAATGAATAGGGGTCAACATTATTATAACGACCTTTTAATTTGGTTCCGGGGCGTGTCTTATATTAATAACGGTGAACAAATATTTCATTAACTTCAAAACTTTATTTCGCCTAACAAGGTTTTATGTGTAAAAGCTTTGCCGCACTACTTATTTTCATTATTAGCGAAGTCTCCCGTTACGCCAATAAATAACACGATAAAAATAGCTAACTTCCTGTTGAATATTATTCAATGAGCTGAATTTAAAAAAACTTTAGTGATACTAATTCATTAAAAAACAAACATAAATGCTTCATCTGAGTTTGTAAATGAAGATAAATCTACGAGGATTTTTGTCCGTTCACACAATCGAAGGTTCACACAATAGTAAATATGAAGAACAGTTTTTTGGGAAAAAAAAAAAAAAAAAGGGGAAAGAAAAAAAAAAAGGCGCCAGGATTTTTTTGGGGAATTAAAAATGGGAGGGAAAAAAAAGGGGAAAGTGCGTAAATCGAATGCTAGTACCTATCAAAGGGCTTTCTGTGGTGTACACTGTTAAAATGGTGGTGTATCTAAAAATATATATGGAGAAGGCTTCTTCGTAACTAAAAAATACAGACAGTACATCATATCTCTAAGATGACTCCCAGAGCCAACGAACGACGGAATGCTGGGGAAATAAAAAAAAAAAAAAAAAAAAAAAAAACCCATGGGGGGGGGGGGTAAAAAAAAAAAAGGGGGGGGAAAAAAAAAAAATATAAATTTATAAGGAGGGAACAAACTTATGAGACCTGAAAAAATGTTGATATTTTTAGTGTGTCCAACCACCAAATAAACTGACATAACACATAGAACAAAACATCCGAAACGTAAATAAAATCATTTATAAATATGTTAACTAATGTATCTAGCGTTTTGAACGTTAAAAATCGTGTGTTTTAAAGAACGTACACTGTTTATTCAAATTTAATAAAAAGAAAGCAGTTTGTTGAAGTCGAAGTTGATAACCTTTTTTTACGATTTCGCTAGTGACTTATATTTTTTTATAAGTCACCAGCGAAATCTGTAATCTAATTACGAACTTGCTAATCAATCTATCGTTATCAATGGCAATAATTAACCATACCACTATAAGTGTTATCGAGTGTGGTAGATAACCTTAACAACAATAAAGTGGTTTTAATGATTCTTATCTAGATGCAGCCTTTATCCAAACACACATCGCTTTTTCATATGTACCCAAACAAAACATTGATTTTTCAAACGAGACCTCGCTACACATTTGCACGCGATTTATATTTTAATTTCCGTCATATCTTTAAATAGTTTCTGATTTTATATTACCTTCATTTGGTGATTCGCTTAATATTAGTAAATAGTTAAGGCTAATAAATAAATCGAAATATAGTAAAATCTAAATATAAAAAACATACCTGCCAACTCAAGAAATAGACCTAGATAGATCGTTTTATCGTTGAATTTAGTCTCCTTAGTTAAGCCTGAATTTTACTTCTGTTTTGCGTACTTTATCATAAATATTTTTTTATCCTATATTGGTTTATGTTTAGTTATTATTATTTATAGTTTTAACTCTAGGAATGCTCAAAAATCAAAAAAAAATTAACCATCGTCGTTACAGATAAAATGAAATCCTGGATTGTTATAAACATCTTAAATTTTTGTTGTGGACAAGGCAATAAGTCTGATAAGTTGCCTGTCAATACAAAAGAGTCAAAGTTTTTCTTCTTGAATATGGCACAAACGAGATTTCAATTATGCTAAAGCAAGACCAGACAAAAATGTATGTTTTTTTTCCTTAGTTTAAGCCAATATAATTTTCCCATAGTGTAATTGTTTCTTACCAATAACATAACAGCCAGTCATAGCCACGCCGATCTTTCCAAAGTGGAGTTTCAGATAAGCCAAGAAGGAATAGGCGATGATCAGTCCACCGCAGTAGGCCATCAGGCACATGCCGTGGAGATTCCGAAGTTCTGGTATGAAAGCGTAGACCAGGAATGTCGCCAGGAGGAACGGAATAGATATCATCAGACCTTAAAGACAGTATAAAGGTATTAGAACTTACATGTTTTTAATTCGAGTACATGAAAATATTACAAGGGTTTGAAAACACGATATTTATTGAATAATTAATTATACTAAAAGCATCGACTGTGACATATATAGTGAACGTTAAAGTCAAAGCTTCGCTAAGGATTTACAGCGTTTAAAATAGTTAAAGACATTTTTAATAAGTAAAAATAAGATAAAGCTTTCGTCTAAATAGATCTATAGATTTACAATAAACTCAATTGGTCCTTAGGCATAAACTAGAATGTTTCCCTATTTTTTTTTCGATAAATATTTATTAATTAATTTATTTCCTAAATATTAGTGAAATCTTTTATTAAACTACATCAATTTTTATTCTGATTTTTAAAAGACTAGTTAATGGGCTTATAAATTATTCTATATAATTAAAAATAAGTAGTAAAATGCGCCCTTAAACTTGTTTAAGGAGATCGAGAGTCAAACAGTTGAAGAATAATACAATATTCAGTCGGTCGTAGTCAGTCTAATTTAATATTTAAAAATAGAACCTTGTGTCGTTATCTCCAGGAATTAAACCTTTAATAATACTTAATATTTTATCAAAAGATCTGTCTGTCTGTCCGGCGAAACTACTGAATCTACTTTTAAATGCCTTTGTTGTGTTTGTTTGTATGGAAGTTCGTGAGTTTTAAAGATAGAACATTTATATTTTCTGGCTTTCATGGCTTCTTGGGCATGGGAGCGAGAGCGGGAGTTACAGTAGGAGTGATGTGAGATAAGAGAGGGAGTGTTGCGGCAAAGTAGCACTTACACAATGGCTGCCTTGAATGCGCCCTTTATAAATAAACATAATAACATTTGTACCCAAAGTTACAACTCCACGCAGACGAAGTCGCGGGCACAGCTAGTTTAATTATAAAAGAGTATTTCATTTAAGTCCCGCTCCAAATATTAAACTTGCTACTGCTCGTTTGAGTTTGTCTGCAAGGCCTCTTTCGTAGCATTAAAGTACCTATTCAATTTTATATTAAGTCGTACAGATTATAAAATACGGAACTGTTTTACGTACGAGAAAATATAGTATACATATATAATAAACAAATAAATCACAATATTAAAGCGAATGTATCAGGAGGGTGTAAAATTTGTAATTTTCTATTTTTACCAGCTAGTGATTTTGTAATTGGTTCAAATTAATTAGCTTGGTTTACATAGTTGTGTGTTATATACAGGTTATATGTATGGCATTTGCAAGTATGTTATCTGTGTTGCGGGCAATTTGATAATTCCGGATACTATTAATAATGTCCGGTCTGTATTAATAATGCCTGACTCAATTCCACTTTTCGGCTATTGTGAATCGTGTCTACCTTATCTTGGGCAAAGTAATAAAATAGTTGAACTGTAGTTTTTCTGTTTGTTAAACTTACGAAATTGATAAAAGTTTAAAAATATACACTTAAAATGCAATAAAAGCATCAGTTTACTAGCTTTTTATTATTTATACTGACGGGCCAAGTAAATATAAGCTATTTCAAACACTAACTTATTACATGGACCACGGGTCGTCAAGTATTATTAATACCTAATGGAATATTTTTAACTAGTATTAACAAGGTACTATAGGTAGGTATTAGTACTAATGATTTTAAAAAAATTATCGTTTACTAATGCATCTAATTATAAACAGCACTTGCATGTACTTTAAAGTAAATAATACTACTACTACATACTACTAGTGGTCAATACTTCTCAAATTATTCTTTTCTATTGGGGACACCGAGAGGAAGCCAGGTGATCAATTCACTTTATCTGCTGACTATTTCCCCCATTTCCCCATGTCCTCTTTACAGAGGGGAAATTAAATTTTCTTTTCAATTATCAGTGTCCCCTTTAAACCTTCCGATTTGCTTGCAGAATTTTGTTGCTATTTCTATCTTTAATTGCTTAATATTGTCTTCTGCTACTTTGTCAGTTCACATGTGTCTTTTCTTAGTTTTGAGTACGTATCCTTTACCTATCATTGTAAGACATGTGAAATCTCTACATTGAATCGAAGATTCGCCCTCATTATGCTCATTAGATTTTTCGTCTTTCTCTTATTTATCTTCACATATACTATAAAAAAAAACTCGAATTTCACTTGTCACTAACAATTCGAGTAATTACGTAGTTACACACTGTAACGCCGTACACGGTCCGCGTTAATGGGTCGTAAATTTTATAGCTCTCGCTGTTTTGTTAACGAAATCTAATATTTGTTGAGCACTTAATACGTCATTGGGCATTAGTGAAAGAGATTAGACATCATTTTCGGTGTCACACCTTTTAAAGGTATGATAAAGGAATAGTAGGAAACTATTTACTGTTACATAGATTCTTCTTTTCATATTCTATACTAGCTGTGTCAGCGACTACGTCCGCAAAGAATAGTTATTTTGGACGTCCAAATTCGTTTTTGCAAAGCCCTTCAACTTTATAAACTTAAGCTGGTAAACACGACGTCGGGCGCGTTTTTTCCTTTTGTTCTTCCAAGTTAAATAAAAGATAGACATATAGCACCGCGGACCATTCTTAGATCATTCAGAGAGGAATCATTCTTTCATAAATAATTTTGGGGTATCTTGAACCGTTTTTGCAGCGTCGGAAACCCATAATGATGAATAATTTTCCCAATTTTTTTTGTCGCTGTATCTTCGCTTCACATGCGATGTGTGCGATGTTTTATAGCGTATATCCTTCCTCGATAAGTGCTCTAACCAACACAAAAATAAGCGGACGAAGTCGCTGACAAAGCTAGAATATAATATATGTGAATTCATTGGCACACCTAACCGCTGCAATGGATATATCTTCTTGCAATGGGAGTGACGTGGTGTACTTTTATGGTAATGTGATTAAAAAGAAAGACACGGCATAGGATTCACTTAATAGATGGAAATAAAACTTTAATTAAGATGCCTTGTCAACATAATTTATCTTTAATTGAAAAGCCTGCGTACTAAAACCGAATTATCCGTCCATGTTTGACACGTTCCAGAAAAAAAAATTGGTTAGAAATATGTTAGTGGTGATGCAACCCCGACTCATACATTATTAGTTCAATTTTTTTAACGGTAAAAGGACACACAAGGCTGAAGAAAGGACGGGCCCGGACGAAAGTTAGATATTCCAGCCACCCATTTAATACCAAGATTTCCAGATGAAGTTCAACATGTTTCAGAAAATTATAAATTGGTTAGGAAAATGTTTGACCCGGGGGTCGAACCCACGAACGGTTGATTATTTATACATTGCTACCAACAAGCCTGTCATAACTTCAACTAGCTTTTTCCATTCATAATTTCTAGCTCACCTATGCTGTAGGCAATGAATAATCCAGCCGCGTCTTGGTCAGGGGGTGTATCCGGGTAACACACCCCAGCAACGAGGATAGGTTCCGGGAACCTGGTATCCTGCCACATGTCCATACAGAACCTTGCCGGCGGATGCCATTGTGGTCTATTTCTCTCGATTTCATACAATGTACCATTCTGTAAGATAAGATTAACATTCTACTTATCGTTGTATCGAAATGTAAAGTATTTTAAGTACTGTCTATAGTTTACGCGAGGAGTACACATTTAAATAAATAAACAGATGGCGCTAGCGTAGCAATTTTTACTTTGACGTCAGAGACATCCTCCATCTTTAGTCTTCCCGTGACCACGGCTGCTGCAAAGCATCCGAAACGTTGGGCCAAAGTTAAAAATCATTTTCAAATAAGTTTAACTAATATATCGCGTTTTAAACCGTTAAAATGTTTTATTTAAGTTTTGTAAGTTTAAATAAACACAACTTTCAAATAACAATTAAGCAACACTTCTGAACGGGTTTAAACGCGAAGTGTATTAGTTAACTTATTTAAAATTTCTTTATATAAATATATTGCTATCCTAGGTTTTATGTATGTATTAAGGTGATGTCAAACGACTTGGCTGCCATAATAAATTAATGAAAAATAACATTAGAGATAATACTATAACTAACTAAGTAAATATAACTAATAGATCCGAAAAACTACATGATATCCTACATAAGGATATAAATTGAAGTCTAATAACAAAAAACAATTGAATTTCAATAGGCAGAGTGGTCTAAATAATAAAAAACGCCCAATTAACTTAGGCAAAAATGAATTTATAGGTACTATTATTTGTGTAAAATTACGTTAACAAATTTCGGTCACTGTGCTCTTGTAGATTAACATTTTTAGCCTATAAAAATATGAATAACTCAAGTCACAGAATTGCAGTTAGGCTACTCTGTCTCTAGCTGCCTCAATTATAATCGCACATTTGTGCACACCAAAACAGTCATCCGAAACTCAAAAATGGCTTCTACATCTGTTTTGTTGTCATGTTACTCGCATAATTTATGACTGCTTATTTCATTTTCGCTGTAACGTAATGTCAATCGCTGGAGCAAGTACAGACTTAATAGATTGATAGAAATCTTTAATATTTTTTACGTGATAATTATTTAAGAATAAATGTGTAGGCAAATATCAAATCACGGTATGTCCACCATAAACGAAACTTGGGAAATGAGAGAAATGTGTTTTTAGCTACTGATTACTGTATTTCATAGAAATTTTAGCAATTGGGGATTTATATAGGCGTTAGTGAGTATAAGAAATATATAAAAATAAAGTTTTAATAAGATATTATGCTTTAAAACCATGTTAAAGTTTGGACATATCAGTGTTTGATTGAAACTAAAAGCATTATATCGGAGTTTGAAAAATACCACTATGGACGTAACGGGTATTGAAAAATAGCTACAGGACTTACTTGGTTTTGACAAATCTTATATTAATCCCGTAATTAGGGTTGCTTCATCATAATATTTTACTAAACCGTAAAATAGAACACAGATTTTTTTATTACCATGTAGTAGTTTAATTTAGTAGATTAATAAAACAAAATCTAAGATCTCGTCCATTACATAGTCTTCGGAATTATTTATTATGTCTTCTTCCCTGTCACCAACTAGTTCTATGTTACTTTGCAAGATATTTGTATAATATTTCAACTGAGGGATGTGATACCAGTCAGTGCCAAAATGTTTATGAAATATTTTTTTTATATCTTCTAATTTTATAGAAGGAACTATGTCAATCATTTGAGTATGAATATTGATCATATTTACATTTTTCCTTTTTCTAATAACGAAGCACTATTTCGAAATCGTTTCTATTCGAAATTTCGCCAGTTACTTTAATTTTGTCATTTGAACGCGTAACGATAATACGTTTACAATATTTACTTATCTCAAAATGGAAAGAACCTTTTAAATGATACACACACACATACATACATTTTAATAGAAAAAAAAGAAATATAAATTCAAATGTTTAATTCTTAACATTTGTACAACCCTGGTTTTCAAAACGTTAACGGTTGCAACAAACGCACTATTACGTTAGGATTTGCTTTACTTTTTAGCCTTCTTTTCGACATTATTCTTCTTAACATTTGACACATAATCTTTTTGTTTTTCAGGATTCAGCACACAAATTCTTACATTGTTATCATGCATTTTCCCCAAACAATCTAATAAAATAGACGACAACGAAGTGTAAGTTCTCACAACAATCTTCTATCTAACAGCCATCTTGGACGCTATAATTTGCTGTGATTGGTCAATGTGGACTTACTTGAGTTTGATTTTAACTTATCTATAGACATACCGGAATTTGAAATAAATCGTCGATTTTAACCTTCGTTTTAGTGAGTTTTTTGGGGACTTACCGTGATTTGGAATAAAGTATCATAAAAACAAGTAAATTTCAAATTTAGCGCCATTCATAGTTCAGTTTCGAGTATGGGTGTGACTTATGGGGTTTGATATTTACCTACACAAATTACGATACGTGGACGGGGGGGGACTCGTACCGGCGTCCACCGTTCCGTGTTTATGCTCTAACTGACTGACGTATCATGTCAGTTTAATCCAAACTAAATAGATTTTTTAATAATTAATATTTTTTTAATCTGCAATAAATTTGTAAAAAACCATAGAAAACTATTATCAAACCATAGACTATATAAAATGATAGAACTATACTAAATGCATACGTGAATTCTAAAATGGCAGCGTTTTAACGTTTAACTATTTATACTCATTATACTTTTAAATAAAACACTTTAACGGTTTAAAACGCGATATATATTTGTTAAACTCATTTGAAAATTTATGTATAAATGTCCAAATAAATTAAAACCGTTACAGTGTTTAGACGTGTACTACTCGCGTAAACTACAGACAGTATAATTTGAACTATGAATAAATGTCATTCTTATTTAACAATTTATGATAATTTCTTTCATTAAACTGTCCAGCCTAAAATGCAAATCTTTGCAAAAAAAACAGTACAAGTACTTACTGTATAAATTTGTAGATTTTACAATTTTCTCATGTTATTGCACAATATAGAATATAATCACAAAAATCTATTTAGATTGAAAGACTAGACACGAGCGGGACTTGAACCGGCATCGACAGTGTATCGTGCTGCTGCTTTAACCGCGGACCCGGTAGCTTAATTGGTTAGAGGTTGTAATTTTAAGTCCCGTCATGTTGTATTTTAATTAGTATTTATGTGTTATTAGCCTATTTGTGACCGCGTCTGTAGCCAAATGGTTAAATTTATTGCCTTGCATTGCGTTACGCGCGAGAGGTTCTAGCTTCGGATCCCAGGGAAACAAAAAATGTTTCGGTCGGGCAGGGCACAGAAGTCTGATCAACTAACACAGAAATGTGTTCGCCCCATGCCCCACGAGGGGGAAACGGGATTTCACACACATTAGCTTATTTGTGTGCAAAGGTACATTTGTTAGATGGTGGAATTACGTTTTTCCAATCTGAGATTTCGACAGGTTTAACTAATAAAAGGAAATAAACAAAGCAATATGTCATTCTTATCAATTCACTGTACAATGATATTTTATTGTGACAAGTTCCATTTAACCTGTCGCTTATCTAACATCGAGAATTATTGCTCTTTTCGTAATTAAAATGCGAACGCAAACACGTGGCGACCATGATTGCAATTATGCATTTATTAATGAAAAACTCTATTGTATCATGTCTCAGGGGTGAGGTATATGTTTCAAGGTTTGTTTAGTTTTACAATTGATTATTGAAAAAAAATAACACTGGTATCACACACAACCAACGATCAGAGGGGCGATCAAAAATAGACTCCGTAAAATATCTAATTCATTTGCGGGGAATTGCATTCGTATTATAATAGAATCACGACGAAGAGACAGAAGCACAACAAGTTTTTTGAAGAATGTAAATAATTTTTAGTAATAAAGTATTTAATATTTTATTTTATTTTATCATCGATTGGATATGGACTAAACGACCTCCATTTTCAAAATCACTTACTTATGACGACCTTTTTTTTAATGTCATTATTATATTATAACTCTTTTATAACGCTTTTCGGCAATCGTGCATGAGTGGGACTTCTACCTTATATTGCCTCATGTATACTAATATCAAACTAAAAAAATATCTGTCATTACGTAAATTAATTTTTTGGAATTCTTAATAATTTAGCATGAAATTGTGGTCTCTTGTGATTGATTTAGAATAAAATGTTTGTAAATCAATGTAAACCTTGTGAGAAATTCACGATCATGTAACTTGTGTGTTTGCTTCCAAAAAACTCCAAGTGAAAATAATACACTATAGTCTTATCATTGGCAAAACCAGAAAAACTGTGCCTGAAAAACTTGGAAATGATTTGCAGCATGGGTGCAGCAGCGTCGATGCGGCGGCATAAGAAGCTGTGGTCAGTTGTTTTCAGCTATTTACCTAAGTCCATGACTAACGAACTCGTCAATATTGGCCCCGTAATCAAGTTATGTAGTAAATTAATTAATGATGACGAAAAAACAGCCAACTCTAAATCGTTTGTCAATCCTACGTTGACTTCTTTTTGAACTTCTTCATGGTATTGTAGTTTTAAGCGAAGCCGATTTTGCCCGAGTTCCATTTTAAACATTAAACATAGTAGTACGCAACGAAAAGCAATTAACTAAGGAGTGCTTTTTATTATAAGCAAATAAGCAATTTATCGTTTATAAGCAATTATTGTCATTGACTTTGTTATAATGTTTATTGAGAGCCATCTAGTGTTAATTTAGTACAATTTTCGATCAGTCAAATGAGCATAAAGTATGCAAATATAGCAATCTTTAAACTTATTTTAATCATTGTTAATATTTCGCTTCTCTAAATTTATAAATACGACAAATATATTATAATTCTGTGTATTAATTTAACGACCGTATTATTTGTTGTCTTAAAGATAAAATTTATAACCTTAAAGTAACCAACAAACAGTAAAATTGCAATCAAACAGTCCTAAGCCAAAAGCCGGAAAGTTCATTGAAACTATAAAATAAAGTTTTTTTTAACGTTTGCATATAAACATTACTTTCAGGTATATTTTAAAGTAAAAGCGAATAAGCAATTAAGCAACTAAAAAGCGTTTTAATTCGCTGTAAATTTTGAGCCGTTCACATCGCTGAATCTACGCAAGACCGATTGTTTGTATTAAACCCGTCTGCCTTCCATGCCGTCTGACCTCATTTATATTTAAAGAAAAACCAATATTTTTAATATTATATAAATCATCGCGATAATAACATTATCGTTGAGTTTCCCACACATGGCAACACTCACGCAACAACTGGTCATGTGTTAAAATAACGAAACGCCTGTAATAATAAACATTAGTATTTGGTCGAAATATCGATTTGTTATAATTTCTTACTGAACTAAAATTTTAATTTAAAACACGTTCCGACGAAACAACAAAGCGTTATAACAATTCCTTGAACGCGCCTTATTTATGTTCTAGGGATGTGCTGCAATTCGGCTTTAAAAATGTAGTCTCGCTTATAAATTATATCTATCTATATGTAATACTGTAATACGCCTTTTTGTAAAGGAAATAATCCGATATACGTAATTATACGTGAGATTATTAATTTTAAAACTAGTCACAATTCCTTACAAAAGAATAATTCTATATTATCACAATATTGTTTACATACTATTACATAGCTAATTAAAAAAAATAAGGTTGGCGCTAGCGTAGCAGATTTGACTATAACATCAGGGACACCCTCCACCTTTAATCCCTCCCGTGAACACGAATGCTACAGACATCGAACCCTAGTTTAAGTTAACTCATATATTTCGCCTTTAAAACAGTTAAAGGTACTTTATTTATACTTATGTGTAGGTACTATTCGCGGAAACTAAAGAAAATATACAGAATGGATAAAAATTCAACCTAACACTTAAAGTCGAAATTCGGTTTCGGTTTAAATCACTTTTATCCACCACTAGTGTTTATTGACAAGCCTAATATTTGCCAGTTAGTGGAAACTTGACTTAGATCAAAGAATAAACACCGTATCTTAAGATGCAGTACAAATTCAGAGAGCATTCGTGACCGTCAGAACGTATGCCCATTACAGGCCATCAGCGGACATTTGTAAATGTTTGTAAGATTTAAAAACCCTTAACACTTGTTGCCTTAATTAATTAGCTCTCAATACAAAATCAGTTGTTAAGTATACAAATAGTATAAAATATTTACGATTTACTTTTTCAAAAAGGGATTTTCCTTTATACGTATAAATATTTACGACAATTTTATTTCATATTTCATGTCCAGACCACATGAGTAATCCTATGAAGGAGTGGACATTTAACCCGTCAAGCACAGCTTGGAAAACTTTTTGCTTAAAAACCGATAAAAACAACAACATGGATGGCTTTGTACGCTCTACAACAATACAGATGTTCAGTAGAAAGATGTCGGGAATTAAATACTGTCTGTAATTTACGCGAGTAGTACACATTCAAATAAAATACTGTAACGGTTTAACGCGATATATATTAGTGTCCCCCGTGACCACTGCTGCTGCAAAGCATCCGAAACGTCTGGTCGTTATTGAGATATGTACTTTTCAAATAAGTTTAAATAATATATATCGCGTTTTCAACCGTTAAAGTGTGTTATTTCTGAGATCTGTCAGAATATGAAATACCTTAAAAATATGAGTTCATGGCCGTCTATTTACATATTTACCCAGGCTTCGAATACCTATGTTTGGACTCTAGGTCGCGTAAAAATGAAAGTGTGATATCCCGTTTCCCCCTCGTGGGGCATGGGGCGAACACATTTATGTTTCCGTTTCACTGGAGCGTTCTTTTTAAGACGCAAGTAGTTCATCAGATCAGACTTCTGTGCCCTATCCGACCGGGACAACTTTTTTTTTGTTTCCCTGGGATTCAAACCCAGAACCTCTCGCGCATGGCGCGTAATTTCCGCATTTCCCATTTTCCCTGACTCCTATCAGTCGCAGCCTGATGTTTTATAGCCTTAAGCTTTCCTTGATGAGTGGTCTAACCAACACAACATTTTTCAATTCGTACCAATTCATGAGATCAGAGCATCCAAACAAACTGATATAAAAGAATAACTTATATATGAAGAACCTATTTTGAATAATCCATAAATATAGTCTGCATCGGCTTATTTCTGAGCTATTTTGCAAATAGCGTTTACTCAGTAGTAGGGAAGCGGATGCAAAAATATATCTCTTGGCAGAGTAACAGAATTAACTATTTTTTAAAGAAACATTATAACCCCTATCTATATACTTGTACTTTTTATACTTAATATATAAATCTGAAGAGTTTGTTTGTTTGAACGCGCTAATATTAGGAACTACAGGTTCGAATTGAAAAAATATTGCTATAAAAATTGCCCTGTGACTTATACAAGCGAAGATACAGCGAGACATGTGAAAAGATTTCGGAAAATTGTTCATCGTTATGGGTTTCCGAGGCGTACGCTGAAAAAACGGTTTAAGATACCCAAAAAATATGTATGAACGAATGATTCTTCTTTAAATTATATAAAAAAAAGGCCGCGACACTTTAATATGTCTTTAAAGATTAACTTGCAAGAACGACGGGTATGGACGCGACCGATCGTGTTATGTTATATGTGTGCCTTTTTAAATACTCACTAAGTAATAGGTAACTATTTTTATTTAAATGTATATGTATAGATATATATCTAATTCTGTATATTTTGTACACGCTATTGCAGCTCCATGAAAAATGAAAACTTTTAGAGCAACACGGAACGCTGTGGATGCCGGTTCACGTCCCGCACGTGTTGTCAATTTTTAATCTATCTAAATAGATTTTTAATTGAGTGAACTGTACATTACCTTTTGAAGATATATATATTCGTTTGCGCCAGCCCCGACGAGATACTTTTCACACGATAGCGTGTACTTGTAGAAGAAAGCTTCCGAAGCAACGACATTAGTCGACTCTGTACCACTAAAAATCGGCGGATTGAAGGGATTGACCTCAGCAATGTCCACATCTGTGCAAGAACGATTCACGTAGGATTTTCCTTGTCCACAACACTTCCACATACATATCCGTCCAATACACGGACAGCCAAAAACGGTGGTAACTTCATCTTGCACCAACTCGTACCAATGTCCTTCCGAGTACTCAATGTCCTCGAAAATAATAGAACCGTTCTCGAATTTTACACCTTCGGTAATGTTTAGACTCTCGTCGCGAGAACAGAGTCGTTCACAGTTCGCTATGTACACGAAAAACAGTAGGAAAAATAATTTCATCTTCTCTGAATCACGCAATCACAAGCTTTTCACGACATGAATAATGAAATTAAATCGAAGTGAAGTGAGTTTATCGCGAATAAAACGGTTATCGCGGTTCTTATGAGGTAATGTGATGTATCATAATGATAAGAGATAAGAATGCGATTGCTCACAGCGTTAAGTGGACGTCGCGACCCCACGAAATCCGGCTTCAGACTGTGCCTGAAACCTCAAATGTCTTCACTGATTTTAATTCGAAGTTTCGCGCGCAAAACTTTTAACAAGGTATTTCTCTTTTTGGCCACAGACTATAAACTTAAGCTACAAAACAATTGTGGCTGTTTAAGATTGTTTGCCCGGGAGTCGAGCCCAGGCCCAACCTTAGCCATTTCAATATTTTAAGAGATTTTTAGCGGTGTCTTGTTAGTAATATTAAAGGGGGTTGTTTTCCTATTTTGGTCAATTTTTAATTCTAAACAATTAAGTACCTAAGTCATATATCTTTCTTAGTATAATTAAAGCGGTTAAAATTGGGATCATAGTTCAAAAAGCGGTTTCAAACAAGTTTTATCATATCTCATTAAAGAGTGCTAAAATAAAATTTCATTATATAGGTAATGCGGAACATTTGCAATAACCAAATTTCAAAAAAGCTTATCAACAAAATACTTAAGTAGTAGTAGCACATAGGAAAGTTATTAAAAATATAAAAGACTAGCTGCGTCCGCGAGAATCGTTAATTTGGGCATCCAAATTAGTTTTTGCAAACCCCGTCACCTTTGTAAGCTTAAGTTGTTAGCCACGACGTCGATTTGTTCCTTTCGGTCGATCTTTTCAAATTAATCTTCAAAGATTCGGACTTTTTTCAAATCATTGAAAGGAGAATCATTCTTTCATACATATTGAACCGATTTCGCAGCTTACTCGTCGCATCGGCATAGAGATGAAAAATTTCCCCCGATTTTTTCACATTTCCCGCTGTATCTTTGCTTCTATTAATAGTAGTAGTTCTATAATTATATATTACTATAGATAGATAGATATAAACTACGCGCTACTGTAATGTTTAAAATTTCTTTTTTTGTTGTTAAAATTTGTAATGTTTAAAACAAATAGGTATAAACTCTAACCAGCCTACGTAGAGACTAGAAAGAAACTACATATAATTGGCATGATAGTATATTTACGATAAGCATATTATAATAATAGATAATATAACAGTATAAACATTTCGCCTTCGCTAGAATTGGGTTATGGGACAATAGTAGTTGTTAAAGGCAACCATTATTAATATAGCACATCTAAAAGATGGCGCTATAATTAAAATGATGAAAATTTCTAAAACTATCCAAGAGATGGCGCTAAAACGCACATTTAGAGTTTATTCAAAACGAAACTATTTAGATTTATTAAAATATAAATATATAATTATCATTATTATCTACATAAATAAGCTAGCAACATTTACAATTAGAATTATGGTCACACTCATTTGGGAACTCATAGTCTATATAATAAGTAATAAAACTCTGTATTATGATGCCTCTGCTATCTATGGTACGTACTTCCCCGTTACTTAATCATTGATTACAGTATGTGTTGCCAGGATGGGTAGATCTCCTAAATTGTGGGTTAAGTATTTGTTAACTTTGATTATTTATTGTACTGCTTTTCCATTACTATTTAATCATCTAAAACTTGGTGTGGATAATGAAATATCGGTGTGATTCAAATTTATGACATGTATGACTAATCATGACGTATCTTACAATAGTCTATGTGATTTCATAATTGCATTTTTTTGTTCTTTTATTTAATCTAAGTTTATTGCGATTTTTAATATTGTATTTACAGTATATAGATTAAAACATTAACTATCATACTGGCAATACACGTTGGCCCAGCGACGGCATAATTATAAATAATAAACTATGCATACGATTATTTTTATTTTCTCGTAAAAATTACAAAAATCAATAAAATAATAAACATTATAAATTGTTGAAAACTTTAATATTTTTCACATGTTATTGCACATGCAGGCACTATATAATTAAAAAATCGAAAGTAAATTGAAAAAAAAAATTCGACTCGGACAGGACTTAGTCACTTTCAAATTTTAAATTATAAAGTGGCAACACACAATACTTGTGTTGAACCACTCTGCATCAGTGTGTCTTTGGCCTAAGAATACCTTGTTTTTCTGTTTACAGTATAATACCTATCTACTTCCAGCCTAGCATAGTTCGTTAGTCTAATCCCACTTATTCTAGACTACAATAGTGCCTGGAACAGTAAGAAAAAACATCCAGTGAGTATAAATCATCAATTGAAATTTGAAATGTTTATTACTTAATGAGAATATTATTATTTGATAATTGATTGTGATTGCGTGCATATTGTAAGGTATATATATACCTTACAATATGCACGCAACTACACCGTACTATATTTCGGGTCCGCGTACTATTGTACTACATCATAATATATTATGATAAAACGATATTTTCGACATATAATTATTTGTTATATATTATTATAAAACTATTTACTTACTGTCTTTTATATATTATATTCTTATGTTACATATGCCCTTAAATCCTAAGCGGCCATTTTGCACATGACTGGACATTTTTGTGACGTGGGTATAATGGGTTCATTCATCCATTGAGTTGAGAATCTATGTAGGTATTAAGTATTTACTGTTACCGCACCTACGATTGAGAAAGAATAGGTTAGGTTAGGTTAGAAAAGAAAAGATTTTACCTATAGCAAGCAAAAGTAACATACCATTTTTTATTAATAACACCATTCGCTGTGCTCATTAAACCGTTTACTACAATATCCCATACTTTTATTATTTTATTTATTGATTAAAAATTCACAATCAAAATCGATTACGAAATTTAATAGAATATACGGTCGATTGTGTTGACACTTGGTCAATCTCTAGCCTAGATCTTCGTCCCGCGCACCTCGCTTCTACCGCCGTTAACATCCTAAGGAACATAATATATACATAACAGCTATGCCCGCAACTATATCTGCGTAGAAAAGTTGGGCACCATATTTATTTTTACAACCTCCTAAGCTTTATATATTATATCCTTAGCTTATTGTATTATCGTCCTTGCGAGTTGATCTTAAAGGATAGACATATGACAGTCGAGGACATTATTTTAGATCATCATACTTTCATACCTATATAGTTTTTGAACCGTTTTCGCAACGCACGCAACATAAATGTATATTTCCCACCGTTCCTTAGCTCCTATTTGTCGCAGTGATGTTTTATAGCCTAAAAAGCTCGATAAGTACTTTAACCAATCCAAGAGACATTTTTCAATTGGAACCAATAGTTCTAACTCTTTAGCCTTACAATTACTATAGATATCAACAAATTTTAAAATTAATGATTATCTTTTCAGTAATGGATCTACTATGCGCACTGGCTGTTAACATTCTAGGCGGCGTCGCGATTTATGGCACAGCTGGAATAGCGACACCATTTGTGGCCCCAATGCTGGGTTTTGGATCGAGTGGCATCGCTGCTAGCTCGGTGGCTGCAGCTGCCCAATCGTACTATGGGAATCTTGCAGCTGGAAGCATTATCTCTCAACTTACCGCAGCCGTAATGGTCGCCCCTACCCCCTAAGGAATCTATAGGTAAGTGTAGCGTCAAATTCTGAATTGAACATTTTGTGGTCCATTTTATGTTAGGTAAAATATCCCAGCCATTGAATATCTTAACATGATGCACTCTCGACCTATTTTAGGTTCAGATTTTGGAAATCCCTAGTCTGGAACCGAAACGCGATTAAACTTCATGGCTTTTCATCTGTGGACGGTGGTTAATGACCCGGACAGAGTGCCACACGAAGTCGAATATGTTTCAGAAAAAATATAATTTTATTAGAAGATTGTTGAACTTGGAGGGAGTCAGACTGTTTTAGTCACACAATTGTAAATGTACCTATCCTTTTGAAAAATTAAATCACCTTTTTTCTGTGCCAATTATCAAGTAATCGCATAATGGTGCTTTGTGAAAGTAGAATTTCGTTAAACCGAGATGGTAAATCAGGCTGAGTTAGTATGTATAATCAGAGTTGTACATTTTAAAATCAATGTTTTATGATTAAAATGGTGTAATCAATAAAATTTTGTTTCAGGTTTGGCGTTCAGTGCAAGTTTTTTTATTTTCATGAATTGTCATTGTAACATTTTATGTAATATCTTCCAAATTGTCTAACTCTTTACTTTGAATATACTGATTTCTCAATTTATTTGTATTGATTATTTTTCACATTTAGCATAATAGGTAAAGTCCCAATTTCCCCCATGGGGCGATCACATTTTTGTGCCTGTTTCTGTAAAATGCTAGTTTAATCGAACTATTGTGAGTTAAGGCCTACAATATTAAACATACTGTTGAGTAATGAAATCCATTATGTCAGACACAGTTGTATGTCCACTTTCGTGTTCCTTTTTACAACAAGTAGTCACTTCAAACCCTTTCACTCTTTGATGTACGAAACGAACGTGGATGTAGACCATATTTATAGAACTGTCTATGACTACATGATATTACAAAACATTAGAGATGCAAGAGGTGCATGTAGCAATAGGTAAAAAAAATCGATAATGAGGTGTAGGACACGTTAGCTCAATTGGTTTGAGCAACAGCACGGAACGCTGTGGATGCCGCTTCAAGTCCTGCGTCGTAAATTTTTTTCAATCTAAAATCGATTGTTAATAGAGATTAGAGTTAATAATAGAGAGGAATGGGCATAGATAGTTTACTTATGCACCATCATGCTATAATAGAGTCCCTTTAGCTGGAGCAGTTCCTGATGAGTGCCGGTCTCAGCGACACATCCATCGCTGAGGACGCAAATGAGGTCTGCGTCACGGACTGTGCTCAATCTGTGGGCAATCATCACGCATGTACGACCGGCCTTCGCTGCGTCCAGGGCTTCTTGTACCACCTTTAAACATACAATATAGTTGTGAACGAATTTAAAAATGCATTTGCTATTAAATTGACTTCACAAGTGAGATCCAACCTAGAATAAGAGTGTCTCGTTTTGAGCTTGAATTGTTTCGCCCAGCTTATTTAATGTTGTTCTTAATTATACATGAAGCGTATATTTACTTAACTAAGCTTACCCCGATCACATAAGAAATATGAAATCCACAGACTGAAACCTAAACGTGGAAGACTTCACGGCTTATTCATCTTTATATGGTGATTCGTTTCCGTTCGGCACATTATAGAAATGTTATAAATTGATTTTTTTACACATTGGATGATGGTGAATACATTTACCGGGCTCGTTGGTGTAATGGTAGCTATGAATGGTTAATAATCAACGGGTCCTTCCCCACTGGATCTAACAATTTCCTCCGTTTAATTTCAACGACGTTTGAACGAGGATAATACCTTCTCGCTCTCATTATCCAAAGCGCTGGTCGCTTCATCTAGAAGTAGGATTTTAGGGCGGCGGATAAGAGCACGGGCGATTGCCACCCTTTGCTTTTGCCCCCCTGACAGCTGAATGCCCTTAGATCCTATGTCCGTTTCATAACCCTGTATCAATAATAATTACTTATATATTTATCTGTATTGATATTATAAAGCTGAAGCTTTCGCTTGTTTAAACGTTATAATCTCATAAAGTACTGCTCCGAATTGAAGGATTATTTTAGTTTTGGAAAATGTTGAAAATACGTAGAATCGCTCCACATTAGCTGGCTAGCTAGTACTAGCTGACCATAACCTAATTTTCTCTTTGCAGGGGACATTGTGTTGTCAAAAAAAAAACTCATGACATGCACTTTAAGTATATAGTTACAGAAATTTTGATGATTTTTTAAGAAGTAGGTACACATTAGAGAACCTTATATACACAGCCACGTGCATTTTTACAACTTAGATGAGATCAAAGAACTAAAGACAGTTAATAAGATTTTATAAAGAAACCAGTACGTTAAATACTGTGTAATAAGTTTACGCGAGTAGTACCTACCTACACATTTAAATATTTTACTACGGCCCGACGTTTCGGATTATTTGCAACAGTCGTGGACACGGGGAGAAAATAATTTTCAAACATCTTTAACTTAATATATCGCGTTTTAAACCGTTAGTGTTTTATTTAAACCAGAAGGTTTTTAAAGGGATGCAGTCAGAGTTGGATAATCCGTAAAGGCGGCAGGGGAAATGGGTGGAATGGTCAGCAAATGATGTGGACTGACCCATCCTTCTATCGGTGTCCCCAAAAGAAAGTAAATCGTACCTTTGGCAAGGATGCTATGAAGTCGTGTATATTCGCCAGGCGTGCTGCATCAATGACTTCTTGCCGTGTAACTGGTCTTGAATTTAGACCGTAAGCAATATTATCCTCTATGGTTCGGTCAAAAAGTATTGGCTCCTGACCAACGATTCCAAAACAGTCTCTCGACTCCTTTAAGCGCAATTGCGGAAGAGGAATTTCGTCCAAACTCTGTTATGTAATCGAGACGTATGTAAATAGACCTTTGATTTTTGTTTAATTATCTACACCTACCCCCTTAATAAGCCTTTTTTTCTCTGGTACTCCAGGTTGTCTGGAAGAGGTCGCTGCTTAGCGATAAAGTCGCCGTTTATTTATAAGTTAATACTTAAGATACGTAGATAAGTAACGTTATTACTCTATCTATTTATATTCTATACTAATATATATAATATAAGAACTAAAGAAGAAGAAACTCAAGAGTGTTTGTTTGTATGTTTGAACGCGCTAATCTTAGGAACTATAGCTTCGAATTCAAATATTGTTTTTGTGTTGGTTGAAACATTTACGTTATGAAACATAACCCTGTGGGCTGTGACTAATACAGCGAGAAATGTAATAAAAATTCATTCATCATTATGGGTTTTCGAGGCATACGCTGCAAAAACGGTTCAAGATGCCCAAATATGTATGAAATAATTATTCCTGAAAAAAGTTCCCGACGCTATATTATGTCCATCTTTAAAGATTAACTTGCAAGAGCGACGGGGGTCGCGCCGTCGTAGTTAACAGCTTAAGTTTATAAAAGAAGAAGTGGTTTGCAAAAACGATTTAGGATTTGATATAAAGAAGATGAAGAAGAGAAGGTCGATCACCTAATATACTTAAGATGTTATATGGCTGGGGTATTTTTCATCCATCTTGTGACCACCATGTTAATTATTGTCTGTCTCTCTCTGATATAAAAGAATATGAACAGAAGAACACTTACTATGCATCCAGAGTCCGGATCATAAAAACGAAGCAACAGCTGTACCACGGTGCTCTTCCCGCAACCACTTCTTCCCACTATGGCTATCGTCTTTCCGCTATCTATCTATAATAATATCTATAATATCACCGTTAGATTGTAAACTGTCTACGTATAAATCTTATTGTGAACAGACCCGCCATATCCTTTGATAATGTTTAGGGCAAAATGTTGGAGGTTGTGGTACCTCCGTTTATCGATCGACGGTTCCGTGGTATTCTATGATCAGACAGACTGCATATTTTAAATTAAAGAAAAAGTTAACAAGCAACATCTATAATATTAATCTATACTTATATTATAAAGCTGAAGAGTTCGTATGTTTGTTTAAACCCGCTATTTCAGGAACTCCTGGTTCGAATTGAAACATTCTTTTTGTATTGGAAAATGTGGAAAAACATGGAAAATGATTCATCGTTGTATGCTTTGCGGAAGCGCTCCATGAAAGAATAACATCTACGAAGAAATAATTATTCTTTAAATTATCTAAAAAAATGTCTGTGATATTTTATGCCTATGTTTAAAGAAAAACTCGCAAGAACCATTTTTATGGTAGTCGGTAGAAAGTAATGCATTGTAAGCAAATTTAAAAGTTGTATCAATAATATGTATGAACACAACAAATATATTATAATTTTCCCCGTTTTATCTCTATTATACATTTCCACTGTTGTGTATATTGGTCGCAGGTTAATGTTATTTACATGTAATCTAAAGAATAATATTTTTTAAATCTAACCAGCAGTTTCTGAGCGCACTAAAACGAAAGCAAATTTAGAATTGTAAAATTAGTATAGATTTTGTAGTACATAGTGCCATAATTAGCACAAGTAACTTACCTTTAAGTTGAGCCCTCGTAAAACTCTTACCGCAGGTCGCGTGGGGTAGCGGAAATCGACGTTTTTAAATCTCGCCTCGCCTTTTGACACCTGGGAATAGTTTGGTTATACCAACTATAGACAGGTCATGGGGGAAACAGATGGCATACCACCATTCGAAGAATCGTTGTTGAGGTTATGACCCTAAAGATTAAGGAATAAGAGCTGATGCTCTCCTCGGAGGAGGATAAAACGAAAAGTACGAAAGTAGAAATGTCCCACTTTAACTTCGTTAAACTGTGACTCATATATCTACCAAGAACTTGAGGCTAATAATACATTAAATTTAATTTTATAATACAAGTTAAGCAGATATATTATAATCTCTATTGTAATAGAAATGTCATATGAGGTCGCTAGAGGCAGAGTAGCCTACCTGCAATATTAATGACTTGAGTTATTTATATTTTCATCGTATAAAAATGTTAATCTACGAAAGCACAGTGACCGATAATTATTAACATAAGTTTTACACAAATAATAGTAGATACAATTTCATCTTCGCCTAAGTTATTGGACATTTTTATTTCCTCCTAATTGAAAATCATGTTTTCTTGTTATTAGGCCACTGAACCTCTGCCTCGTAGACCATAATTACCAATTCTCAAAAGGTTTACTTTTTAGTTTCCTCGCCATTTTAATAAATTTCTACAAACTCACAAAATTCGTAACATCGGGATTTTCAGGATCAGTGATGATCGGTTTAGATTTCAACATGTTGAGAATCCTTGTGGCGGCGTTTACGCCCCTTTGAAAGTCGGGCACGTATGCGAACGCATTCTGCGCTTGATTCGACGCCATTTGCAATGATTGGGTCGATCTGAACATTCCACACCTTTATACATCTTTATCGAAGAGAGAAATTTTAGTATTTGATTACAATGCAATTTTTGTATTATCATTTTTATTTCGATAATATCTCATAAAGCTTTAATATTTTTCACATGTACATTGTATAAATAAAAAATCAATACAGATCGAAAAAAAAAACGACACGGACGGGATTTGAACCGGCATCCACAGTGTTTTTCGTGCTACTGTTCTACCACAACTAAAACTTATCCATTGTCAAAACATGTTGCATACTAACACTAGAATATTTTGATATCCAACGCCATCTGTCACTATTAAATGGCCACCATACGATAGAGCCGCAGCGTTCACAAAGTTGAAAAGAGAACGCGATAGCCCCGTAACAACGCCACGCCAATGAGCGGCGCGTTTTGCAGTTTTCATTGCGGGTAGAAGCAGTTTGGCGTATTGTGAAACTACCCTTCCTTCCAAACCGAGAGATGCGACAGTCCGGATGTTAGATACCGCTTCAACAGCTACCTAAGGGAATTTTTCAATGATAGACGAGGACAGAAAAGCTTGAGGTTCACTGGATGGTAAGTAAGACCCCAGCCAAATATTCGGAAATTAAGGGGCTGAAACCGAAACGTGAGTAAAGCTTTTACATCTGTGCTCGTTGTTTTGTGACGCGGGCGGAATTCCGATATTCCTCCCACACATTTATCATCCCGATTTCCAGAAGCCCAACATATTTTAGAAAAGATATAAGTTGATTACAAGTGTTGGTTCGGTGGGGAACGAACCTACACTTGTAATCCCGTTGATTATTAGCCGTACATTGCTACCATACACCTACGAGCCCGAAAGATGACTTATAAACCAAAGTAGCCACAGAAAGTATTTCTATCTATATTCTTTACGTAGCCTTAACGTTTTTTTACGTTGTAATCGAGGAATATAAAAAAAGTTATATGGAAAGAATACTATTTAACCATGTAAATACCAAATGGGATTTAAAAAGCCTTGTTTTTATATATACCATTGTACTCCCTTCAAGAGCGGCAGCGTATCCGCTAGATTCCTCATCTGTGGCCTTCCCTTGCTGCCACATAACGTAGATAATTATTGGCGAGAACCCTATTACCACGAGACCCACCCTCCATTCGAACCACATGGCTAAGAAGAATGCTAATCCGACCGAGCCAATAGCTTGCAGAATTATACCCATTTGCTGACCCGTCGCCTGAAAGAAAAAGAAACTAAAGGTACGATGGGGCTATAGATATAGTTTACGCAAGTAGTACACATTTAAATAAAACACTTTAACGGTTTAAACCGCGATATATATTAGTTAAACTTATTTGAAAATGATTTTTAACTGCGGCCCGACAATTCGAATGCTTTGCAACAGCTGTGGTCACGGGGAGACACTCATGGGAGTTGTATTTAATAAATAAAACATTTTAACAGTTTAAAACGCCATATATATTAGTTAAACGCCGGGCCGTAGTAAAAATAATTTTCAAATAAGTTTAACTAATATATATCGCGGATTATACCGTTAAAGTGTTTTATTTAAATGAGTTCATCTTGTTAGATAAAACTGAGGTTCCAAATAGTTTTGGCCAAATATTCTTTTTTCTTCTATTTTATGTTTTTGTTGTAAAGTAAACATGTTTGTGTTATATTTTGGTTTATATGTACGTACTGTTCTACTTTTAATGTCTAAAAATCTTCGGTCACTGCGCTTTTCTCGATTAAAATTTTAAACTATGAAAATTATATTAAGTCGTCATAAAATTGCAATTACGCTACTCTGCCTCTAGCGGCTTCACATATGGATAGACATTCTCACCCCCTGAACGTACGCAGCTTCGGACGAGAGTCGAGCGCACAAAGCGCCCGTGGAATGTGCAAGATCGTCGAAGAAGCCAATGTGCTGCTTCAGGAAGTGGGTAAACATCCTCAAGCGAAGTCTCTCCGTCAAATAAGCACCGGAGGCTCCGAATGCTATTGTCTATAAAACATATCATATATTTCATTGAATTTATTTAAATTTAACGGTTTAAAACGCGATGTATATTAAGCTTGTGTGTGACATCCCGTTTCCCCTCATGGGGCATGAGGCGAAAACATTTCTGTGTCCGTTTCACTGATCCGTTCTTTAACAGGCAAGTAGTTGATCTGACTTCTATGGCCTATCCGACCGAAACAATTTTTTGTTTCCCTGGGATTCGAACCCAGGATGTCTCGCGCTTAACGCAATGCTAGGCAATACGTTTTACCGTTTGGCTACAGAGGCGGTCTGCTATATTAAGCTTATTTGCGCATATTTTTTTTTTGCATTGACAGCAAATCAAAATCTAGGAATCTTATCTAAGTAATACAAACATCTTGTTTTAAATATCCCTAAATTTACATCCAATATCTTATCACACTTCTTTTGACCGCTTCTGAGAAATATTGGTAAAACGCATTTGTAGTAGCGGGGAGAGCAGAGAAGAAAACGAATAAATAAAAAAGAAACGAATAAATATGCTGCACACCTCAAAGAAATTCGATAGCCCGATAGCACAACCGATACAAATACAGGACATGGAAACTTTCTCTACTTTCTTCATGAGCTCTTCTGCATCAGTATTTGACATAGACTGGAAGTATACATTTGTTACGAAAAAGGGTGTTTTTTTAATAAGACTTGACAAATATATTAGCTAAACTTATTGACAATTTATTTTAACTACGGCCCGACTGCGACGTTACGGATGCTTCGTAGCAGCCGTGGTCACGGGGACACTATTTAAATACCTATGAAACATTTTATTTCAGTTTTACTACTCGCATAAGCTACATACACTATTTGAAACACTTTTAATGGTTTAAAACGCGAAATGTATTAGTCGCACTTATTGACAAATTGTTTTAATTACGGTCCTGAGTTTCGGATGTTTTCCAGGAGGCCAAGCTTAACTACTACTACGTTAACTAATACATTTCGCGTTTTAAACCGTTAAAAGATTTTTATTGACTTGAGAAAAAGCCTCACACCAAACAAGTCACCGAAGAGCACAACAAATAAGGGCACTGAAAACCCTGTTATGACAGAGCACAGACAACCCAATGTTATCAACTTCCACTCAGGTGCGTTTAGTGCGACTACCCTCCAAAACGATAACACTGGTTCTTTCATTTTCTTACCATCATCATCCTAGAACAAAAGTTTAAATCATCAACGTCTATTACTAAAAAATTGAGGTTTTTTTTTATGACTGATGAGGACTGAGAAGCTGAAACACCCACGCCACATAACATCTAAATAGGATTCAATTTTTGGATTTGGATGTTTGGAAATCCACAGACTGCAACGCGAATCAACTTTAGGGCTTTTTCTTTTGTGACTCTCGGTTTCGATCTCCCTACAACCGTTTAAAAAGCCGATTTCCAGACAAAGTCCAACATATTTCAGAGAAAATATAAATTGATAAACTTGTTGGATCCGGTCGGATTCGAATCTACGACCCATTTCTAACATACATTGCTACCACGCAAGTTAATTGCGCATTTTTATTTTCCTCCTAATTGAAAATCATGTTTTCTTGTATTAGGCCTTACTGCCTCTAGCAACTTAAGGTGTAAAAAAAAGGCTCTATATAATTTTATTTTATACTGATGTTTTTTTCTGTTTGTTACGGCGTATCTCGCTAACAGCTGTACAGTTGGAATTCACACTTTTTTAAACTGTTAAAATTTTGTACGTTTATATTCTTTTAGTTATATTAAAAATGAACTTAAATACATACTTCTATTAGCTGTATTTTCTCATTGTGTCGTTGTGATATTACCGACGCTTGTGGACTTATTAAATCCTCTGAAACAAATTGTTCATTTTATTACTTATAACTTATCTATTAATAATTCAGTACGCATTAAAAATATACCTATAAAACTAAAAAGCGAAATATATTACTTAATTTCTTTTATACTATGACCCGATGTTTCTGGTCTAGCAGTCGTGATTAAATAACCTGTCATCATTTGAAGAAATTGTAACCTTTGCTTGTCGCCCTTATATCGTCGCCCGTGACACCGGTCTCAAACATTTTGTAATAGTATCCGTCCATTTTTAAGAGCTGATCGTGGGTCCCTGTTTCCACTATCTGTCCCTCGTGCATCACGTATATGCACTCCACATCTCGAATCGTCGATAGCCTATGAGCTATTATAAGCGTTGTGCGTCCTTTAGTAGCCTTAAATAAATATGAAGTTAAATAAAACACTTTACTTATTTGAAGATGGTAGAACTAAGTAAACTTGCTGGTTTAGTTTATTGTTTTAATCTATTTATCACGATATTTTTCTACTTCAAATAATGGTCACATATAAAAATATTGAGACACGACTATCTTATCCATATCCCATATACAGAATTCATGATCTCGAGCAAGTCTTGGACAAACATACAGTGACTATGATTAACAGGCTATCCGAAAAGTAACGATTGTTTATTACCTTGTCCAGTGCTTTTTGGACTTTAGCTTCAGACGCTATATCGAGCGCGCTCGTGGCTTCGTCCAATAAAAGGATGCGCGGATTTCGAACCAGCGCACGCGCAATGGCGATGCGTTGTTTCTGTCCACCCGAGAGCGACGCGCCGCGTTCCCCGACAACCGTGTCGTAACCCTTAAATACATAGATTACATTAAAGCGATGTTATGTACTGTAAGATTAATGTTAAACGTAAAAACGACTCGACCGATTTCAATGAAATATTGAATAGAAGCATCTGATATCACTACCATATAGACTATACTAATATTATAAAGCTATAGATTTTGCTTGTTTGCTGTAAAACATCATGCTGTGACGTAACGTAGTCCCCCCGGGGGGGTTTTCCCCCCCCGGGGAAAAAAGGGAAAAAAAACAAAAAAAAAAAAAAAAAAAAAAAAAAAAAAAAAAAAGGAAAAAAACGGGGGGGGGGGAGGACGTAAGGGGAAAAAGCCAAAATTTAAAAAGAAGAAGAGGTTTGCAAAAAGAAATTGTAGTGCGCGACACAACTAACTACAGCAGACGAAGTTGCTAGCTCAGCTAGTTACTTATATAAACGTAGTCAAGAAATTTTAGTGACACAGCAGGCAGTTTCATAATGAACTCGTGCGCATAAGCTTCTCTCGCTGCATTTTCTACGTCATCATCCGTGGCGTCTTCACGACCACGGAGTATATTATCTCTTATTGAGGTGCTGAAGAGAACCGGCTCTTGGGAGACCAAGCCTATTTGAGATCGTAACCATTTCACGGACAAATTCTTAACGTCATATCCGTCCACATTAACCTTAAAGAGATAATATTTTGCATTTCTACATTATTTTTAGATAACAGTTTCAACGGTTTAAAACGCGATATATATTAGTTAACTTCCTTTAACTACGAGCCGACGTTTCGCATGAGCCCCCGTGGTCACAGATGGTGTAAATCAGGCAAAACGTCGAGTCGTAGTTAAACGAAATAAAGTAATAAATATATTTCGAGTTTTAAACCGCTACAAGTGATTTATTTAACAGTGGACTACTCGCGTTTGATACATTTGATTTAATTTAGGTATTTAGGAGACTTTATTTCTCATATGGGACAGACGATTAACATTTCATTTAAATTTTTAATTTACAGACAAGAGGAAGAAACAAGAGAATGAAGTAAAGAGAAAGGGCCAAAGCAAAGACATTTTCCCTGCACGGGGCATAGAGTGGAGGCACATTACAGTCAAGTAACGGTGTCCTGCCCGTGAGTAAAAACATTATTGTTGCGACGGCGTTCGAACCTAGAATCTAGTGGTAACCAGCGCATTTCAAACCACTTAGCTACAGAGGCGGTCTGGATGTTGGTATGAAAGTGTCAAATAAAATATTTACCGAACCATCGACAACATCGTAATTTCTTGAAATCAGTTGTATTATCGTGGACTTGCCGCAACCGGATTCACCGACTAGTGCAGCCGTTTGGCCCATTTTAATAGACAAACTTATACCTTTTAAGACCTTAAAGTACAAATTAAATAAGCTTCGTCAATGGGTCGTGGGTTTCTAATCTACCAATAATTTTTCTAAAACATGTTCTTCTTTGGCGTTTAGGTTGCAGTCAGTAGAATACCGAATATCCAAAATTAAAATGGGCTGAAATACCCCAGCCATATGATCATACACATTTAACATCTAAACAGGATGTGCTGTCGAACTATTTCTTATTACATATCGTAAAATAAACTAACAGGAATATCAGGGCGAGATGGATAGCGAAAGAATACGCTTCTAAGCTCCACGTTTCCTTGAAACGTCCTTGGTTTTAATCCTCGGTCCAACAAAGGGTTAATAGCTGGTATATTGTCTATGGTATCGAAGATGTGTGCGCCTGCGCCTCTTGCCGACCCAAACGAGTTCATTAGATACCCGATCATGCCGAAGTTACTTAACGCTGTCATTATACCAAAAAACACCTGAAATATTACAAATCTCATGACCGGCGTGGATTTGTGGTAGCATCATAAGCCAAAGAGATCCTGGATTCCAATTCTGAGAAAATTTACTACGATAATACAGAAACGGCTGATTGGATTGAGGAAAAGAGACAACACCATCGACTCGGTTTAAAAAAATAGATGAAATATATTTTGAAAACATTAATATTTTTCACATGTTATTGCACATGAAGGACTATATAATTAAAAACAAAAAAAAAAAATTATTTTTAAAAAGATGAAATATAGTTAAATTGCTGTAACATTGAGGCTCACAGAAAACATGACGTCTGCGTTGTAGTTAGCTGGTTCTTCTATAACGAGATATATTCCAAAGTAGAAGGACAAAGCGTGTGATCCAAATATGCAGAAGTATAGAATTCCCATAGATAAGCCGGTAAAAAATTCTTTGAAAAGACAAGGATTAATTAAATAAGGATGTAAAAAAATATTGAAGTAAGGAAATTAAATTATTTACCATTAGTATTACACATTTAAATATAAAACACTTTTAACCACAAAGTTTAAAAAAATTATAATCACGAGAAAACATTAGATTTAGATGTTGGTTTGTAGTCAAATAAAAAATAAGTTTATTATATTTTGGGCAAAAAATAATTTATTTATGATATTCACTTTTGGCCTCTGGCATTATGGAAAGTGGGAAAAAAATTTGTAATTAATTGAGTCTGCTTTTATACAATAAACTCACACTTAAAATTACTAAGGAAAAAGCCATACCTTTCTTAATGTGTATAGCCCTTGCTTGGACCAAATGTTTGCTATACCTGGCTATCTCTTTCTCTTGCCCATTGAAAGCATATACCGTCCTTATCGAGCTGATCGCTTCTTCAGCTACCACGCTCGCTTCGCTTTTGGCCTTCGACTGCTTTTTGTATAAGTTATTTGCTATCTGTATAAATTAAAATCGTGCTACTAAAACTATTCATAACTTTGTTGAGTTAGCTAAACCAATTCGGCAAAAAAAAGCAAAGCCAGCCAGCAGCTCTTGTAGATTAACATTTATAGACTATAAAAATATTAATAAGTTAGGCTACTCTGTCTCTAGCGTCCTGTTCTAGTATATAATGAAAAAAACTAAATAACCAAATTCACCCTTTATACGAACTGAATAAGTAAAAAAAATGCAAAAGATGAATTCTTATTGTATTTGTAGCTAAATGTTTAGCACTGCCTTAAACGCAAGGTTCGGCTCGAATAGACAATCTGATCCGTCTGTTCATAAAACCGATCAGTCAAATGGACAGTTCAGACAGGATCAGTGGATGGGGGGAACGGGAATTTACTCGCTTTATGAATTTTAATGACGTACCCAACCCGTTAGACCAACAAGAAAAAACGTAATTGGTGTAGGAATGAGGCACAGCAGAGCAAGCTTCCAGCCTTTTACCAAGGACATGATAACGCAACCTATAGCCACGGCTGAGCTGTACATCAACGACGATAACTTGTCGCCTATTCCTTGCTCCAGTTTGATGACGTCACTGGAAATCATTTTGGAATTAATGGGGATAATACAAATCAAAAAGGCACTAGATCAATTTTAAAATTGCTGGAAAGCATTAAAAACGTGGACTTAAATAATAATGACGAACATTTTAGAACAAAGTCGTAGTAATAAAAGTGTTTTTATATATTGAGGTCGTTTAATCAATATATGTATAATGAATACTTTGTGTCATCTGTGGCAACAACTTTAGTCTATAATAGATCATCACTAGATCTCTATGGTTTGAAATCGGCCATATTTGTTGTGGTTTTTTGACATTTAGTAAGGCGCTTAAGGAATAATAAAGATGAAGATAAATACATCTAATACAACATACGGAATTATTTACTCTGCCATCTTCGATGCGAAGTCACCAGTGCGATGCAAGTCGTAATAAGCGAAGTCCTGGTTCAAGGCAGCCGTTAAGTATTCACATCGAATTTTTAACACCTGGAGCCAAAAAATTTCCTATCTATAAATTATATATTAAAGCTGAAGAGTATTATTATATTAAAGCTGAAGAGTTCGTTTGTTTGTATGTTTGAACGCGCTAATCTCGGGAAGTTATGGTTCGAATTCAAAAATTATTTTTTGTGTTGGCTAGAGCATCTATTGAGGAAGGTTATAGGCTATAGAACACGCGTTGTGACTAATAGGAGCGAAGAAAAGCGGGAAGAAATCGGGGAAAATTATTCATCCTTCTGGGTTTCTGTTGCGTACGTTGCGAACGCGGTTTAAGACACCCAAAAAATATGTATGAAAGAATGATTCCTCTTTAAACTATCCCAAAAAATGTCCGCAACATTATATGTCTAAATTTTAGGGTTAACTGGCCAGAACGACTGGAAGAAAACGACATCGAGAATAACAACTTAAATTTATAAGAGTTGAATAGGAGGTTTGCAAAACAAATAGCTAATTTACGCGGACAATATAAGTACATATTATAAATATAAGTACCCCCAGTTTTTTGAGAACTAAGTATAGTTTGAATGTCATAAATCACTTTATTTAACTAGTACGAGTCTTGGAAGGCAAAAAATTAAACACTAGCTACGTCAGCGACTTCGTCCGCGTAGATATTATATATAAATAACTATATTTAGGGCATCAATATTTGTTTTTGCAAACCTCATTGTAAATTATTGTTGTATAGCTGATGTTTAGTACAAGATTGTTTTTAATATAGAGAGAAAGAAATAAAAGTGTTGGTCTGGCATCCTGCGGTCGAGTTATCTTTCTAGGTGTATCCAATTCGTACAATCGATGAAACGGACTCAAAATAAAGTATTGTCTGTAGTTACGCGTGTGAAAAATGTATTAGCTATCTTATCAACAATTTATCTTCAGTCCCCCATGAGATGGGAGAAGGGGCTACCCGTGAACACGACGGCTGCAAAGTATCCGAAGCGTCCAGTCTTATTTAAAATAGATTTCAATTATATCCAAAAATACCTGATTAATAGCAGCTATATTCATAAGGGCTGTGCCCAAATAGCCTCCAGATAAAAGAATGATGCCAACACAAGCATATTTATAAACAAAATGATGCATCTCTCGTAGAAAGTTCTCATTCGTTTCAACAGTTTTATTCGATTTGGCGTAGTTAATCATGGAGTGAAATCCATTTGACACCAAAGTAATGGAATAGGGTAAAGAGGTCCCAGATATAAAAGTAGCTAGAAGCGCCAATGTTATTAAGAGAATGTCCCATTTCGTAGTAAATCTGAACTGGAAATACAAAGATACAATAAAATGATTAATCAGTGGCAGGAATATACTGGTTATATAAAAATATGGAATTTATTTTTAAGAAATTATCTTACCAATGTGAAATAAGATATGCTTGGGGTCTTCTCACCTTGAATACTTCCTTTCCTAGAAAGTTAGTTTTTATAATATATTTAAATTGTGTTATTTAATATCGGAATATGAAACAAACGAATACAATACTTACTCAGATTTATTATTAATTCTATTCTTAGTCATAATTTATCGGCGTATACAAAATACAAATGTGTAAAATTTTATTTTTTAAGGAATTGCGGACCAGCTTACGTAACTAATCAACGTTTTCAAATTTAGTGCAAATTTGTTGTAATTTATGCTCATAACGATAAAGTCCTGACCACAGATATTGAAGATAATGTTTCTGACAAAAAAAAAAAGGTTGTAAGCAACTTCATGTTTTTTTTTAAATTATTATTTTAAAATACGGGCTTAGATTTATCGCAGAGTATCCTCTAGATTCTAGAATATTTTATATTACTCTGTGGTATTTACACATACACTTGTTTGCAGTCTGTTCTTTGTATTACATCTGTTATCAATGTTTGTTCCGTAGTTCTTTATTTATTTCTGGAATTCTGTATTCAATGTTCGTATATTATGATTTACAAGATTTTAATGTTGTGTTAAACTATACTATTTACTGACTATAGTTTCAAACTACGTTACCCTTCCGATATGTCACCCTGAATAACCATGCTTTGTTTTGGTACTTTAGACGCTTAATATTAATACAAAATAGGTTTTATAGACTTATAACAGCGATTTACGATTTTCTATCTAGCAGACTTTCACTTATGATAAATGTTCTGATTTGCTTACAGCTAATTATTAATAAACGTAACTTTACTTTGTCAGTAAAGTCTAATCTTATCCATTTAAACCAACAAGCAGTCTATTGTTATCTGACAAAAAAGCTTGGGAAACTAACCTAGCCTCTTTTTTTTCAGCTTTTAAAATGGGAGGTTGCAAGTGTTCATACAGGAATTGTACTGTAAAATCTGATGGAAAAACACATTTGTTTCATTACCCTGTGTTTGATAAACAACGGTGCCATCAGTGGATTAAGAATGCACAGCGACATGAGTTTTTAAACCTGAAAGTGTCACAATTAAAAAACAGAGTTATATGCCAGTATCATTTTAAAGATGAACATTTTATGAATTACAAGGTGAGCAGTTTAGAATAATCTTTGTTGACTACAATATATTGTCTGTATTTTAAGTATAAGCACATCGTAAATAAAAGTACTTATGTTTAAAAAACAAAAATAGACTCTTTTTTTTTTAGTTTCTAACATAAAGTGTAATAAACAATATTTCTGCTGATTGTAAAGTCCATAACTTATGCCATTATAATAATTATAGTCGTACATTTGTAACATAATCTTTTGCTAAAATTTATATGGTAGGAATTTGTCTTTATTACAGAAAGAAAAGCTTATTTTTGATGCTGTTCCAACTGAAGATGGTCCATATTGTGATTCTGAAAAATGGAGGAAGAGTTGCCAAAACAGTGCTAATATACTACCAGTAACAATAGAAGATATTGAAAATGAACAATTAACACACATTGAAAAAAAGGCAAACTATTCACTGAAATATGCAGACTTCTTAACTTGCTCCGAAATAGATCTGTCACAAGATTCAAGTTTAGATATGAAGTGCTTTAATGAAAAGAATATTTCTAGTAGTATAAAACGGTTTAGGCAATCGTTAAAAAATGAACCAAATTCACCTAAGACAGCACTAGCTGTCGTTAATCCATTTGATACAAGTAATATTGAAACAGAAGAAAATATAAACCTACAGCAAATTGAAACCAATATTAATCTATGCGAAGATGCAGAAGCAGAACCAAAGTGGGCACGTCCAGCTAATAAAATAAAATCAACAATTAATTCAAACAAAGAAGAACAGAATGAACCAAAGGCAATTAAAGAATATGGAAAAAGCTCTAAAAAGGAAAATATGTGTAGGATGCCAAATACATCTTCACTACAGATAAGACCTGAATCTAAAGTAAACATAATATCACAAAAGAAAATTAAGTCTCCGATACCAATGCCTAAAAATCTTCATCCCGTGTCTCCAATGATAGTGTTGAAGGTGCCCGAAAAGGAACCAAAATCATTGCAACATTTACACATACAAAATAATGTTGACACTGTAGACCTGATAAATCCAATCAATTTAAATGAGCAACACCAAAACATAGCAGAATGTGCTACAAATGAGACACAACAAGCAAATACAACACAGCAGAATACCTATTCTGTAGATTTAACACAACCAAATCAACCACTTTTTTCTATAGATTTACCTGAGCAACAAGTATATCCACAATCGGTTACATATTCCGTGGATTTAATTAAACAAAATCATGAACCAATCTTAAAATGTAATGATAAAAGTGGTGACAAACCTTTGTACATAATAGATGTAAATGGAATAAAACGGATAAATCAAGCAAATTGGGAAGGCTCTAATAATAATAGTCAAAGAAATGAAAGCTTTATAGATTTAAGAAACATAAAAATGGCTCAAGACAAACCAGCAATTTCCATATTATCAACAGACCAAGCTAAGAAGACAGGTTGTAATATAAAGGAGTTGCAAAATAAATATAAAGAAGATGTAGAGTATGAGGCAATGCAGGACAGAAAAATAGAGTCCCAGCCATCACCAACACAGAAAAAGGAGAACTCACAAAGAGTAATAATGTTAAAGAACAAGTTGAACCCAAATAGGGTAGCTGCTATTGAAGAAAAGAGACAGTTTAATAAAAAACTAAGGGACGCCGTCGAGAAATGTTTAAATCAAGCCTTTGATCCAGGTCTGCAAACGAAAAAGTTACCAGTTTCCCCAGAGCCCGATAGACAGAAAAGCTTGTCTACAAATGTGTCAACACATTTATCAAGTGACCCAAATTTGCCAAGTGCCCAAGAGTACACTTTGAACTTCTTAGAGAGTCGTTTGCAACAGATGGAGAATAGACTATTGAATAAAATAGATCAAAACTCACAGAAGATTCGAGAAATGAAAGAAGACCTGGCGCCGAAAAAGAAGCCAAAATCTTCAACAGCTTCCATGCAAACTGGCGAAAACCATAACACAGAAGAGGCATACAAAAGACATTTGTTTGGAGAAATTTCTCAGTTTCTCAGCCCTAGTTGTAATAGTGCGGTGTACGAAGAATTATTTATCAACAAGTATTCATTGAATAATAAATACGAAGATATTGAAATTGTTAAGAGAAAAAGAAAGTGTAACAGGTGATGAAAGTATTTTATCATTTGTTTAATATTTGTAAATATTCAACTAAAGTTTAAGTAACAAATCACTATTATTAATAATAAGTAATGCCTAAGAAAATCAAAAATAATACAATAGCTAAATCTCTAATCCTACCACTTCCATCAGTAGGTTGTAAATGCGTCTATTGCTAATCACTGAGTCGAGTTAGATATAATTATTATTTATAAGATTTTAGATTATGTTTAGCTGTAAGTTTTGTCTATTTGTAAATTGCAGAGTGTCTGCCGTATCCTTCCTATCTGGGAGAGAAATCAGGGACTTTTCTTTTCTTCTTTACTTTCTTATTATGCGCAAGAGATCCACTCTTGCGCATAATAATAAACTAAACAAACTTTGGGAGATCATGATATACATATTGTTTTAGTTAGACTCTTAAATAAAATGATTAGTCGTAGGTTTTAAAAATTACCCATTGAGTGCTTTACGTTTTTATCTTTACGGTATATTGTAATTTAATTATATAAGTTTAACATTGTGTTCCCTTTTTGCAATCTGTTAAAGTATAAATTGTGTAAGGTTTTTCTGCAACGCTTTGTATGTTTTCGACTTGTTTCGCCACTATAATTGATAAATTGTTCATCAGGGGATGATGGAAAAAGGTGGAAAACCCAAGCATCTTGGGGTTGGAATAATAAATTTTATACATATGGAAATTTATATATAAAGGTGAGTTTGTATTTTACAGAATATGAATTTGATTTACATCAATTGTATTAAATGGATTTTTAATAGTTTGGATGTATAATTATTTCTTAGTTCATATCCTAGAACCAGTGACGAATATACATGAAATAAAGTTATTATTTGACTTATTAAAGGCTTTCATAACACACTTTAAAACTGATGTTAGTTTAACTAATGATACTTTCTTTTATAAATTATCTTATACACTATTAAGGAGAGCCCCTTCCACCATCTTATGTACGTCACTGTCTAAAAATAAGCCAATGACAGTAATAATCAATAATATAATAATAAATAGTGATATTAAATTATAAAAAAATACTTCTAACAGTGAAAAAGTAATTAAGGCCACTTCTGTGAATTACGGAATAATTAGTCACGCTTCATATAAAACACATGAAACATTCCCATAGCGAGCAATTTAATAAATGTTTGATGAGACTAATTTTTCCCCGCGTTAAAGTAATTGAAAGCGTCTGTATTCAGTTCATACCATACCACCACTTGAAGTATAGAGTTTGTACTGAATTAGTAAAATAAAATGTCTTCTAAAACCACATCTAACGACGTCCAAAACATAAAAAACACTTTTACATCGCTTAACCCGCTTCTCAAAATCTTCGGCTTAAACTGCGACACGTTTCAATGTGAGAAAACAATCCTATCATTGATCGCGTTTCTGTTGCCGGCTGTTATAATCGGTTGCGCAGACGCATACTCGATGTACTACAAACTACAACACACGTACAGTCAAGTAACGATGTCCATAAAGTACGTGGACGGTTTGCAAGTGATTTTTGACTACTTTCAGTATCTTATTGATCTATACGTCGTTTACAAGACGGGCGTGTATATACAAAACTACTATAACACGTATAGGAAGATAGACGAAAATCTCGCTCTGAAATATTGTTCAGCGGTGCAGAAAAAGCTACGTATTATAGTAATATATTTCGGTTTCATTTGGTTGTTTAGTTGCGCCTGCGATTATGGTGCCTGGATATACACATCTGGCTTCGATATTGCGACGAGCTTTTTCATGTCCTACGTGTTTATATTGATAAAAATTTTGACGAGTATAGATATGACGTCACATATTCTGCACGTTGAGTATAGACTGAGTATTATTGGGGACATAGCTGAGTCCATGTGCAACAAGAACGTTTGGGCAACAGAGGAAAGACCCGCTAAGGTGTTAGTAAGAAGACGCGATATTTTGACTGAAATCCAATGCCTTAAGAAATGTTATCTTTGGATAATTGAACTGAATGGCTTTATCAATCAAGTATTTGGCGCGAGGGTAAGTAGTGTACATTATTGTAGTCGATATTTATTATTGTAAAACTTAAGAATTTGTATAAACGCGCTAATCTCGGGAACAACTGGTTCTAATTGGAAGATGCTGTCTGTGTTGGATCAACCATTTAGGAGAAATAGTCAGATGGCTGGTCCAAAAGGAGCAAAAACTGGTGGAAAAAACTTATTCATCTTTGATCGCATTTGTTGCGTGCGCTTCTAAAACGGTTCAAATTACCCAAAAAATATGTATGAAAAATGATTTCCCTTTAAATAATCTAAAAAAATGTATGTAACCATGTATGTCAATTTTTATGAACTTTCAAGAATGCCGGCCGCGACCGACGTCTTGGGTAACACGGATAAGGTCTGTAAAAACAAATGTCCAAAATAACTATTCCACGCGGACGAGTTGAGCCGCTGGCACAGCTAGTAATCCATAAAAATTTTCTATCTGTGCTTTGATAAATGCTCGAAAATAAATTTATCAATTGGGACCATTACTTCCTGAGATTAGCGTGTTCAAACAAACTCTTCAGCTTTATAATATTAGTATAGAATATAGATATATGAATGGTACATTTTACAGGTGTTATTAAACAGCCTAAGCATACTAATAGACATGGTTAGATTCACTAATATAACAGCAAGGCTTCTCCTCGGTTCTCAGGTATGAATATTGCTTATTACATACTACTAGTAGCCGCGACGTCCGTATAGAATAGTTATTTTGAGCATAAAAATGTATTTTATTGCAAATATCATCTTTATAACTTATTGCTGTTACCCACGACGTTGATCACGTTCATTCTTGCAAGTTAATTTAAATAGATATACAAACAGTATCGCGGATATTTTTTTAATAATCAAAGAGGATTTAATCTTTACTACATATTTTTTGGGGATCTTGAACCGTTTCGAGGCGTTTTTCCAAATTTTTACTGTTTCTTCACTACTATTGGTCGCAGACTGTTGTTTTATATCCTAAAGACTTCTTGATAAATGGAGCATCCAATAAAAAAATAATGTTTCAATTCGAACAAGTAGTTCTTGAGATTAACATGTTCAAACAAAGTATTTAGCTTATATTAGTATAGATACGCGAGGTGCTTTTCTTAATAAATAAATGTGTTTCATAGCATTTGACGAGACACGGAAAAAGCGTTTTTCCCGAAGTTTCCACGGTCATGAGGTTTTTAACTTGCGTAGCGGTGCTCTACAATCTGGCGAAACATTGTGAATTGGCGTACAAAAAGCGAGAGAGAATTATTGACATAATTGACCGTACAATCGTATTCAAAGAACCTGGTAAGAAAATTTGTATTTTAAATACGGAGTAGTACACATTTCAGTATAATACTTTAACGGTTTAAAACGCGATATAAATTAGTTAAACTTAATTGAGTCTCCCCGTTACAACGGCTGCTGCAAAGCATCTGAAACGTCCGAAATAATACGACAACAAGCAACAGCACGGAACGCTGACGATGCCAATTCAAGTCCTGCCCGAGTCGAAATTTCATTCAATTTATTTTTGATTTTTGTTTTAATTATAAATGTCTGGTGAAGAACGTTTACGTGAATTTAGATTACAAGCATATTAAACATTAGAATACCATCATACGTGAGGCCGCTAGAGGTAGAGTAGCTAACTGCAATTTATTATATATACTTGACTTATATATTTTTTTATAGTATAAAAATGTAAAAGCGACAGCGCAGTGGCCGAAAATTGTTTACATAATTCTTACATAAATAATAGGACAAATTCATTTTCGCCTAAGTTTATTGCTCACTCATCTTCCTCCTTCATGAAAATCATCTTTTTTGTTATTGGGCCATTCTCCCTCTAGCAGCCTCTTATTTTATTATTTTCTATCGGGGACACCCTTGGCAGGACCGGTGATCAGTCCACGTTGTCCGCTGACCATTTCACCCATTTCCCCATAGCCTCTTATATAATTTATTATAGAAAATAGCACTTATTACAAAACACAATTGTCCACTCTACGTGACGTACACAAACAAGTCTTCTACACTAGAATCGATAGTAGTTGGCGGCATTATCTTTATTTTGTACTAGCTGAGTCACGCGACTTCGTTCGTGGAAAAATTATTTTGGGCATCCAAATTTTTTTTGCAAACTGTCCTAACCTACACCATCGGTCGCGTCTCGTCGCTCATGCGAGTTCATCTTAAAAGATAGATTTTTTTAGATCATTGAAAAAGGAATCGCTTTTTAATACATATTTTTTTGGTGGCTTAAACCGTTTTCCAGCGTACGCCTCGGAAAACCATAATGACGATAATTTTCCCGATTTTTTTCACTTTTCTCGATGACTTCGTTTGTATTAGTCACAGAGCGATGTTTTATAGCGTACCTCGATAAATGCTCGAACTAACACAAAAAAAAATTCAATTCGAACTCGTAGTTCTTAAGATTAGCGCGTTCAAACAAACAAACACTTTAGCTTTATATATTGATGAGAGGCGAAATAACCCAACCATAAAACATCGCAGCAAGATGCGCCGTTGCCCTATTTTGACTTTGGATATCGCTATCAATCATAATGGCTTTCTTCCAACAAAAGACTTTGTTTTTCCAGGTGAGGACGTAAAAGTGACGTTACTGGAACTACAACAGTTAATTCAGGCTAGACCCGTGGACTTCACTTTGCACAATTTGACAAGGATCGATTATTCGTTGTTAGGATCCATGACATCTATCGTCGTCACATATACTATTATACTACTGCAAAGTGTTAACTGATAAGATTAACGATTGTGCATTTATAACAACAGAATTTTTGCGTGTTTTATTTCACCTTGTAATTGCCTTATTGTCTTGTTTGTGTTGCACTGATAAATATTTTTTGATGACAAAGGACGACAGACGAGCGTGGGGTTCTCTTGATGGTAAAATAACCCAGCCATCTCAACATAGCGCTGTTGATCTATTTTGGTTGTGGATGTTCAGAAATCCTAAATATTCCATCGTTCGAAAATCAATTATGGGCAATTGTGTTCCAATAGCAATATATCCTCGAACTTTACAATCTTAAATACAAGTAGTGTCTGTAGTAACATAGACACATGAAGACTGCTGCAAAGCATCCGAAACGTCGGGCCGTAGTTAAAATTAATTATACGTAAATTAACTAATACATTTCGCCTTTTTCACAGAAGTGTTTTATTTAAATGTGTAAACAACAGAAAATATTAAATAAAATACTTGGATACCGTTACCATGGCAACTACAAAGCCGTGTTTTGTTTAAGTCTAAAATATATTTGAAGATTGAATCGCTCGGAATAAATTAAATCTAGTACATATTAAAACTAATATATCTTCAGTTTAAATAAATGTTTTTGAAGTATTTATGCCTGCAACTTCATATGAAAAGTAACTGCAAGGCAGCTGGACTGCTGGAGATATAAGGGAATATAATAATAGAGAAATTTGTTATAAATGTTAGAATATAATTAACGTACAGCGCCTGAATTATCTTTACTCAAGCTATGCCAGACCGAAGGATCATTTCAGCACCTTGTGAAATATAATTGAAACAGTCAAAAATGATTTATGTACGTTGGTAACTAGTATACTTAGGAATGTCACGCCAGTTAAAAAGTAAAGACAATACTTCACTGGGGATTTGATTAAAATATCATATGCAACCTAGAACAAATGACTACTTTGATGTTGCCTACGTTGGTACATTTATTTTGTCCTTATTACTTGTAGTGTACTGATGAATCGTATCCAGATTTCCTTAAAGCTTACACAGGTCTATTTATATCTACTCACGTAAACTATATCTTTACGTAACAGACATGAGCTTATACATATTTCAACGTCGCACTTATATACCAACAATATCATTGATATCTTTTGATATGAAGCACTAATTTATCTTATGATACTAGCCTATCAATATTGATAGTCGCGACACTAACAATCTGGGTACAACTCGTGTGTTAAAAGCTATACATGTGTTCATTAACTACAAAATAAAATGGCGGATTTCGGAGGCAAAAAGGGATCTAAAAATCGATATAAAGTGAACGATTTGTCTCAAGTGGAGTTTAAGAAGAATGATAAAAACGTGGATAAAATCAGGTTAGTTTTATTTTCAATCTTTCTGAGTCATTTATTATGGTGCAAGTGGACGCTTTTGTATTGAAAAGGATGTAATTTATAAGTGTTTATTATACTAATTACATTTTCTAGTGGTCGTCTCTACAACATACAAAGACATTATTTAATAGTAACTGTTGTTTACGCATACTTGATATATATAAAATAAACGATTAAAATTTTTTAGCTAATATATTCGTTTGAAACCGTCAAAAGTAATCTTAGAAAAATTATGTATCAATGTGCTTTTCACGTGAACCAACATTCATGTAGTTGTCCAAGTATATAAATGAATTATTACTTCGTAATATGAAAGAATATTAAAATACATTTTATTAATAACGCTTCAATTAATTGCAATCTGTACTCAACGATCACAGAGTAGAGGAATGACTGTACAAAGACTTTGCATTATTAATGTGAGGCAATTTATTTGCCGAGTGAAGTAATTAAATGGACTTTTAAGATATAGCTGATATTCATATTTTTGTCCTTTTGTTATCACAGTCATAGAATCCTTATAAGTTATTCATGTCGTATCTTTTAAAGTGCTGAATCGAGCGTGATGAGACTTTGCACTATTCAAACATGTTCTAAATGTAGATAATTAAATAATTAATGATACAGTTACAACTGTGTATATCTTGTTGGAAACCCGAAGTACAACGGTTTTAAACGCGAACTATATTTCTAAATTAATATACTATTAATAAATAACATACAGTTACAATTGAAAAATGTGGAGTATATTGTAGTTTTTGCGGTTTATCCCTAATAACGATAATAAATAAGAATAACGGTTTTAACGCGAATTGTATTAAGTAACATTTAGTTAATTTATTTTAACGACGGCCCGACATTTTGGATCCTTTGCAGCGGGCGTTGGTCATAGGCGGACTGATGATAGAGGGTACCCAATATTACACATTAGTTAACATATATTTCGCGTTTTAATCCATAAAAGTGTGTTTTATTTAAAGGAGGTTTTTATTTTAATAGTAACCCAGAATCTGAACCTGCAGCGCCTGCTGAGGTCCCAAGCATTTCGTTTATAACTTTGGTGAGTGACCTATCAATAGGTTTTATTTTATATTGACATATAAAAACGTGAAATCTTGTTTTTCCTAAATGGAGCAGACACTTTTCTATGTTCGGTTTTATATAGGAGTTAATTTTGTGTTCTAATTATACATAAAATTGATGTATTACGCCATACTAATATTTTTGTGTAAATTTCGCGTAAATTTATTATATAAATTCAATTTTATTAATTATTATAATTATTAATTTGAGTAAGAAATTAAAATTTTATAAAATAATAATTATGACACTGATTCAAAAGATAAGGTGTCCATCATTTATATCAGGAACAACTGTATGACTCAACAGATGAGTCAAAATGCATGTACCTTATTCTCTTTATCTTAATATATAAAAATCTACAAATGCTTTAATTACACAAGATTCGACGCTCGTGGTGTAATGGAAGTAATGGCTAAACATTCAACGGGTCATGAAAACTCACCTACATAAGGAGTTAACTCCTTATTAAAATTAAAATTAAAACTACTTAATACATACATTTTAAGTTTTTCCCGTATTTCAGTTCCGTTTCGCGACGACAATGGATAAATTCTTCATCTTCGTCGGAATTATATTTTCAATAATATGCGGAAGCACGACGCCGGTGAACACGCTTCTCTTCTCTTCTCTCCTACAAAGCATGGTCGACTTCGGGATATCTGTGATCCAGGGCAACCCACAGGGAGACGTATTCCTTATTGCAGTCAGGGATTTTGCAATATGGAACAGTGTGGTTGGATTAGTCGTGGTCCTTCTGTCCTATGCTGCAACTGTTTTGATGAACTTTTCAGCTTATAATCAGGTAATTGTCATATCTATTCACTAAATTAAGTAGTAATACAATTTGATAAAAACACTTAACGGTTTAAAACGGGAAATATACTAAGGACAATTTTTATCGTTAGAAAAGCAAAGATTCGTGTCATGATTAATATGTGTCTGATTTTAAACCGTCAAAAGTGTTTTATTTAATGCAACTAGTGTAACTTACTAGCAATCTATTTCATCTATCCTAAAGCCTTGATTCGTATCGCTTAAAATGTATTAACATTATTGTAGTTAGTCTATTTTTCATTTACTTAAGTTATATCACAATTAAAGCGAGTACCATTTTATTTATACCACGCATCACTTTCTAAGATATAATGTACTAACGTACATATAGTACATCAAGGCAGACTGAAAATCAGCGCTGATGAGGCCACTTTTTTTCTAGAAAAATAAAAAATAGCACAAAATTTTATTTTTTATCTTTTTTTTTGTCTTTCTTCTTTACAAACGGATTACAATCAAACACTTTAGCCGTTTAAAACACGATATATATTAGTTAAACTTATTTGACCTACGGCCCGTCGTTTCTCCCAACGACGAGTCTCCCCGTGATCACGGCTGTTCCAAAGCATCCGTGATCCAAATAATTTTCAAGTAAGTTTAACTAATATATATCGCGTTTTAAACCGTTCAAGTCTTTTATTTAAATGTGTATTACTCGCGTAAACAGACAGTATTTAAACGGCTTATTTATTTCTTTTTCGCTAGCTTAGCTTTTAAACTACAGGAATTTACTTTTTTGTTTTATTTTTTACTTATCTTCAATTGTCTTATAGGTTTACAAAATACGACAAGAGTACTTGAAGGCAGCTTTGAATCAGGACTTCGAATATTTTGATACGCATCAGACAGGTGACATCGCGGCAAAAATGACCGAGTAAGTATGAAATAGATTTTTTAAGTTTTTTTAATCGATACGCAATTATGCTTCACGGCTTCTTCATCTGTGGACTGCGGTTCGTGACCCGTACGGAATTTCTATATTCCTACCATTTAATATCCAGATTTCCAGACGGAGTCCGTCATGTTTCTGAAAAGTCATAAATTGAAAAATTAGAACCATGTTGGACCTAATGGGGATCGAATCCACGACCCGTTAATTCATCGATCAACGAGCTTGTCAAGGCTAAATATGCGACAATATTGTAAATACCAAAGTATTGACTTTTCGTTTCAGTCAGGCGTTTCAGGTTTCACGGTTCGATCCCCAACGAGTCTAACATTTTTCTAATCAATTTTTATTTAAATAAAACACTTTAACGGTTTAAAACGCGATATATTAGAACTTATTTAAAAATGATTTTTAACTAATATATCGCGTTTTAAACCGTTAAAGTGTTTTATTTAAATGTGTACTACTCGCGTAAACTACAGACAGTATTCAATTTATATTTTTTCTAAAACATGTTAGACTTTGTCTGCAAAACTGATAAATGAGTGGTAAGAAAATCGCAATTCCGTCAGCACCAACCACTGGTCCACAGAAAAAGGCGTGAAGCTTGCGCGTTGCGGTTTCAGCCAGCGGATTTTCGAATATCCAAATCCAAAATAGTTCGACAGCGTAGCTTATTATTTATTATCTTAGATTTTATATGCCTGCTAGAAGCCTTTTTTCATATAATATTATCAGTCTGAAGATTCTATTACAATTAATTCGAATTAAAAAATGATTTTGTGGTGGAATCTTTTCTAGCGTGGACCACGAAAACGGTTTAAGATACCCAAAAGTAAGCATGAAAGAATGACTCCTATTTTGTCTATTAGATTAGTAGTAGAGTACTAGTTCCTGAGATTAACGCGTTCAAACGAACAAACTCTTCAGCTTTATAATATTGTATAGACAAGCTTGAGGGCGCGTATCTATCTTTGTTTCAATCGTGGTTTTCTCCTAGTGACGTGGTTAAATTGGAAGATGGAATCGGTGAGAAACTGGGCACATTCATCTACTACCAAGCGGCGTTCGTGAGTTCCATAATCATGGCGCTGGTCAAGGGATGGAAGTTGGCACTTTTGTGTTTGGTCTCCTTCCCTATTACCCTTTTCCTAGTGGGAATGGCTGGTCTTGTAAGTAAATTTTTATTTTCCAACCATGTATTTCAAACTAGTGAATTTTCGTTTCATTTATTTATATATTTCCGAATCACCGACGAGCGTTACAAATGTCATCTTAAATAATAATGACAAAAAAAAAAGACAAAAGGTCGTAATAAAATGATTTTGAACGGGGCGTTTGATGCATATATTGTCGATATATCTTTTGCCCTGTGTCATCAGTAGCAACAACTTCACTCTGTAAAATGGTCATCACTATTTCTCTATGGTTTGAAATCGGCCATATTTGTCTTTTGCCTAGTTCGAAAAAATATACTATACCTATACTACAAGTATATCTATAAACACTTCCGTTGAAATTTATATTAACTAAAGTGTTAGGTTTATTCTTAATCGTATTTGCGACATCTCAAAACGTACATATTTTACGAGAAAATAAGTAAATAATCTTTGCTAATCAAAAGGGGTAATAGATAAAAATAGAGTTATAAGATTACTTCAAATGATGTTTGTAAGTAATACCTTGCAGTAAATCCTTTTTACTGCTATTGTCTCGCGTTTAACATCTAAATAACATTATAAGACATAGATAAGATGTAATAACTATTCATAAATAAAGGTTATAAATGCTCTTCTATACAAAAGAAAAAATAACGCTTATTGAGTATCGTCTGGAGTTTAGACAACTTTTAACGGTATAAAACTTGAAATATGTTCGGTAATATAAAACTCTATGTTCCTTGTGTTGATTGCTCGTTATTTATCAGATAATGCAGATACGAATAATGGAGTTTATCCTCAATCTATACTAAGTTTGTTTGAACGCACTAATCTCAGAAACTACGAGTTCGAATTGAAAAATTGCGTTTTCGTTAGTTAGAGCATTTATAGAGGAAGGCTATATATAGGCTATAAAATATCGCGCTGTGACTAATATAAGCGAAAATACAGCGGGAAATGTGAACAAAATGGGGGAAATTTTTATCGTTATGGGTTTCCGAGGCGTACCTACGCTGCAAAAACAGTACAAGATACCCAAAAAATATGTATGACTCCTCTTTATATGATCTAAAAAGTCCGCGACGCCATATGTTTATCTTTTAAGATTAACTTGCAAGAACGATAGGAAAGGACGCGACCGACGTTGTGGTGGTCGAACTATTCTATGCGCACGAAGTCGCTGGCCCAGTTAGTATTTTATAATTACTACTTTTTTTAGTATGTAGCATACAAGTGAAACCTGTAAAAAACACTTTTAACGCTTTAAAACGAGAAATATTAGTTAACTTTTTTACAATTTATTTTAGCTACGGCCTGACTCGGATGCTTTTAGTGACCGTAATCCGCATTTTACACCATTATAAGAGTATTATTTAAATGTGATAATTCGCGTAAACTACAGACTATACTTAAGTTAAATCTAATTTCCCTATCTTAATTGGACAGACAGTTTTTTGTACCCGTTTCTCCATATCGATCGATTTGGCTTTTGTGTCAAGATCGACAAAGTTAGCTGAAATATATTGCAAGGTTCTTGAACTAATCTCGTTTTCTTAGATTGCATCCAGGTTGTCGAAGAAGGAGGCTCTGGCGTCTGGAAAAGCTGGAACCGTCGCTGAAGAAGTGATTTCAGCGATACGTACAGTGTACGCCTTCAGCGGACAAGAGAAAGAGATAGCACGCTACGAAACTCACCTTAACGAAGCGAGAAAAGTTAATATTCAGAAAGGTATACAAAATTGCTCGAAGAACAAATGGCAAATATACTTCTAAAAATAACTTTAGTTTTACCCGACAATAAATCGCACGCTTAGTATTAGAGTGACCGAATTAAAAAAAAATTTTGGCAAATCGTATAAAACTACGATGATGGCGTTATTATCGTAATGTCAGTGCATTTATCTAATTTTACTTAAATTTTGAGTTAGGTCACTCTAATACTAAACGTGCGAAATTACAGATCGATTATAATGACGAAGACGTGTAGGACTCGGTAGCACAATTGGTTAGAGCAACAACCCGGTTGTGGATGTTCAACTCCTGCGCGAGTCGTAATTTTTTAAATTTATAATCGATTTTTAATTTATATAGTGCACCATGTGCAACAATATGTGAAACATATTAAAGCTTTTACCTGACAATAGCTAACACGAAAGATTAATGATTTAATTTTATGTGTGCATGTGTGAAATATAAAATAATATGCTAGCTTTTATTATACTGGGCCTTATATTGCGAGTTAAAAGACCTCGGTGACAGCAGACAGACCGTCCACAAATGAAAAAGCTGAGAAGTCTAATCGCGTTTCGGTTTCAGTCAGTAGATTTTCGAATATCCAAAGCGAAAAGTCGATAGCGCATCTTGTCGAGATGTTATACGATTAGGGTATTTCTCGCACCATCAAGTTAGTCCCATGCGTGTCTGTCCTTCTCTATTATATATCATAAAAAAGAGAACAATATATATCATATTGTTTTAATAAGAAATATGTGTGCTAAATACTGTCTATAGTTTACGCGAGTAGTACACATTTGAATAAAACACTTTAACGGTTTAAAACGCGATATATTAGTTAACCTTATTTGAAAATGATTTTTTAACTTCGGCCCGACGTTTCGGATGCTTTGCAGCAGCCGTGGTCACGGAGAGACTCCCCGAGACGTCGGGCCGAAGTTAAAAAATCATTTTCAAATAAGGTTAACTAATATATCGCGTTTTAAACCGTTAAAGTGTTTTATTTAAATATGTGTGCTAATTAAATGAGGCGCACAAAGATCTTAATATAGGTTAAATAGTATTAAAACAAAAGAAACACATAGTATCTTTAGGAATAGAGTGACATTTTTGTTTGAAGACTTTTTATATGAGTTTATTTATTTATTAATATATAGTGTATGGTAGGCCTAAATAATTATTTCAGCGAATTCCATAAAACCAAATCGATCCAGAATATACAATTAATTTTATTAATTCAGGCTTCTTCAACGGAATCGCTATGGGCACTCTCTTCTTTTGCATCTTCTGTTCTTACGCGATGTCCTTTTGGTTCGGTTACCAGTTTATAGAGAACGAGGAAGAAAATTACGACGTGGATACCATGATTGCTGTGAGTCAAAAGTTTATGATATTATATGCTAATTATGTGTACTTGTTTGTTTGTCCATCCCTAAGTGACGTTTTTGGGCTTTATTTGTATAATACTGGCTCTAATAAGAAAATCAAAGTCCAAGAGAGTAGATGTCTATATCCTACTTCCTACTAATATTATAAACGTGAAAGTTTGTATGTGTGGATGAATGTTTGTTACTCTTTCACGCAAAAACTACTGAATGGATTTCAATTAAACTTTACAATAATATAGCTAATACATCAGAATAACACATAAAGATATTGTGTGAGCTGTCTAAAATATGACATTAAGTGTCAAGTAACTAGGAAAAAACCTACCTTTTCTACGAGCTATTCTGGCGTGCGCTGCCATAAACGTTAGTTACACATAATTATGTAATGTATGATATGACAGACATCATTTAGTTTAAATGCGCGATACTACGTAATCCTAATATTGCGTAGACGAAGTCGAGTCTATTTAGAATGAAAAAATTTATTACACGAGTGGGATTTGAACGTGTATACATAAGTCTTGCATATCTGCTCTGATCAATTAAGCTACCGTGTCCTTGAATAGAGCAACAGCGCAAAACGCTGTGGATACCGATTGAAGTCCCGTCAGTGTCTAAGTAGATTTTTAATAATGCCATCGTGTACATAGTAACATGTGTAATGTATTAAAAGTTTTCAAAACGTAGTCTAGCTGAGTAGTTTCTTGTTCTGCTGTACTAGTTGGAATTCTTTTAAATAAAACACTTAAACGCCTTAAAACGCGACAGTCTCTTCGTGATCACGCCTGCTGCAAAGCATCCGAAACGTCGGGCCGTAGTTAAAATAATTTTTCAAACAAGTTTAACTAAAATATTTTGCGTTACCGTTAAAGTGTTTTATTTAAATGTGTTTTACTCGCGTAAACTAAAGACAGGATGGAAGTTTTGTTTACTTTGAGCGAAGCTCTGGTGATGAGAAGCTTTGTGTATATTTTGTACACAACTTACTCATAACGAACTTATATCATAGGATCGATAGTTGGGCAAATTATCTCACGACTCATGTAGTGTAACGCTGCGTAACTCTTATCTAAGATAAGAATAACACAATTGTACCATATTTTCTGAATATTACACATATAAAATCATTATACTTCAGTGTCTAGGACTATAAATAAAACAAGTCCAATAGGGTTAGTTTATAGTAATAAATAAAAGGGTTCTCTGGAATTAATTGTGGTAAACATTCCTTAAATGTGTATATGTACTACTATTAATACGAATACGACTCATAACCATGAATCGTGTATTTTCATTTAAAATTTTCAACTTGTGGCCTAATTTTTTAAAGATTCGAGCTTAGTCCATGATGCCATGTACTCTATTCTTTTTGCCTTCTAAATACTCCTTCCTATGGTATTCAATATTTGTTTCCGTACAGTAGTTACGATTTGCGATCATCTGACCGGATTATTCTTGAAGTTCCTTCCCGCAGATCTGACTTTTTAGGCAAATTACTGCGGTGAGGATATGGAATTTCTTACCCGTCTCCATTTGTATGACGCCTCCTCTCCTAACTTTAAAAAAGGTTTATAAGTTTCTACTCGAGTTGCCTGGAAGAGATCATTTGTTAGAGATAAAGCCATTCTACTTTTTTTGTATATAAGTATCGTTTGCTTTTTTTTGTTTTGTGGTAATAAATAAAAGTGTTAATAAGTAAAAATATCTATGCAGGTTTTCTTCGGAGTAATGATGGGCTCAGCTAACTTCGGCATCTCGTCCACACTGATGGAGGTGTTCGGCGTAGCTAAGGGCGCGGGCGCACAAATCTTCAATCTAATAGACAACGTGCCTCTCATAAATCCAATTAAAAACAGCGGAATTGTTCCTGACAATATTGAGGGGAATATTGAGCTACAAGATGTACTGTTTCATTATCCGTCCAGGCCCGACGTCCCGGTGAGTCATTTACAAAGAATACTGAACGAACGTGAACCAATCTTTTAAGATGGACCTGCAAGAACGACGTCGTGGGTAACAGCTTAGATTTATAGAGTTGAACAAGGTTTATAAAACCAAATCTTGATGCCCAAATACTATTCTACGCGCACGAATTCGCAGACAAAGCTAGGAAACTATCATCAATGTCGTTGCAATGAACTATCAAATCATTAGTTCTATCTGAACGTAACAACATAAGTAGAGCGTCACGTAACGCGTTATAGTGCCATCTGTCCGTTTATCACCAAGTAGTTTAGTCATGATGATAGTTTTGTTTAAGATAAGTAAGTAATAATATAAGAATTATCGGTTAATTAATTAATTTGTAGTAATTTGTAACGAGGAAAATACAATCTTTTACGTGACTAATAGAAGATAAACAGAAAGTATTGTATGTCATTTGATATTCGTAACTTTTATCTAATGACATATGTATAATTTCTTTTCTAAATATTTTTTTGTTAATCGAGCCGTACAAGGATAATTAGTTTTCCTTTTAATGACCGTCACGTTAAGCGTAAAATAGTTATTTCATCAAAATTTAGCGACGATGTCGTTCGCGTTCCGTCGTTCGCGTTCCACCGTTCTTGCAAGTTAATCTTAAAAGATAGATATATATTTTCCTTTTAGATCATGTAAAGAGGAGACAATATTACTTACATATTATTGCGTATCTTCATTTCGAGAAAAACAATAAAAAACTTAGTATCTACTTATAAAGTTATTATATGCTAAGTATTTAAATAATAAAAAATTAAACTTAAAAATATGGATAACATTTTGTCATACAATTACATTAATTCAGTTTTCTGTTTGAGTATAATTTAATTTGAGAAGAAACACTTTAATTTCATTTAATTGAAGAATAAAAAGTAAGTGGGCTAATTTTATTTTAGTTACTAGTTAACTAAAATTAAAGTATAGATTAAATTTTAGTTACTTTTAAAAGTTCATCCATGCAAATCTGTATGTATCTGGTAACGAACGACATTTATGTTCTGAGTAAGAAATATTATGTTTTCAGGTACTGAAAAGGGTAAACCTGACTGTACAGCGAGGTCAGTCGGTGGCTCTAGTTGGACACTCGGGATGTGGAAAGTCTACTATCATCCAACTAATATCAAGATACTATAACACCGTCGATGGTAGTGTAAGTATGTTTATACAAATACTCCAAAACGGCTGAAACGATTTTTATAAAATTTCAGTTATCAATTATGACTGGGAAACAGCAAGCATTTATTTAAATACCGTCTGTAGTTTATTCGAGTAGTAGGCATTAAAATAAAACACTTTAACGGTTTAAAACGCGATGTAAACCAGACGGGGAGACCACGGCGGCTGCAAAGCTTCCGAAACGTCGGGCCACAGTTAACATATTTTTAAATAAATTTAAGTAATATATATGTCGCGTTTTAAAACGTTAAAGTGTTTTATTTCATCTATATATTCTAGACAGCGTTTTTATGATGAATTATTTTTAACTGTTACTAGACACTAACAGACAAATCTTAAATGTAATATATAAAGAGATGTATATGACGTTTAATATTACAGCTAATATATATATAAATTATAGCTATCTATATACTCACTACAGACTAAATAATTTTGTCATAAATACTAAAGCGAATGCGATCACGATAGTATATCAAATTATCAATGCCAAAGATAAAAATTAGGACAATAAGGCCATTCGGTTATTAAAACAATTATTTCAAGTGCTCATTCAGTCAATGTCATTATATCTATCGTTAATTACTTATTTGTTGAGGTGGAATAACAAAAATTTTACTTAAATGGTTTAAAACGCGCTTTACATAAGTTAACTTATTTGAAAATAATTTTAACTCTTAAATAAGTTTAACTAAAATATTTCGCGTTATAAACCGTTAGTCTTTTATTTAAATGTGTACTACTCGCGTAAATTACAGACTGTGTTAAAAAAAATTACTAAATCAAAATGTAATTTTTACTTCAGAAAAGACAGACATAATACTATTCTACAAAAGAAATAAAATTATTATATATATGTATTTATAAAGAAAAACACATGCATACATGCGCTAAGTTCGACATAATATAATATTAATAACATATTATAATCAAATAAATTCAAAAAGACATCGTCCAACGTGGGGCTCGAATCCAGACCCTGATATTAAGAGTCTCACGCTCTACCGACTGAGCTAGCCGGGCATTCGTCAAGTTTCTTAAATAAAGATAGCAATATATGATGAAATTACCTTAATAATTATGTTTTATGCATCCAGTTTTCTGCCCATAATTTTAATACATATCACATTAGTGTAAAACCCATTATATTATTAAAATCGGATCCGGACGGAATTTCGATATTCCTCCCACCCAAGACCTGTTGATTAGCCGTACATTGCTATCATTACACCACCGAGTCCGTCTTGTTTCCCTGGTAATCCTACCAAGGACCTCTCGAGCTTAACGCAATGCTAGGTAACACGTTTAATTTGGCTACAAAGGCGGTCAAAGGGTTTATAATGACCATACAATGTTCTTAAACTATACATCTGGTGGTTTTTACAGGTTCTCATTGATGGTAACGACGTGCAAAACCTCTCAGTGCGCTGGTTGAGGGATCAGATCGGCCTCGTTGGCCAGGAGCCAGTGCTCTTCAACACAACAGTCCGCGAGAACATTCGCTACGGACGCGAAGGCGCCACCGATGACGAAATCGAAGCTGTGGCCAAGCAGGCTAATGCTCATCAGTTCATCATGAGATTGCCTCTGGTACGGGGTTTTATGTATATTTTTTATTATTATATCCTTTAATAATAAGAGTAGTAATGGATTAAAATGTGTGTCTAGATGTGTAGGTAAGCCTTCTCCACATTGCGACTTTTAACTCTACAGTGTCTTGTAATTATTTCCTTTTTTAAAATTGTAACTTTCAAACCGCGGGGGCGACTGAAAATCGGGCCTGTTGCATAACGCAATGTATGTAGTATACTTTCGTCTTTAACTGCTATATTCTTGTGTAAATGATTTTTTATACATATTTGGTATTACGACATTGGATACTTGGTTGTATGTAGCATGGGGTCTTAAACATAAGACTGGGGATATAACGTGGTGTAATCCCGCCTGTGTTATTCGAACAAGCCCATTTTTTAAATAAAACACTCTTTACCCTTTCACGCTCACGGGAAATATTTTCCTGTTATCGATTATTCAGTTATTATTGAATGGATACTGTTTGTATGTATGTCAAAAGGAAATATATGAAATTATAGGAAATCTATACACGCTGCTATGTTTTTCTAGTGATATTCTCTTTACACCGAAAATAGCTAAAATATTGTGTTGTATTTAGTATCAGCTATTATTATAGTATTTAGTCCTGTAAGGGTTAACGGTGTAAACGCGTAATGTATTGCTTATTTACAATTAATTCGATTAAAAGAATTTTATTTCAATATTTACTGAGGGTAGTTTTTGTTTTAAGCAGGAATTAGATTCGCAAACTACAATGTCGGATGTGATAGCATCTTTACAGATGGAATATTTAATAGTTGTATATTGCAAGTTAGGCGTTGCAAAATAGATAAGTTTCACTTATTCAAAATATATAAATAATCATGTAGATTACTACCTACGCACTTAATACTAAGTGCGTACGTACGTAGGTACGGTAATACCTCCTAGTATACACTAGGAGGTATTTCAGCTATTCAATAATGACATCTTTGAGTATTTAATGGAAATATAGAGCTTTTAACTTATTTCTCAAATGAACGATAAGTTAGCTTTATTTTATCTATAATAAGTACGTAAATAAGTACCAATCTAACTAATGTGATTATTTAATTAGGGTTACGACACATTAGTCGGAGAACGTGGTGCATCACTATCTGGTGGACAAAAGCAGCGCATCGCCATTGCGCGTGCGCTAGTGCGCAACCCGCGGATCCTCTTGCTTGACGAAGCGACTAGCGCCCTAGACACAGCCTCAGAACACAAAGTGCAGAAAGCTCTGGATAAGGTAATGTAAAAATATTTGCAGATACTGTCTGTACTTTACGCTAGTAGTGCACGTTTAGATAAAACTCTTTAACGGTTTGAAACGTCCGTCCGTACAAATATATTTAATTGTCAATTAATTATTTAAATCCTATGTGAAATAAAAAACTACTTCGATCTATTGTATTGTAAATAAATAATGATGATCACGAAGAACCCGCTCTAACAAGGAAGAAGGTGTACCGATATTAATTTCGGGAGCTGTAACTTGACGAAGAAAAGAGAGGCGGCGAGTTTCTTGCCAATTCTCCTCGTTCGTTCTACGGCCTCGGTTTGGGAACAAGTCTTAAATGTAAATTTACTCAAGTATTCAAACAAGTCTTCTTTATTTTTTATGTACTTCGTGTTAACGTTGAACTGTTTAATTATCGATCTACAGGGGACATGCTTCTTTTTCGATATCTTTTATCATCCATAATCATTGTGTTTCTATGATATAGGCAGCCGAAGGACGCACGACCATTGTCGTGGCCCACAGACTGACAACAATTAGAAACGTGGACAAAATATACGTGTTCAAAGCTGGTATAGTGGTAGAGAGTGGAAGCCATGACCAGCTTATGGCTTTGAAAGGACATTACTTCGATATGGTGAAGCTACAGCATTCTCCAGACTTCAATGAGTTAGGTTAGTAAGAATGTGTAATAATATTATAATAAGTAATAATACTAATCGCGTAAATAATAAACGACACTTTCTTTTAATTATGTTTTCAGACGAAGAAGGTAACGTTCTGGCGCGCACTGTTTCTGTGGTCAGTGAAAAAGACGAAGATGAACATCTTGAGACGAGGATGCAAGTAAGTGTAGTCTTCGAGATTCCCGAGTCTTGATTAAACCACTTTTTCAATAAGAGGATCGTGACGGACGTACATACAAAATACCTAAATTACTCAATCCAATCTCATCCATTCTTAAGATCTGGTGGAATAATGCGTTAGGTGCAAGTTATCTACCAGAACATCTTAACCATGCTGATGTGTGTCCAAAAGAAAAGAGATTCGGTCTTAGCTAAAAAAAAAACGATAACAAGAAACGTCCAACGTTCATCTTAGTTTTATCTAATTTGCTTACTTTGTTTGTTATAGGAGCCAATAGAAACTCTGGTGGAACCAGATGTCTCGTTCTGGAAGGTGGTCAGACTAAACAAACCTGAGTGGAAGTCCATAACAGCGGCGAGCATCGCTTCACTTGTCAGCGGGTTCGCTATGCCACTACTTGGTGTTATTCTTGGAGACTTTATTGGGGTAATGACACATACGAATTTATAGTAAGAATTATATGAAAAAGCGTTGTTGAAAGTTTTGGAATCTGTAAACTAGCTCATTAGGTTTAATATATTATAGAAGTCCTAATATATAAAGCTGAGGAGTTTGTTTGTTTGAACGCGCCAATTTCAGGAACTACAGGTTCGAATTGAAAAAATAATTTGAATGCCCAACATTACGGTTCTCGCAGACGAAGTCGCTGGCACAGCTAGTCTATAATATTACGCTTATATACAAAGCACGGCATTTATTTTACCAAGCTAAGTTACCGAAAACACTTTGCAGGTATTGCCAAATGTCTTTATTTATACTTTATACTTTTTATACCCTTTAATGGTCAAATTAATATTTTTCAAGCGTACAAAATAATTTGTTAACTGTAAGAAGTAAAATATTCTTCTAGTTTACTTATTGTCATCTAGTAGTATAATGAACTGCAATCCAATAAATTTGATTTCGTTTCACTATGTTTGACTAGATTTAATAACCTCCTGCTCGATTGCTCGAAGAATTATGAGTTGTCTGCCGCGCCTCAGAAAAACAATGATACGGCAGGAAAACGGTTGCCGTGTAAAGCCTTACACGATTTATTAAATATAATGTATTTTCTATTTCAGGTTCTGTCTAATCAAGACCCAGAATTCAAGAGAAATGAAGTCCGGAACTACGCTCTAATATTTGTCGGAGTTGGTGTCTTTTCGGGAATCGCTAACTTCATCAATGTAAGCATAACAATAATTATATATAGAATAAATAATATATAGTCCCAGCTATGGGCTCGAGATTATGATTCAAATGAAGATATAAAGCAACGATTATAATTGAGGCCGCTAGAGGCAGAGTGGCCTAACTGCAATTTTATGACTTGAGTTATTTTTATTTTCATAGTCTAAAAATGTTAATCTACAAGAGCACAGTGACCGAAAATTGGTGACATAACTCTTACACAAATAATAGTACAAATTTATGTTTTTAATTGAAATTGCGTTTTTTTTATTTTAAAAAGAACATGTTTTTTTGTTATTAGACAATTCTGACTCTAGCAGCCTCAATTACATAATCATTACTCTTGTCAAAATCGCAGGTCGCAATGTACGCTATAGCTGGGGAGTACTTGACGCAGCGTCTGCGCAAGTTATTGTTTGAGAAGCTACTACAACAGGAAATAGGTTTTTACGATGATAAGACAAATTCCACTGGAGCTCTTTGCGCCAGACTGGCTGGTGAAGCGGCGGCAGTGCAGGGGGTAAGTCTTTTTTATACTAATATTATAAAGCTGAAAAGTTTGTATGTTTGAACGCTTAAATCTCAGAAACTACTGGTTGGAATTGAATAATTATTTTTGTGTTGGTTAGAGTATTTGTCGTAGAAGGCTTTAAATAGCCGAGTCGACCTTACATAAAGTTACTAACGACAGATGTGTCAAGGGGAAAGTGGATAAAACAACAACTTGATATAGTTTTTGTTATCGTGCCCGCTTTTTTTCCAATTTTGACAAACATTTCAAATCCAAAATCTGTCTAACCATTGTCTATTTTCAACTAGAAATACGAAAAAAATTTAAAAATCGAAGATAAATAGAAAAAAATTTCGACTCCGAAAGTTCGGAATTTAGGCGTTCCGAGTCGCTGACGATTCCGGTTCAAGTCCTACCCGAGTCGAAAATTTTTTTTCGATTTTAAAATTATATAGTGCCTTCATGTGCAAACATGTAAAAAATAATAAAGTTTTCAAATACGAAAACAAATTGATAAATAATCGAACAATGAGTCGTGTATATGGGGTATATAGTAAAACATTAATGTGCTTTAATTTTTTGTAGGCCACAGGTCAAAGAATAGGGACAGTCCTGCAAGCTGTGGGTACTTTTAGCTTCGCCCTGGGAGTGTCCCTTTTCTACGAATGGCGACTGGGGTTAGTGGTACTTGTATTCGTCCCATTCTTGGCAGCTGTACTTTACAACGAAGGAAGAATGGTCAGCGCGCAATCCTTTGGTACAGCTAAAACTATGGAAGCCAGTTCTAAGGTAACTCAATTTATATGCCTACCAAGTATTAAATTTAGTTAAATGTACCTATGTGAGTTGAAAAAATTCATCCATCCACAAGACCGGCTTGTATTACTTGGATGAGAGACTTTCTGCTTCACTAATTTTATTATCATTTTAAACCGTTTAAAAAGTCTCTCGGCATTAGAAACCTTTAATATTTTCCACCTGATGGCAATATATAAATTAAAAATCGATTCTCGATCGATTCGAATCGAAAAATCAGTATTTTTCTTCAATTTATAATCGATTTTTTCTCGCCAGAGTACGGACTTACATACTGTTGCTCTAACCAATGGAGCTACCGAGTTTTAAACGACATCGTCGAATTTTTTCAACCCATTAATACAAGCACCTCTCGCGCAATGTAATATCAAGCTGAACAGTTCTGCCCTAGTCGTTTTTTTTATTTATAATCGATTTTTAAGTGTCGTCGAAGATTTATTCTTATCACCTGTTTATTTTAGATTGCCGTGGAAGCCGTAGCCAACGTCCGGACGGTGGCTTCATTAGGTCGCGAGAACAGATTTCTGGAAGACTATGGGTCACAACTGTTGCCCGCTGTGCTCATGGCCAAAAGAGTTGCCCATTGGCGTGGTATTGTTTTCGGGCTGTCTCGGGGACTGTTCAACTTCATATACGCAGCTACCCTCTACTATGGAGGGACGTTGATGGTCAACGAAGGCGTTGATTATGCTATCATACTGAAGTAAGAGAGAGTCCTTTTAAAAGTTAGTCAGATTTCATTTTCTTATTACTTCGTTAAAGTAAACAACAGCATGCAACGCCTATTATAGATATATACATATTTCATAAACTAAACCAAACTTAAGAATTTTCTTAAATATACAGACACAAGATCCGTGAAAACAATATATCCGGTCTTATAATAGTCAAAAGAATTTTTTCGAGCGAACCTCGTCATTCATTCAAAACCTTTTTCAAATCAAAAGATGATCGCGTAAAAGAAATTTTCAATTTCTTTTATGCGATCATCCTTTGATACAGAAACAATACTGAATTGCTGCTTGTTTTAATTTATATTATGTGACGATGAAAGGTCTTGTGTGCAATATGATGAAAATATTAAAGTTATACGAGACATTTTTTCTAGCGATGTTGGAAATATGGTGAAGCAGCCATTCCTATATTTCACAGGTCCGCACAAGCTTTGCTCATGGGTTCGGCGTCAGCCACTCAGGCGTTTGCCTTTGCACCTAATTTCCAGAAGGGAATAAAGGCGGCAGGGCGTGTCATGGCGATACTGGACAGAGAATCCAAAATTACCGATCCACACAAACCCGCTGCCGACAACTTTGTAAGTATACCAATTATTAGTCATAGTATGGTGTCAGCTGTATTCTTATTTGCTACTAGGTATACACCTTGAAACTTAGACAAAATACAGAATAGTGACGGACAAAACAGACAACTGTTGGGTTCATTGGCACGGTAAGATCGCCATTTTGACAGGTCGTGATGTCGATCCCCAGCGGGTCCAACATTTTTCTAATCAATTTATAATTGTTCTAAAACATCTTGGACTTCGTCTGGAAATCTGGATATCAAATGGGTGGTAGGAATATCGAAATTCCGGCCGGGTCACGAACCACTGTCTACAGATAAAAAACCGTGAAGGTTAATCACGTCTCGGTTTCAGTGTGTGTCTGTGGATTTCCGAATATCCAAACCCAAAATAGGACGACAGCGCATCTTGTTTAGATGCTATAGGCTGGGGTATTTCATGCTCGTTTGTCCTCATCTATCATAAAAAAACAACATTTATGTCTCAATTATGCAACACGGTCTAGTTCTACAAGCAAGCCTCGTGTAATACAAATTATATTTTAAATACAGAGAGGTACGGGCGAAGCTAGTCTCCAAAATGTTAGCTTCAGGTATCCAACTCGGCCCTTGATACAAGTCCTCAAAGGCCTCAACCTTGAAATAGAAAATGGGAAAACAATCGCTCTGGTTGGAGCCAGTGGCTGCGGGAAAAGTACTATTATACAACTGCTCGAGAGATATTATGATCCAGATGAAGGCATTGTGGTATGTTCCTTAATATAAAATTAAAGTTCACGGTAAAGACAGTTCCAACCGGTTGATTTCCAAAAAGTCCTTCCTGTTATGTCATTTCTTATACATTTTTGTCCAAAAATAATATCTTAATAGCCTTTACAATTTTGGATGAAATATTGTAATAACTACTTGTCTTTGCAATACTCAAATGCTGGTAAATACACTTAACTGAAATGTCCTTTCAGGCTCAAAACAGTATTCCTCTACCAAAACTGCGTCTGGCAGATGCCAGACAGAGTATTGGATTCGTACAGCAAGAACCTGTGCTCTTCGACCGTACAATTGGTGAGAATATTGCTTATGGAGACAATTCAAGGAAGCCCAGCATGGACGAAGTTATCCAGGCAGCTAAACAGGCGAACATTCATAACTTTATCGTTTCATTACCCGCCGTAAGTGTACTTAATATATAGATAATACCATAGATGTTTTCTCCAGATTTCATAAATTTAAAGTAACGTCAAATGACTTTATTTTATCATAATATTGTTATTCAATTACGCATTTAAGTTTACTTTCATATAATTTAAATCGTCGTGATTTTAGAAAGAATTTAGAATCTTATTTATGTATTTAGTTGGTAAGGCTCTTGGAAAGAAAAAAAATCAAGATTTAGCCATTTAGGCTTTGTGCGGATAATCACTATTTTGCATGAATCATTTTTTTTCCATATAATGAACATCATCCATTTCAGGGTTACGACACAAATATCGGTTCCAAAGGCACGCAGTTGTCTGGAGGCCAGAAGCAGAGAGTTGCTATAGCCAGAGCACTAATACGACGACCTAAAATGCTTCTTCTGGACGAAGCCACCAGTGCGTTAGACACGGAGAGTGAAAAGGTGGGTAAAAACATCACTATATATCCACAGTTCAGGATTCAATGTAATAAAAAAAACTGGCGAAATTGTATGCTCTATACTATAATATGCTTCACAGCGATTGTTCAAAATGGTAACTAATACACTTCTGCCTTTACCATTGTAGAAAGAATGAATTTTACCATTCATACCAGTAACAAAACCATATAATACAATTGATAACAAGGACCCGGGATCAAGGAGCTACATTCGTCCTAATGCCCAAAGTAAAACTAATGTATGTTTAAAGGTGGTACAAGAAGCCCTGGACGCAGCTAAGGCCGGTCGCACATGCGTGATGATAGCCCACAGACTGAGCACAGTCCGTGATGCGGACCTAATTTGCGTGCTAAGCGATGGACGCCTCGCTGAGACCGGCACTCACCAGGAACTGATACAGCTTAAGGGACTCTATTATAACTTAAATAGAAGAGGTTATGCCTAATCTGTGTAGCTAGATTCTAATAGGAAACAGCCTAACTGACACTAAAGTAAAAGTAATTTATGTAGTACTTGAAGTGTTGATTTGAACTTGAATCTAATAAAGATGACATAGCCGTCAATGTATAATATTTACAATTTAACTTATTCCATAGCTAGCATTCCACTTCCTGCTTTATACGTAAATTAGTTTTTTTTCCTTGCTTTCCCCTTGCATTTTAGAAGCTTTTCTTAACTTTTTTTAGCAAAAAGTTATTATATTTTATGTAAATTTAATGTGTTTATAAAATAAAAATATCTTTATATCAAAATGGAATATGTAAACTAGTTGTATAATGATCTAATTATAATATATAAATAAACAGGCACAACAAACCAAAGCTGTTAAGTAACATTACAACTAATATAAGATAGCTTTACTTAACTATTTATAACTTTGTATTAAATAATTTTTTAATGTGTATATTTCTTTCAATTTAAGGAGAAGGTGTCATTAGGTATTTATAAATATAATTCTGGTCATTTTAAATGTTTCTGTTCATGTTGTAGCAACCATTCTTTTCTGTCCAGTCCACAACTAAAGCCACCTTTTGAAGCGGATGCAACTACTCTATGACATGGAACCACTACTAAATGGGCATTAGCTCCGCAGGCTGCTCCAATAGCTCGAGCATGGGTTCCAGATCTCCCTAAAGCCTTAGCTAAGTCTGCATAAGTCTGTGTTGTACCATATTTCTGTTTGCGGAGCATTTCCCAAACTTCCTTTAAAGAATGAATATGAAACATGAAAACCACCGATTTTGTGAAATTTTAGAATAAAGTTATTATCCGGGTTACTATAACTAAATAAATATATAAATGATAACAACAACAGGTTTGAGTGAACCTGATAACAAGGAAAAAGATACACTATGCATCAGGAATTTGTAACTGAAAGGAGTGGTGGCAGTGGTTCTTGCCAGTTTGTCTTGTTGATTTATGAAATGGTAGTAAATGTAAATTTGTAGTTTTTTTTTAACTGCAATAACATTCAAAGGGTAACTTATTACCTACACTAATGTTTTTAGTGTTTATCACAAGTTAGAGATTAATAAAAGAATGCAACACTTACTTTTTGGAAATCTGAACCGATAGTTTTAATTGGTACGGTAAATTCCTTTAATTCACCATCGAAATAACTTTCTATTTCATTTTCAAACTCTTCGAGTAATTTGGTCTTTCCAAGTTCAAATGTGCAAGACAATTCCTTGGCAACACTTTTAAACATTTTTTCGAGATTTTTTGAGTCTTCAAAGCAAACAATATAAACGAATTCTTCATCACCAACCGCTATAATTTTTCCGATAGGAGAATCAAATATGTTCACGTATAAAGTTGATGTTCCATTCGTATATTTATCCAATACACCAGATAGTTTCATTGCGACATGGAATTAACTTAAAGTTTTAAAGCCACGAGTGTAGTGTGATATTTGGAATTGTTTTGTTATTAAATAAACCAGCAAAAGCTGTTAAATTAAATGAAACTTCAAAATACTGACAATTGACAATTGGTGCTAGTTGAACGACACACTCTCGACATAAGTCGTTTACGCTAGTAGTACACGTTAAAATAATATACTTTTAACGGTTTAAAACGCTTATTAACTAATTATTAATTTGATTACGGCCTTCACTTGGGTAAGTAAAGAAAGCATAATGACAACTAAACCTTTGACTTCGGTTATTTTAAAACGTGGAATTATTAAATAATAAATCACAAAAGTAATTTCATAACACTTATTATAAGCATATACTTTTATTATATTGAATGGTTTTCGTTTATAGGTAATTTATTATACTATTAATATCTTCGTGCATATTCTAATACTTTATTTTTCCGTTAATAATTAATTAAAGGTCTGTATTGTAAAACTGAAGAGTATGTACTTATATTTAAAGGCGCCGTTATCTCAGAAACTATTGGTTTGAATTGACCAATTATGTGTTGGAAAGACTATTTATCGAGGAAGAGTTTAGGCTACGTAATATCACGCTAAGAGAAAGTAACAAGAGCGAAGAAAGAGAGGAAAAACGGGAAAAATTATTCATCTTTGAAGGCCTCCGTTGCGCTGCGTAAATGGTTCAGTTAACCACAAAAATATGTATTATAGAAATATTCCACTGTATGATCTAAAAAATGTTCGCAATACGTATACAAGAACACGTTTATCTTTTTAGAATTACTTGCAAGAACGACGTGATGCCGTCGGACGACGTCGTGAGTAACATCTGTAATTTATAAAGCTGATAAGGTCATTTGCAAAAATAAATTGTGATGACCAAAATAATTATTTCACTTCCACTAGTAATGAATAAAAAAACAATCGTCCGATATTTGCATCCATTTATTAAAAGGCTTAAACTACCCTTTTAGATATAAGTAAATTATATCTTTATTATTTCTCACCTCACTGGTTTACTTTAACAATTACTTTACCAATATTTTCCCCTCTCAACTGGCTGTTCAGTATCTTCACCATGTTTTCAAACCCGTAGTGGACGTCTTCTCTATACTTCAGTTTGCCCTCGTTAATCCACGCCAATGTCTTGTTCATACCTTCCAACCATCTGTTCTCCCAACGAAAGACATAAAAAACCTTCTATCTTCAATTCTTTGAACGCTATGATCGGTTGCATGATGGTCACTGGAAATAGAAAAATTTAAGTACGAAATGGAATACGTAATCTGATGAAACATGATAATCAAGAACTGCGTTTAATAAAAGGAAGTCAAATACATAAAAGGTTACAATATTACATACACAAAATCAAAAATCCTTTATATAAATGGCTTAAGTAACATTATGACCGTCAAACCATTTAAAAATTGTAAATTTACATTTACTACTCGTTTCCAAATCGAGGGCGTAGAACGAACGAGAAGAACTGGCAAAAAACTCGCCGTACTCCTTTTAATTGTCAAGTTTTTGTTACAATCCTTATGCACTTAATAGGTAAGTACATCTTCTTTCTTGTTAGAGCATGTTCCTCCATACCCCAAGCATTATTTTCATTTAAATATTCATTTACGTTATAATAACCCTTTCCAAGCAGTTTTCTAGTGTTAAAAGTACGATTAAAACTTATACTGACAGAATGAAGCCAAAATAAAGTTCGTCAGTCGGGAAAGTGGTAAAACTTCTGTTAATAATGATAATATGTACTTATATCTATGTACCTTTCGCTGGTTCAGTTGCGTTATACGACGATATGGAACCACAAACAGTTATTCTGCCTTGTTGTTTCATTTGTCGCATAATTTTGTAACTTATTTCTCCTCCAACCTTAAATAGAAATAGTATTATTATTATATATATAGTAGTAATAAATATTAGTGTTCAACTCGCGTAAACTGCAGATATTATTTACTAGCTGTGCCCGCGACTTCGTCGCGTGGAATAGTGAATTGTGGTAGAATTTTACTTTGCCGCAACTCTCTCACCCAATACTCCCACTCTAACTCCCACTTTCCCACCCCACTCCTATTCCCAAAAAGCCAAAGAAGAAAGTTTCATTGTTCTAGTTTAAAACACCACGAATTTCCATACAAACTTTCATCCCCTTTTTCAACCCTTATTTGGCATTAAAAAGTCTCTCTCATTAAAATATCTATTTACCAAATTTCATTTAAATTAGTTCAGTAGTTTCTGAGTTAAAGCCGGACAAACAAACAAACTCTTCAGCTTTATATATTAGTATAGATAAAACTCTATAATTTATTTAGTTAAAAATTAATAAATGGTATGGATAACACGGTTTGATTTTGTTCAGCATTTCTATCAATTTGTTTAAAGTAAAAAAGTAGTGACGTAACTACAATAGTTAGACATATGGTCTCTCAGTTTTTTGTAGATATTGATAGATTTGATATATATAATATTGCGTCTAAATCTATGGTATGCGATGAAAAACATTTTATGGCTAATTTTTCTTAACCTCCCGTTGCTTTTAATATTTTAATTTCTAAAGATTTCTATCGTAATGAAGTACTAAGTATAGTCTATTTTACTCAATGATAATGTAGCTGTCTAATGAAAAAAGAATTATTAAAATCGGTCCAGTACTTTTTGAGTTTATCCGTTACATACAAAAATACAAATCTTTCCTCTTTATAATATTAGTGTAGTAGCTGTTACCCACGATATTCGTATGCCGTCGTACGCGTCCCGTCGTTCGGGTCGTTCTGGCAAGTTAATATTAAAAGATAGACATATAGCGTCGCGGACTTTTTTTTAGATCATTTAAAGGGGATTCATTCATTCGTGCACAATTTTTTGGTATCTTGAAGCGTTCAAACAAACAAACAAACTCTTCAGCTTTATATATTAGTATTGATAAAATACGTAGATATATAAAATAGCGTACGTTATCGAAATAGCAGTCTACACCTGTTGGTGCTGCCTCCCCGAGGACAGTTGGTACATCAACAGTTTTGTAGTTAAATGCATGATCGAAACCAAGTTCGTTGATCAAGTATTTGCATTTCTCATCTGTCCCAGCGAAGCCAATCACTGTGCAGCCTGTGACAAATAAATAAGATCAAACCATACTTTCGAGAAAAATTAAAAGCTTGGGCTTTGAACAAAAATAAACAAAGGCTGTATAGCTAATAATCAACGGGTGACCCCACCAGGTCTAACATTTTTCTAATCAGTTAAAAAAAAATCTGAAAATAGATTATAGAAATATACCATGACAAATGAAAAAGCCGTAAGCTTAATCGCTTTCAGATCACGGTTTCCGAATCTCTAAAGTCATAGGAGGACAGCAATCTTGTGTAGATTGTAGGGCTTTCATCTACCATCATGTGAACTCCATGCTTGTCTGTCCTGTATTACATAAAAATCCCAAAGTCTCAAAGCACTCGGGGGGAAAACGTCAAACAATTTTGGTATAATACAGTTATACAATTGTGGCAATTTACCCAAAATCTTCGCGATTTGTCCAGCATGAGAACCAACTGCTCCAGCTGCCCCGGTAATGACTACTATTTCTCCTGCCTTTGGTTTGAGTGACTCTGTTATGCCGAAATGTGCTGTATTTCTATGAGGAAAGAGCATAATTTAATTACTTCTTTTTTAAGCGCGAATTCGGATAGCAGATAATATTTACGTTTCAATTATATTATTTACTCGCTGCAAAATTAAGGGTTATCGCTATATACATACATTAATACATAAAACAATTTATCGATGGTTTTATACATGAAGATAATTATTTTGTTCAAGTTACATACTTTTTAACAACATATGTATTCAAATCGAGTGGACGTTAAAGATTAAAATACAAGAGACTTAAATAAAAACGTTTAACCGTTTAAAATGCGGCGTATATTACTTAGCTTAATCTTATCTACGATCCGACGATTCAGTGATTTTGCAGTAACCGTGGTCAGGGGGGACATATGGCACCAGGTGACTCATAATATTAGTACTGCATATAAGGACCTAGTTCCTCTAAAATGTTGAAAAATTATTTTTACCCCGGCATATCCAGCATTCCCAGGCTCAAAGACAGAGGATGCGGGCTGATATCTGGCACACGGACAACAGGGAGTGATTCGGTTTGGAAGGGTATTTCTGGCTTGAAAACAGTATGCGTTCGCCAGCCCAATGAAGCCACTATATGGCAACCAACAGGGTAGCTGTCGTGACGACTCGCCATTATCCTTTAACATAATATATATTAAATGTAACAACATCCGTGCCATGTGTATACGTGTTAAAGCCGGCCTTCGAGCGGGATGATATAAGTTATCAACATATTTGTGAAGGAACTATTTTCGTTGTTATAAACGTTTATTTGTTTCCTTTTTATATTCAATACGTTTCAAATAGGATTCTATTTTAATGATTATGGTATAATCTGTCTTTATTAAAAGTTGTGGCCTTCATATACCTGGATATCGAGTGAAATAAAACAGGTCATTAATTATTGTTAATGAGTAATTATGATAGTCACAACGGATAAAAGTTTAAAGTGAATAATTTTCATCGCACATCAAATTAAACTATCTCTGTGACGAAACCAAGTTTGTATTTGTTACTCAATCTGCCATCTTGAATCTAGATAATTTTGCATGGTCTATGGACCTTCGAAATTAATATTTACTCACTTCGCCAGCTGCCTCCCAATCATATCTATTGGCAATTTATGTAGTTGCATATGCGCACGCATGTATGGGTCGATGCTGTAGTACAGTGCTTCGACCATTATTTCTGGATAATAAATATAAATAAGAAATTCAGTCTGACTGCATTACTTGCGCAACAAAAACTTAGTAAATTATTTTTAAGTTATTAAATACCAATAATATTAAATTAAATACCAAGTTATGAAAAGGTGAAAAAAGAATTAGGAAGAACTATAAAAAATTTAACTGTAACGTCCATCCTCCATACAAAAAAAATGGATAGTAGCGGGAAAAGTAGAGTGAAAGATGTAATATAATGTCAAAAATTACTTTATAAACAAATCCTTTTTTGAATATAAAAAAAAACGTCTATATCTTAACTTACCTCCATCTTTAACTTCAGGTAGATCTTCTTCCACGATTTCAAAGTCACTCTCTTTTGGCTCTCCATGGTAATATTTAACTAATACATACTTTTTTGCTTTTCTTTTTTCTCCAACTGAACTCATTATAATTATTTTATCGAATAAAAGTGTTTTATATGAAGCACGCTTTTATAATATTCCGAATGTAATAAGACTATAATTCAATGCTGCAGCATTTATATTTACAGGTCGTATTTATGTTGTGTCCTTCAAGAGAGATACAGAATGGTCTTTATTGTGAAATACAAGAAAAATAAAAAAAATATGTTGATTTATTTTCGTGTTCGCAATGAACATTTCAATACAACATCAAGTTTTACTTAGGAAAAAGTAACAGTTTTCGCTGTATTGTAAGAGAAATTGTATACATACATGAGTTAAGTCATATTTACATCTTGATTTGATCGTCTTTTAGGTATAAGAAAGTTATAGGTTAATTGGAAAAGCTAAAAAATGATTTATGCGCTGGAGTGGAAAATACATAGTCTGCCAATGTCGACCATAAAACATCTGCCTCAATTTTGGATACGCAATAATCGTACTTAATAATGTTAATGTCTAAATTTTTAGAAAGCAAAGTTTGCTCTGACCTCAAATATGAATTTTATTTGAGATTCGAACCTAAAACTATTTCCACTAGACACACACACGAATTTTAAAATAAAAAATGTCGAACCCGCGACAATAAGTAGTCATGCTAAATGTAACACCATTCTTTTTAATTACTTCAAGTTGTATAGTTTAAAAATTACCTGCAGTAATGATTACAAAAAAAAACAGTACTTACATTTTAATTCATACTGTATCTATTTGGTATAATTTTCTCGACAAAATTTAAATATTATCATAAATGTAGCAATTAATGTAATTTCTTTATTTTAGAGGAAAATTTAATTAAGTGATTTATGATTGTAAGTGCAGGACGTAAATAAAGATATTTAATCAGACATTATAAATATGTATAAAAACTATTGGTCACCTTATTGAAGTTATGAATATTCAGACTTTAAAATTTTTATATAATAAATAATTTTACCGCCGATTATAATAAGATGTTGATAACCGAATCGTCCTCCCTTTAAATAATCAATTTAATATTTTAGTTCTTCGGAATGGCCTAAAAGATTTTTAAGAAAATTTAAATGCTTTTTCAGTAGGTCTTGTCCTGAGAAACAACTACTATTACTAACTACTACTATTTTTTATATATTGGATCTTCATTTAAAAAAAATAAGGGCATCGAGTTATGATATAAATTTCAGACGGTTCGTTTGCAAATTTATTTCCAAGATGGCTTTTAGCGCAACAATTGAAAATCAAACTTCTGCAAATCCTGAAAATTTACATTAAAACTACAGAATAGTTGCAGTAAATAAGAAAAATATTATATTCATTGTCAATAAAACACGAAATATATGAAAAAGGTAAAAAATATTGTATTAAAGATACATATTTGTGAAAAATAAATTGTGTAAGGCTTTTCACGGCCATCGTTCAGCATATCATTGTCAGGAGATGTTGACTCCTCGATTGCTCGAAGAATTAATTAGAAGAGTTAATTCTTCGAGAAATCGAGGAGTCAACATCTTCTGATGACGCCGTCCACACGTGATGGCGAAACGTCGAGAACCTCTTCTCGCTTACATCGGCCGAACAGCCCGAAAGACAATGATATACATATTTGTGATTTGTAAAAATATTACACATGGTAGACAAAAAAACGATATCCACTCTTAATTAACTTTGACGACAGCCTTTCCAGTATTCTCACCCCGAAGAATACCATTTAAAGCTTTCACCATATTCTCAAATCCATGGTACACTTCTTCCTTGTATTTCAATTTGCCTTCTTGTATCCACTTGAGGTTCATGTCGATCCCTTCGTCCCATCTGTGGGTCCATCTGTTAACAAGGAACCCTTCTACTTTCAATTCTTTGAAGACAATGGCCGGTTGCATTATTGTAACTGGAATAAATAGAGATAGAGTTAGAGAAACAGAGAGGGAGTAATACTTACAACTTAATGCATCAGGTGGTTTTGTATCTAACTTATGCGATAAGATAATTAATTAATATGAACATTATACTTCTTTAAAATAAAATACTTTAACGGTTTTAAACGCGATATTTTTAATAAATGTGTATTACTCGCGTACTCTATAGACAGCATTATACTTCTATATTAATATACTTTCTTTTTTTCAACTTTTTTATACTTCTTTATTTATTTTATTTCATAGTTTTAATTGTGTAAATTTTTTAGCATTAACAGTGTTAGGTAATTATCTACTTTTTCAAAACATTTTTTATCTATTTTTTATGTACCTTTTGGAAGTTTAAGATCGTTGTATGAAGATATAGATCCACAGACTGCGACCCTGCCGTATTTATTCATGTACGACATAATGGTATGACTAATTTCGCCACCAACCTTAAAAGAACACAAAATAATTGAAAAGCTCCTAGCTTTTTATAGCATCCGATATATTAGTTATATAAGACCACTGCCTTAGGTCTGTTATAAACGTCGTTCTATTTCTATACAATGTCGTTCTTTTGCATCATGATAAAGTGATCTTCCATTTTCTCTGTGGTAATCAGAATTTTTTGTAAGGCAGTATGCACACGACGTTGTAAAGCGACCTAAGGCCATGTTCACATTAATGTCTATAATATACTAGTTGTGCCAGAGACTTCATTTGTGTAGAATAGTTATTGAGGGCATTGAAATTAGCTCTTGCAAACTCTTTTCCTTATCTTTATCGATTATAGCTCTTACCCACGACGTCGCCCGCCTGTCGTTTTGCAGGTTAATCTTAAAAGATCGATATACACTCACAAGCATTTTTTTTCGATAGCTTTAAGAGGAATCATACTTTGTATACTCATCATACATGCATACATTCATCATATTTTGCGGGTATCTCACTATTTTTTTCCAGTTTTGTCCAAATGTTATATATATTATCGCCTAAAACCATCCTCGGTAAATGTTCTATTAACCGACACAAAAAGATTTTTTCAATTTGAACTAGTAGTTTCTGAAACCTATAGATTACAAGTTTACTCACATTATCGAAATAGCAGTCTACACGATTGGGTGCTGCTGCTTTCAGAGCTGCCTGGATGTTTGCTGTTTTGTAATTGATAGCGTGATCGAAACCCAACTCCTTTATCAAGTAATCACATTTTTCATCTGATCCCGCAAAACCTACCACTCTGCATCCTGAAAGGGAAATCATATTCAGAAAATAAGAATAAGAAATATCTATTTCGGTCAGGCAGGGCACAGAAGTATCTAGTAAGTTATCGATCTTTATAAACAGGCACTTGCCTATTGAATTTTAAAGTTTGTTTAAATATTTGTTGAAAATTGATCGCTGAAACGGACACAGTGATATGTTCCTGAGATGTGGCCCCAGTGTAGGTCATAAGGGTGTGGTAGGAGAAAAACGATTTTACAAATTAAAAAGCGTTATTCATGTTATTCAAGCCATAGGTACAGATAATAAGATTTCGGCTTAAAAACATATTATTGATGTTGATTACTAAACACGCAAGAAATTTTAAAGAAAGCAATGTTTCCTTGAACCAAAAGTTTACGAATTAATATATTATGGCCTTATAGAAGATCTCAGTCCTGGCTGTTAAAACTATGTAAGAGATGATGAACTACATGAAAGACAATAATGAAATTTGTAATTGAAATTCATGAAGTTCATGACATTAAATAATTAATAATAATTTAAACTTATTCGGAACATTCTGACGATGTTTCGCAGCAACGTCGAGTCGTAGTTAAAAAATAAATAAGTTTAACTAATATACATCGCGTTTGAACCTCTACTACTCGCGCAAAGTACAGACAGTATTTAATCGTGACACTATTTCAAAATCTGATAAAAAAATGAATACTCACCTAATATCTTCGCAATTTGTCCAACATGCGAGCCCACTGCACCAGCAGCTCCAGTTATTACCACGGTTTCGCCCGCTTTGGGTTGACAAATTTCGTTCAAGCCAAAATAAGCCGTATTACTGTTTACAAACGTACTAATTTTATTCTCTCTACATCTTTACTTATAGGACCTTACCGTAAACCACACCTGCTACTCGGCAATATTACGCACGAAAAAAATACCGTCAACGGAGAACATAGAGTAAAATAAAATTTAAAAATCTGGTGTATAAACATAGTATAAACTAAATGATAAAAAGTAACTTTGTTTTTGTAAGCTCTTATCATGAACGAGAAAATAATTACCCAGGCATTCCCAAGACACCCAGAGCTAGAGATATTGGATGAGGGCTGATATCAGGAACGCGGGTCAGCGGCATAACTCCCGGAAGTCTTGGTTTGTTGGGGTCACATATAGTGTGGGTCCGCCAACCGTATGAATCCGTAACATAACTACCAACTGGGTACTTATCGTTACGGCTGTCTATAACCCTGAAAAATCAATTAAAAAATAGGAATATAAGACTGAGAAACGATAATCGGAATGATTTTTAAACAAGTTTATTATTTAAATAAAACACCAACGCGATATACATATATTCGTTAAAATAATCTCCTATTAAGTTTAACGAATATAAATGGCGTTTTAAACCGTTAAAGTGGTTTTATTTGAATGTGTACTACTCGCGTAAACTACAGACGTTAGTTATTATTTGTATACTCATGTAAAGTCTAATTTGTAAAGCGATTAATCGGTGTCAAATATTCAAAGGCAAAATTGGTCGACAGGGCATTTTGTAAAGATGTTATATGGGTGGTGAAGTTTATTTCGCCTACCAACAAGTGCATGCACGTCTGTCCTCCTCTCATAAAAAAAAAAGAAATCATACCCTATCGTTAACAGTCAGGATATAACGATCAGGGCAAAACGAGCCACAGATCTTATAAATATACAGAAAATAAACATAAAACGGACTTTTAATTGAAAAATACATTCTTTTAGAAAGCCTTACTTCGCCACTTGACCTCCAATCATGTCTGTTGGTAATTTGTAGCCAATCATATATGCACGCATGTATGGGTCAACGCTTAGATATTCAGCTTGCGTCAATATTTCTGAAATTCGAAGCTTAATATATTCAATTTTTTTCTTTTTGCGTATTTATTTATATATGTTTGCGAAAACCCGGTATTATAAAAAGAAGATAACCATTCTGGATATAGTATTAAAAACGACTATGCATTATAAAAAAAAATTAAAGAGTCTTTAAAATAAAATATGAAGAAGGATAGGACAAATGGACTGAAACGAAGAGTTTTAGAGTCTTGTCTAAAACTTGTTTATACTTAATTTTACATAAGCTGTGGTTGAAGATAACATTCATAAATAGCTTTGCAAATAGTCTGTGGTTTTTTAACTTGTGTCACTCCATTATTTATGGTGACGATGCACTATAATACAGCACTTTACTGAATGAAGGTTATGTATAACTTTAACTTGTAATATATAACTAAGTTTTACGGGGCGTACTATAATACAACTATTACTTTATGAGACGAAAGTATACCTACGCAATGTTATACTTGTCATAATTATTTATTACATAGGCATAACATTTCCAATGCCCATTTTTCTTTAATACAAAATTAATTGTCAGTCCTAATAATTATTAAAAGATAAGCTTACCCCCATTTTTGAGCTCAGGTAATTCTTCTTCAACTATTTTAAAATCGCTTTCTTTCGGCTCGCCTTGAAAATATTTAGTAAGTACATATTTCTGGGCCTTTATTTTCCCCGTAGCTCCGGAATATAAACGCTTTGAAATATTAATAAACTGAGTTATTTTTGTCATTATTAATGGTTTGATGTGCAGCCTTCACTGATTGAAACAATTCTACACACAGTACAAAGTTCAGATAAAGAATTCAATCGTATCTGGTCAAGTAAATAAATAACGTCAAGGTTAAGCGGCAACTGTTGTATCTAATCAACTAAAACGTGTTTAAAAAATTATATCGTTTTATCTGTGCCACCGTGACTACACACATACTAGCTGCGTAAGATTTTTTACAGATTCAGATTGTCGTGCGAGGCTTTATTTATTTAATTCGCCACCTTTCTGTAGAAACACCAAGGATACCCCACCGCTCTGTGGGTTTAACTTGAATATCTGGACAAGATCATCCACATCTCAACTATTGTACTTCAAACTCTGCAGAAATACACTCCGTCGTGGAGTATTTTTGTTTGTACATGTGTAGTTATATGATAATATGTAATATTACCCTTCTAATGACGGAGTTTTTCTAGATTTTTAAAGGCATTTGTAATAAAAATTTGGTTACTACGTAGTTTGAATCCCACCAGAGCATGACTGTGATTTGAGATCTTGGCCATCGATCATTAACGCATCTCCTTAATTCATTATAAAATCTAAGACTAAATTATCAGGTAAAAGAATAGAAAAACAATTTCGACCAGTTTTTTGTGAGATCCGAACTAATTTTTGAGTAGAAAGTTAGTAGGCCCTTTCCATAGATTATCTAAAAAAGTATATTTTGTATGAACAATGATTTAGTGGTAGATAGGTACCTTAGTTTAAAAACTACTTTAAGATAATAATAATTATAATATGTAATATTAAACCAAAAAGTTTTATATCTACAGTCATGTTAAAATTATCCGTCTGTGGAAACAATATCTTTGATTACCGTTCAATTGACATATTTGTGACAGTATATTGCGATACGAAATGCTTTTTATTTGTTATCTGTGGTGTGGTCAATATGGCATCGCATGTATTAATATTATGATAAATATGTAATAAATATTGCAAATAATAGCCAAAATCTGGATATTTTAAATATACCGTGAAACTTCTGTTTTTCTGTTTAATCTTATTGTAGAAGTACAAAGTAAACCGTTACAATTTAAGTGCTAAAATGTAGAATGAAGAACGCTAGCTAATTACTTTTAGTTTTCAATTGTATTCAATATTATCTGGTATTTAGAGGCTTATGAACTCTTAAGTTTATATTGACTTGAGTTTGTGTTCAACTATGACGACTATTGAGAACTTTACATGTGTTTTCTGCAGCGAAACTTTTCATGATAAAGAATTACTTCAAGAACATTTTAGGTAAAGCATTTGTAACATTTTGTATTTATATTATAGGCGGCACAACAGCAAAATTGTTCGCGTTTAAATAAATTTGCCTTGTGTTCCAGAAAACATGGTGATAAGGACTTTGATAAAAATGCAAGAAGTAAGATCAAAACTCAATATGAAGTGTCTACTTCAACGGAGAAAAGTGAGGACAGTGAACTTGTTGGTTGTGATGTGTGTGAAGAAATGTTTCCTACTATATCCAAAGCGATAACACATAAACATAAAGTGCATCCGGACCATGATGCTAAATATTTCTGCCCATGGTGTGGCAAACTTTTTACTATGAAGGTAAGAATAAAACATTACTCTTAGCCTATTTAGAGCAGAAATGCACAGAGCTCGACCGCCGAGGGCAAAAATAATACTCAATCTAATAGATTCTTTTTCAGTTTTAATACATTATTATCAATTCTTTATTGTCTTTAATTACCTATACTTTTTGTGGCTCGCATTCAGTTTATGATTTGCCCGAGTGACCCCACAAGTCTGCAGGGATGTACAACCTGATTTAGAGTTTTAATTTTCTCTTGTACACTTAAAGTGTAATTCTTACTTATATCTATGTTATATTGATACTTAATAACAATTTAAAAGGGTTTTGATTTAAAACAATTTACAATAAAAACTATATGACTTTTGCCTTATGCGTAACTTCAAAATAAGTTATAGATTTTTTTTACAGCATTTATACAATAAACATATCCAGAGCACCCACAAAGACGAAGGGAATACTGACATAAAAGGTTTTCACTGTGACTGTTGTGGTATTGATTTCTATAATCCATCTGCCATGTTGCACCACAACAAATTTTTTCATAGACAAGATATTGATGACCATTCATTGGGATCATCTAAGAAGGTTAAATTATATAACCAGGTAACTTAATATAGCTTTTAAAAGTCAGGTTCCTTGGTTGTGAAGAATCTAAGACTTTACACCTAAATGCTTTTAATCCTTATTTTACAGGAGATGGTAGTGATTCTATACTGTCCATTTTGTGGCGAAGAGTACAATAATAAGGTTAATTTACATGTAAGTGTTTAGAATTGAATTTTTATTTTATATGTTAGTTGGTTGTAAGCAAGAAGACTTGCAGTATTTTTTCTTTTAATATTCTTTTTTTTAAAATATCCTGTTTTATATATTTTCAGAAACATATGGAAGATGATCATAGTGATGAAAATCAATCTCCGGAGGATGTACTCCGCTGTCCATTGTGTGAAGCATATTTCTACCACTTAGATGCATATGAGTTACATCTCACTTTTCATTCAACTGACGATGTTTACAATGAACCCAATGAAATGTAAAATTCTTATTGTATTTGCACGTGGATGTTATAAAAATTGATAATAATATTTGTTTTTATTTACAGGATCAGTGAAATAACTGAATTTTCCTTAGATGCTGTTCCTCCCCTTATGGAGAAAATCCAAGAAGCTAACTACAACTCTATCGTAAGTAATTATTTATTTAGTATATTATTTATTTTAGTTATATTAATTTCTAATTATTAATTGTTTCCATTTATAGGACAGTTTCCTTGAAGTAGTTCAAAATGAACCAACAGAATATGAGAATAAGGTTAAACAAAAGAAACACAAAAAGCATAAGAAATCTAAGAAAGAAACTATTACATTGGACGAATTTTTAAATATGAATAAAGATGTTTTTGGGGATGGTTTAAATGTACAAGGTATTGAAGAAGTTCCTACTCAAATGGTGTTACAGAGAAAGTTTAAAGGTAAAAAATCGGACGGCCAGTCAGCTGGTGATGCAAAAACGGTGAAGCAAGATCTAGCCAAACTAAAGAAGCAAGGCATTATAGTAAAGGCTAAATCTAGCCAAGACTTGCCTAAATTTAAAGTTCTTAAGAATATCCCTGAAGTAAATAACAAGATACAGGAAGTATGTAAAGATCCTAATGATGTTATATCAAAATTAATGAGCCAGGGAAATAGTCAAATCAAAATAGTCAGAAAATTGGTAAAGAAAACAGATGAAAACAAGTCAGAGAGCTATCAGTCCAATAAAATAGATTCTTCCTCTGATTATGATACAAATAACACAGCAGATGTAGAAGATAATACATATTTGGAAAATAATAATCAAGAAGCTGATGAAAACACAATTCCTGCAGGAGTTACAGAAGATAAGGATAATGCATCAGAGAATGATAAAAATATCAACAAATTTGCGGATATTGATGATGAAAAAGAGAGTAAAATAAATATAACCCAGGAAGATTCCTCTACCTTAAAAACAATTCATAACCTTGGTGAAGCAATAACTATCAAATCCCTATCACAAATTAACTGCAATAAAAATGATAACACAGAAACAGAGTCTCCTTTAAATACCGAAAATATTGAAAACGAAGTAATGAATCACGATACCTTTGAGGAAAATGAACCATCGATTTCTTCGGAAAATCAAACAGACGGCAACACATCGCAGCTTTCAAGCCTAAATGAAGAAATAGTTGTAGATCCCATCGCAAAAAATAATGCAGAATCTCCTTTGTTTCAAAGAATAGAAAGTGAAAATAAAGACATTATTAAAACACCGAGCGACGTGCCTCTACAAACGTTAAAAGGGGTAAGTGAGCATGTAACTGTTAAAAAAGTTGCCAACTCAACTTGTTCTTCACCTTCACATTCAAGTGAAGAAGTACATAATGAAGAATTTGATGATGAAAATAATATGGCACAGAATTCTCCATGTGATGAAAGTGCTACTTCTAACAATGAAGAAACACAAAAAGATGTTACAAATAGTAATACCTCTGCTTCTAAAGCATGCCATGCGGATCTTTTAAAACGATTAACTAGTGTTACTGCAAAACCTATCTCTATAAAAAATTCACAGTCTCCAAATACGGGAAATATAGAGAAAGATGTTCAGACTGATATTAGAAAAGAATTAGAAGATCCAAAACCCATAAATTCATCATTGCAGAGTAATACAGATATTTTAAAAAGATTAAAACATGTTACTGCAAAACCCGTATCATCTAAACCAATAAACAAACCAGTTGCTCACATACCTAAAAGAGAACCCATTAAGAGTGTGATAGAAAATGAAGTAGAGGTCTTTCACATTGACGATTCTGACAGTGACGCTGATGGCGATACCGCTAAAAATCATGAACACAAGGTTACACAACCATTGCAGAAGGTAAAAAAATTGCCAACGAAAAAACCTACAACTCCACCACCGCTACGTAGTTTGAATAAAAATATCACAGTAAAATCAATGAGTCATACAAGTTCTAACTACACCGAGGTACAATCAAACAATGGCCAGACTGAAATCAAGAAATCGTCCGTTAATCGTTCATTCCAATCCAAAAATGTCAGCATAACACAAAGTAACAGACTATTGGAGGAGCAAAAAAATCTTCAAAAGACTATTAGCCATCTCCGACGTCATGTAAGTATAAAACCAAAAAATACGCCAACTGTTAGTCATGAACCATCACACGATGATCACGATGTTGATAATATTGAACAAGGATTTGAAGACGAAGAATATGACTCGGATCCTGGTGAAAAAGTGAAGATAACGGAACTTGAAGACAATAAAAGCGATAATGACCATCAAGCGAGTGATGAGCCCAATATAAGAGTTGAATCGCCTCAGTCTCCCCACAGTTCGAACAAAGATATGGATGAAAATAATTTCGATGATGACTTTGACGATATTGAGGCACAGATAAAAGCGAACCCCATAAAAACCAATCAGAACCCCCCTCCCCCTGTACAAAATCCTACTTTAAGTAAATTAAGCAAAGAATTAACAATAAAACCGGTGAGACACAACTTTGCCGCCGATAGTGAAACCAAACCGACGGAACGTACTTCTGACGCTCCTAAAAATATAAAAGCAGTACCATTGCGACCTCTCAATCAAAGACCACAAGTGAATAAAAACGTAATGCAGTCTAGCCAAAAAGCCTCAACATCTAACCAAGTCAACACTGTAAAGACAGTCAAAACTTATCAATCTCAAACAGTAATTGAAGAAGTGACAACAACAGTCACGAAAACTATTAGAACTGTTAACACACAAGTAAATAATCCTAGTCAAACGATATCAAGGCCTACAAGACCTCAAAAGGTTATAACTAAGCCACCAAATGTTGTAAATTCTACGCGACAGGCACCTCTAGTGGTCGGTGCAAAGATTAGAAATTATTCACCAGTCAGACCAGTTAGACCTTCCAACACATTAGTCCCTATGCGACCTCGATTAAATTCACCGCAAATGCCGTCTCCTGCTATAAGGAAACCGGGCCCAGTTCCAAACCGGCCCCGGTTGACCCCCACTAGACCAATGCGTCTGGCTACACCCACTGCTGCAACAGTAAAGCGACCTTCCGAAGAGACGGGTCATTTTAGTTGCTTCAAAAAACCAAAGGAATCACTAATCCCCGTTCAAGATATTCCTAGCATGACAAACAACGAAGAACAATATTCCAGTTCACAAAGTAAAAGCACGTTTTCAAATGTCATCAAGATTGTGAAAGGGAATGCTGCGAGTACATCACAAGTGAAGACCGAGACTATGAGGTCACAAGAAAAATTTGCCAAATTAAGTGGGGTTTCCGGCTTGAAAATTGTGAAAAGTAGTACAAAAGAAGCGACGCAGGTTGAGAAGTGTGAAACGAGCAGTCCTGTTAATAATACAATGGCAGCGTTGGAAAAATTGCAACGGCAAGGCTTGCTTATTAAGAAACCCAGATTGGATCTTACTGAGAATGAAAATTCACATAACAGTGGGGAGGAAAACTCAGATAATGATTATTGATTTCTCTGGCGCTAAATCCAAAACCAAGACTGGTGTACAGTGATAAGTTTTGTTTCTTAAACAGTCTAGTACTTGTAAATAATTGTACAGACATCTACAGACGATTAAGTATAAGTAAAGTGCTCCGCTAAGTTTGTACAAGAAAATATGACATTAATGCAGAAAATATTATTTTGTGTTATTTTCAATAAAACAATTCATCAATGACAACAATGTTTATTTCATTCATTATAGTATTTACATAAAAATAATTAGTATAAGATATACAAATTCCTTCGGATATACGAAAATATGGTTTATAGAGAATATAATTGAATTCTATAATTATAGATGATAATACTTCAATCTTGCTTTGGCTCGAACTTATTTTGTCGCCATTTTTGATCCTGTAACGGTATCGACTATTAGAATAAAGTACGTTTAATATACAGTGCAACATCTACACAAACACACCATTCAACTAAGCTCCAAAGCTACAAAAATCTATATACACTACACAAGACGAAGCGAGACAAACGAATAAAACAAAAGCACCTACTTTATCACACCACTGTGCCCAGCTCAGTATCACTTACATACCTCAAATAATTTGGAACATTTTAAAATCAACATGATCAGAAAACTTATCCCAGTACAAGAAATTTTCACGATCACAACGCTCTTTTTGCCACCTATAAGCCAATAAAATTAAAGGCCCAATGAAAAATCGAGTATATCCCATAAGTTGTTTTCCCTTATAAGGCTAAATTTCACCGAGAAATAATGACGTAAATAATAAAAAAGTATGTCTTATTGATTACAGTTCTTATTAAATTTGCAACTACCTACTTAGTTCAAAATGACGTCAAAATAGTAATGGTCCGTTAGTCTCCGCCGGAGTTATTGAGCCGTTAACGTATTAATCAATGTCATTATGTCTCGGTAAAATTGAGCTTAGCGATGACCATTGTTTGGAATCACGTACCAACTCCGCGATCTCATTGGACAGCCGGTACGCAATTGCTCGCAATTTGTAGCGCAACTTGAGTGCGCCGCGCAAGTGATTTTTCTTGTACATCGTGTTGAATATCGTGTACGTATTGCAGACGTGCAACGTAAGGAACAAAACGGCTAAGTAAGGCACCTGTTGATTATTAAAAAGCGATCATAAACATTTGCAACTTAAAAGTTTATTCGGTTCGGTTACAAGCACTTGTAAAATAAAACTAGGGAATATACAAAGCGATAAGTACACAGTCTAATTGCGGTAAACAGATCTTGATGTCCTCTTAAACTACACATTCAATACAATTGACTAGGTGGACGAATGATATCACATGTGTAAAAGGCTTTTAAACGTACCAAAAAAAATTTTAACAAGAATTTCTAAGCGATTCAGTTAAAACATACAAAAATTTTAAAGATTCCCGCTAAAAACTTGTAGCTGTTACTTTTGTGCGTATATAATTAAAATGCTAATAAATAGGACCGTAAAGGTGATCGCACATTTGTCAACGACCCACACGCTGAAGCCACACTGTTCCAACCCGAGGCCGATACCCCTTCGGGGCACGAAGGGAGTTGCGGTTTCGGGTTGGTCTTTGGTCCAAAGACTCGCTTAAAGGTACGGTTGATTTCAAGTTATAAATCTAACAAAGGCGTAATCGCGTATGTTGCTTCCAAATGTGCGATTACCTTTAAACACGTTTCGAACTATGCATTGTCATTTTAAAACACATTGACAATTCAAATTACAGCCTCGATAAAACAATTACGTAATACACTCGTTGTACATTCAATTTATATTCTATAAATGCTACATAGTATTAGGTACTTACGTATTTAACAAGATCTATTAGAACAGCTTATACGCCGTAATAGGTCATCCATTAATCACGAGATATTTTTTTAGCTTTTTTAACCCACTCTAACACACAGCGAGGTTAGGACTACTCCTCCCTCTGGAACATATGCGTATCTTCTATTAAAGAATCTTACTAGTTTCTACTTAAAAAGGGGGGACCCTACCTTTGTGTTTTTGTCAAACCCCTTCGTACCCCTCTTTCAAGACCTCACGTGATTAATGGATGGCCCTAAGCTCTATAATGATTTAAAGTATTATCTACATACGTATAGAAAAACATACACTGACTAAAAACATAATTGTGTGCATTTTAAAATTACGAGTACTTCAAAGTACATTGTGTCGTACGTATGAGTTATACAGTCATATCATTAAATTTTACAATAAGCCAGTTTGTATACTTAATTTGTAATAAAAATATTAATTGTAGACAAGGCAATATATTTTACAGTTCGATAAATGTATTGTTAATAAAATCTATATATCCTACTGTGTACAGTAAAATCCAATAATCCCTTTACCACGAGCGGACTCACTCACTCTGGGTTGCAATCTTCGGGTAGGACACAGAAAATTTATTACCATAAAAATAGCCTTCCTACCCTACCGAAACACAGTATTATCATTCACCAGGGTTGAAACCCAGGGACCACGAATTGAATGCAAAGCAAGACAATGTTTCGAAGCGATTAACTCTTACAATTTACAATCATTTTTGTAATTTTATCGTAAGATTAATGTTTGAGCCAACTTTGTAGTTTGGATGTTAGGTAAGTGATAGTCGCGTGTTGCTATCTTAACCGGCCATGGAAGATTTTAATCATTTACGATATCTACAGATCAAAGTTTTTAAGATAATGTTTAAGTTAAACAATTATAGATTATCAATTAAACAACACATTCCACTAAACCGTTTGCAGTTTCATATGTATTTTAGTTTAGTGATTTATTCGGCGCTAGTATCTTCTTTAGAACATTAATTTATTATTTATTAAAATATAATTAGGGCCTTGTATGCACAATAATGTCTTCTATACAAATGTACACGTTATTTTACTGTCTAAAACGACTTCATTCTACTAACTAGGAATTAAAAACGTTAATCAATTAAATAAATTACAGCATTTGAGATTACAAAATTTATTGCGCTAGTCTAAAGCTAAAATAAAATAAAAGGCACTTATAAGAGGAACTTCAAACGACAATAGTGCGGATAAGCATTCAAAGTTCCTTTTTAAATTTCATATACATGAGCGCATTTTGAACTAGAATTGGTAAATAATGTAAAGTTAAAATGACAGAAACATTAATTTTAAAAAATAGTCGTAACAAGACACAGCGAATAAATATATTTACTTAGAATAAAATTCACACTATTATCTCTTGAAGTATAAAAAGCAGTTTTGTGTTACATACAAAAAAAAACAACCAAACTCCAATACATGCCTGCCTTATTCAATCTATTATAACTATAATACACAACGCCGGCCAACTTGGTCTAAAAACAGACAAGAAGCCTCATAGGTGTGGCGCCTAAAAAGCGATCGCATGCTTAGATCAACTAAGCTCAGAGTGTGGCCACGAAACTCTCGCGAGGACTCCATGAGATTTGCAAAATAGATCTACAATCGATAATTTATAAAATATAATAATATATTAAAATAAAGTTTAAGATTTCTTTTTGAAACAATAACTACTTTACGCGTCTTTTAGCAATCTAACGAATCTAATTCAATATTAATTAAGTAGTTTTACTTAAGACGTTTCCTTGTAAACATATTCATACGACTGCGAAACTTTACATAAATATATTTTGTACGATAGTTTTCAGTTGAAATAAAACACTTTAGTTTCACAAATACCAACTACGAAGGAACAGATGGCGCTACCGTAGCATTTTTTACTTATAGATCAGAGACACCCCCCATTTTTAGTGTCCCCTAGGCTGCTGCAAAGCATCCGACACGTCGGGCCGTACTTAAAGTTAATACGTACTTCGAAATCAGGTGACGCTTTAAACCGTTAAAATATTTTATATAAATATGTACTACTCGCGTAAACTACAGATTGTAGTTAATTTTAAGCCTTTTCGAATTCGACAACGATTGCTTTCGCTTATACGCATCGCGAGTTTCGTGGCTTATTGATTTTGACTTAGGTAAATGCTAGAGTACATACTATACTATATCCACATCTTCAGCTCTCTACCTGTTCGTTGAGTTTCTGCGGGATCACCAGGAATGTGGTGACCGTGTTGCCGATTCCCAGTAACAGGAACGATATACTTAACGCTGCCACCTAGTATTTGATGGATTGCGGAAACGGGAGTATTAAACAACTAGATACAGAGTACGGGAAAAGTTTGGAAGATAAAAACAAACACTAAGTGACATTTGGGTACTGAACCTATGAAAGGAACTTTAAGACAAGTTGAAATGAACCTACAGTAGTATGAAAGTGTTTTTATTGTATAATGAAACTCCTTGGTGGTAACTTTTCTCATTACATTGATATACCAACATTTTGTTTAAAAGTCTGTAATTTTTTACGAAAATCATTAAATTGATTTTAGTTATCTCTAAAAACTGAATAACAATTTAAGTCAAAATAATAAAGCACTTTTCTGCTCTGTTGTTTTTGGTGTTATCTTCTAAAATGTATCAGTTATATCAAAACTCTTAATTAAAAAATGTCCAAGATTATCTTTCTATCTAGTACATACCTGCCACGTCGCGTCGGGGTTGTAGCTCAAATGATACAGCGTATACGCAATGTAGAGTTGGAAAATGTAACCGCCGAAGAGAAACGGTAACAGGTAGGAGAGACCCCGCCACATCCATGAGTGGAAACCCTCTATCGTTATATCCATGTTATGTCTAGCCCCTAACGCCTTTAGCCGATAGAGAACGCCGCTCTGATACCGAAACTGCATATATTGTACGACACCTGTAAGTAACGGAAAATCATTACAGTTTCATGTCCCATGTTTGAGATGCTTTAGTGCAATCGAGGTCATGGTGGGACTAAGCTGTGGTTTTCAATCTAATTCATATAATGCCATCGTAAGGAAATAATATATATTTAAGCTTTCAAATCTTATATAAACTCAATCAATTTTGTCTTACAGAGGTAGTCTTAGCTAGAGCTAGAATTTCTTCCGAAAAAGTTCTTTCTTTACAACCGTCATCTTCCTTGATTGAAAAATATTTAAAATATACTTATGCATAAAGAAAATTAACACAGAGATATACAGAGAGTATAACGAAAAAATAATTTATATAGCTTTTGGTTAAAAAAAATGTATCTGAATATACATTATTTTACATTAATATATTAAAACCGAATAATATAACTTCTTATCGCTTGCTTTAATTATTAAAATCGGTTTTCAAAATTGCATTTAACAATGATGCAAAAAAATGCAAAAAATAATTGAGATAGTGAAATTTTTTATCTTGATGGAAAGTTTAATCTGGCTATCATAGTTATCTGCAATGCAAGCCAATCCCTATAAAAAAAACATTGGTTGACAGATTCATTGAACATACATTTACAATAAATGTTTGCAAGTTTAAAACTATCTATGTATAGTTTGCGTCTATTAGTCAACTGATAAGTTCACATTCTAAAAACTCAAAGATGACGCCATACAGAGTGGTGACGTCATCTTTGAGTTAATGCAAATATTTAGACGTCTTTTAATTTTTGTTAAATGTCTGATAAAGGCTTCCTATTAGCTTTTAATCATTTTTTTCAGTTGATTTAAGGTAATTTATGCAAAAACCATTATAAGTATGTATTTATAGACTGTATCTTTGCTTTTTTAAAACTAGTTACGGCGAAAGTATTTGGATATAGTATAGCTATTTTGCGATACTTACTGATATAAGCGATGAACCACATGAATGTATGTTTAAACTCCTCCCAAGACTCGTTCTGTGGCCAGATAAGGAGGATCCCAGCGACCACGGTCGATATGAAGTGGTGGAGCCTCCACCAGCCCTTGATTCGGGAGCCGTTTACTTTCAAAATGCTCTCGCGTATCGTCAGCGTACAGTAGTACCACACAAGGAGGAATATCAATATTAATTGTAGCGGCCTGTGGGGAGACATTTTTTTTTATGAAAGAGGAGACAAGCATGGCCTTCACTTGACGGGAGGTGAAATACCCCAGCCATATAACATCTACCCAAAATTGCTGTGGACCTATTTGGCTTGAATTCGGAAATCCAGACTGAAACCTAAACGCGAAACTTCACGGATTTTTCATCGAGGTGGTTCAGACCCGGACGGAATTTCAATATCCTAAACCCATTTATAATCCAGATTTTTAGACGAAGTCCAACATGTTTCAGAGTGGTGATAAGTAAATGCTTACCTGAAATCTATATATAAATTTGCAACAGCTAAAACAAAAGCTATGGCACTCAGGATCAATTTGAATTTTTCATATTCATCTTTATATTTGAATCTGAAAAAAATGTTTAATCTTTAACATAATAACAACACTATATCATAGAAACAAATATGCCTAAAATAATAACGACAGTTCTTTTTTATTACGCAGAGATTTAAGATCCTTTCGAAATAGAGATAAAATAAATAAACATTATTTCCTATTATGACTACAATAGGAAGAAATATATTTTTAACAAAATTCTCTTGTAATTTGTTAAACAAATAAGATACACAGTACAGTCAAAAACGATCTCCTAAAAATATTTCCTGTCATGTTTAAAAGATTGGCATAACGTGAAATCCCGCCTCCCGCGGGCATGGGGGCGAACACATTTCTATGTCCGTTTCACTCAACGGTCCTTTTATAGGCAATTAGTTGATCAGACTGGTGTGACCGGCCCGATTGATATTATCTATTTTTTTCTATATTTTCCTAGGATTCGAACGCATCACTTCTCCCTTAACACAAAGGCAACACGTTTAAACATTTAGCTACATAGTGGGTCCATCTAATAAAAACATCTTTAACCCTTACAACACCATAATATTGATGCAATAAATAATTGAAAAACCGATAACGATTTTTGTAGAAAGGACAGATATCTTCTTAGAGCATTGAAGGGTTAAAAGTTATTGCATTTCTAAATAATAAAGATAGGTACTTTAGACAAACATTTGCATTACAATCAATTACAATATGGGAAAGTAGCAATATTTTATTTAGATAAAGCCTAATGACACATACTTATCATTCTTATTTAGGATGGAGACATTCACGTTGCCAAGTATAATTTTTAAATAGAGGCTATTCTGTTTGGGCAAGGTCGCTTCAATTTCATGTAACATGGCTTTCCTCTTCATAATTTCCTTCTCCAAATTCGCTATCCGTTCATCTTTTGTGTGCCCTTTTTTCTCCAACCTATATACATTAAGACATAGTAAAGAAATTACTCATCAACAGGCTGATAATATGATCTAGATCAAAGTTCCTTTAATAGTGACATCTCATTCAGTGGGGAACTCATTCTGAGTCTGTATCACAAATTGGTTATATATGCAGGCAGTAGTTGATCAGTGTTCTATGCCCTGTCGACCGACACATCTATTGTTATTCTGGGATTCAAACCTAGGACTTCTCACTCCTAGTGCTAGCTATCATTTAACCATTTAGCTACAGAGGCTGTCAGCTTGTTTTATGAAGGATATAGGACAGAAAAGTTTTTCATTGTTGGTACTAGAAACTTAAGTAGGTTGACAATACTATGCCTATGGTTTTATTTATTAAGAATATTGAATAAGCTATTAATTACAAATTTTATACAAAAATGAAACAATGGTTAATAAATATGTCTAATCATCAATTAAAGGAAATAATACCCCAATAAGTTATACAGTGATAAAACTCCAGTAACAATTATCAGATTTCACTGTTTTACAAAATTTATCACAGAATTATTGTTATCATGGATTTAAAATATATTTTTATAATATTGTATTAATGTGTGGATTAGGTAACCAGTGATTGAGAGATAAGGAATTTTATTTCATGGAAGTTGCTTTTCCTGGAAATGTTTTTAACATTGGTATATGGCATAAAATTATCAATAATAATAAGTTTTCCTATAGATATTTGAAAGCTTATGAATTAATATCTCCAGGCATTGATTATTTGGTTTTGTCAAAAACCATGCTTAGCTAAAACAGGATGCACAGTTTGTTAGTATTTTTATACTGGATGATAACAAATAAATCTCAAATAATTTAGCATTATGAATATATATGTTCACAACTGAAATCGTAGTTAGTAATTTAACTTTTAATATTGCTTGTTTTCTTGCATAACTTGTATATAGACAAACATGGTCTAACTGGCAAGCAATTAACACTATGTTTACAAAGATAACTGACTATAATGATACATAGTTTTCTAAACAAGTTTATATCTACAGGGGAAATGATATAAATAATGATCAAACTGACCTTTTAAGTGCATTAGTTATGATGGACATACGATATTTTTGATGGTTCAATTCTTTGAAACATGATGCCTGAAGCTCACCAACTTCTTCCAACTTTGTTGCATACTCTTTGTTTATTGTCTGTAGAAAAATAATCATTCAATATATTTAGTCCCACTTTGCAAAGAATGTTACGTTATACAACTCTAATTGAATACCTCAATCAAGTTTCCTTGCAGAATCTTATTAAAAAGTATTGTATTAACTTAGACTTATTTAAGAAAATTGCTTTTGTTCTATGGGCAAGGCGTAGTATATGACCACATGCATATAATAACAAACAGTATAACAAAGCAAGGCAATATAAATATGAGTAACTACGTTACACCTTCAATACAAATAAATTTAACATACCTCTAATCGTTTGTAATCGACAATCAAATCTTCCCATTCTTTTAAACATTCTGATACCTCCATGTTCATTTTGACTAAACTAAACTACGAATTCACCAAGAGTATTGTACTAATAGTGGAATTTTAATTTACAAAGCCGATTTTCATCATAATATTTCTTAACAAAAGTAAAACACTTAAGAATAAACGACTTAAATCAAGAATGTTACTGATATTCTTTCGATTCCCGAATGAAATATCTGACGTTCATGTGATGTATCAATGTTGACACAGTGACATTACGTGTACTGCCATTTTTAATTTTACGTATTCTATATAAACCACAGGTAATAAATACTTAGTTTTTTTTTAATTTGCATCCATCAATAACGTTAAAATTTATAATTATCCTTTAAAAGGAATACAAAGATATTTTATTTCTGTTCTACATCCATATTATAAAATTGTACAAATTACTTGAATTCTCTCAAAAAGGCTAGCCTATAGGTATATTAATTCGATCGATGTAATTTGTAGGAAACAATTGGGGCATAGTAATTTTAGAATAAGCAAAGGATTGATTGACTTGCTGATTTCTTTGTCTTCTTATAATAAAGTTAGGGGCTTATAAAATGTGAAAGGCAAAAAATAAGAGACATGATTATTGACATATTTGATTTATTTACAGAAAATATTAGACCAAATTCTATGAAATTTTGGTAGGTAAGTCCTATATAAATTTAGATAAAATAGAGCGACTGGTTACATAGGCACCTCTCGTTGATAGAACTGTCTTCTAGTATTTCAGAATCGAGAGGCTGAATCCAACGTTAGAATAAGCTTGTTGATATAGGTGCAAGAACTGTTCTTGTTTCGTAATACAAATTCTTATTATAAACCGTACAATATTATTTGCAAGCTTTAACTTCTCTCAAGGAGATTATATAGGCAGAGACTGGGAGATTTATTAAACATACACACAACATTACTGGTAAAGCTTTTGTGTGATTTGTTTCAGTTCTACAACCGGCAGAAAGACAGCGTGCAGTGATCTATAGCTTAAACCTAAGACAAATTACACAACATGAGTATCAATCAATCTGTTACAATGCACCTTCATACAATTGCTTTCCTATCGCCCCTATAATCTCCTTGATCACTAGTTAACGATCTAGATAAGCAAGTTACCATGCAATACAATGCTATGCGAAATCTCCCGCATCTAGGCGCATCCAGCAAACATGAATATTCTTGAAATAATCATTTCACTGCTATTAATTCGATATTCAACTGCTAGCACTGCAAAGCTTCTAATTTTACATTCTATGTTCTACTCCTATAATCTAGAAAGTCGGCCAACCAAATTCCAAAATTTCAATAAATAACAAAGAAAATATTTCAAACAGGCATCAATAAAATTATCTTTGAATCTAGCTACCTCAAACGGGATAGAAAATTATCATTAATTATTATTAGTATTAATTAATATATCACACACTTCAGTTTACGTAAAACTATTGTATGATAATATAATCAAACAACTTACGTTTATTAATAACGCTATAGTAAACTTAGAACGCTGCATAAAAAACCGCTTACTTGCAATTTATGTGCTACAAAATAATTTTGTTTGAGACATTAATTAATAAAATAATTATTTATTGAACATGTAAATAAATAAGTAAAAAATTAAATATACACTCTAACTTATAGTTAAAGTTTTGAATTGACAAAACTTAAAATAAGTTCTCTGCAATTACCCATAATACAAACACAAGTTACATCCGTCGAGCATATGATGAAATTGCGAGGACTGTTTTTCTAACTGTCCCTTGCCGAGACACGGTCAGGTCTAGAGACATTTTTGATAGCGTTTATGAGTCAAACATGTACTTTACTGAGAGCTACTTTGTTGCGGAGAAATCTTTCGTAATCATTAATGCTGTTGGCTAGTGCTAACAAGCATAATGAGATCATACAGACAAAAGCTTTATGTACAAGGAGACTGAGTATGTGATGAAAGTGAACAATTCCATATCGATTGTCATGAATTGAACTAAATTACCAATAAAAAGTAGTGGACACAAATTAACTATACCAAATAAAGTTACATCTAAACATAGTTATCAATTAAAAAAGTAACTAGAAAATAAAACAGAATAATGAAAATGTTAAATTATAACACAGACTGACTCCTCGCGTTGTTTTGCGGCTGGTGAAGACTGCGTCGTTTCATTTCAAGTGGTACGTCTCCACTGAGCGAGCGAGCGCTATGCGGCTATCTCTCTCACGTTCCCACTCTTTAATTAGCCGAATTTTAGTTTATGATCGAACTTAATGGAATGTGTCCGTATAGAGCAGAGTAATTGTCAAACAGACGCAGATTCACCTAGCACCCACAAACATTAGGGTAGAGGAAAAAAAATATCAATAAACGATCGAAAATATGTTCTTTTCGTTTGAATGATTCCACGTTTACCGAAACTTATGATTCGTTTCATGTAGCTTTCGTAATAAATGTGAAAAAATTAATGATATAGATATCATCGGTGAGTTTAGGTTACTAAAATGGCAATGCTATTAACGACACTCCCAAACTTTCACGGTCTGATCGACGCTGCCCGAGATGACGTATGGCAAGTTTTTGTGGAAATCTGAAAAAAAAAACAAACATCATGAAAATATAAATAAAACTAACGTTAATTTATTTTTTAAATAAAAGTTTGCCAAGTTAAAAAAATACCCTAGTTTCTCACGAAGTACGAGATTTTATTTAATCCTTTGAGGAATAAATAATTTTTAAATCGTAAACCTTAAATATGTCACACGTTAATAAAATGTCAATACTGACGAAATCGCCTTTTATATACATAATTCTAGTCTGTGTCAATGTTTTACTACCATTTTATTTCATAATATAAAATAAGTTTCAAGTCCTTACCGACGCTGGTGGCGAAATGTTGGTGCGCGTACAGTGTCTTCAGGCAGCGCGTGTGCGCAACGTCCCAGACGCGCAGGGTCTTGTCGTCGGAGGCTGTGAGTAAGTACCTACCGCCGGGATGCCAGACAGCGCCTCGCACCCAATTGTCGTGGCCCACAAGTGTGGCTAGACATACGCCGGTGCTAACGTCCCATATCTGGTAAAAAATACACATAAAAAACTTTCTTTATATTTTTACTCTTTGGCAGTATGCCAAGTTTAGGTATATCTGAAACAAATCCTTATATCTAAGTAATAATAGTTCGACACTTTTTCTTTATTTAGTATATTTAATTAACTTTAAAACCCGAAATGGTTTTCGTTAGCTTACTTCGTAGCAACCGCGACCACGGATCAGGAACGTCAGATCACATAGTTAAAATAAATTGTAAGTTAAGCTACATTTCGCGTTTTAAACCGTTCAAAGTATTTTATTTAAATGAATACTAGTCGCATGAACGACAGACTAAACCTCCGCTCCATATTGGTCTGTCCTCTTGTATGATAAAAAAATATCCCACTTCTGATATACCCACCTTAACAGATTTATCTCGTGATCCACTCGCCAAGAAAGGTCCAACGTGGTTTGCTCTGCGGTTATCTCCGCCCGCCGCCTCGTTGATAGCTGCGGCGGCACTTTCGGGCGCCCAAGCGACACACTCCACTACGTGTTCGTGTTCACGCAATTCAACCTGTTTATAGGAAGTATATACATACGTAGAGAAAAATGTAATCCTCCTTATTTGAAGTTCAAAGTACACTGTGTGTTAAATGTCACTTAACGCTCAGTGACATTGCCTATATTATATTATTTACACATGTAAATAGTAATAGTCAATAAATCCTTACAGCCTCTCAGAGAAAATCATTTAAGCTTAATTTATTAACGTAATCAGAAGAAAATATTGAGATTTATCGACGACTTTCCGAATGCAGATATATAGAACAAAGGACGGTAACTGTTTTGTTTACAAGTAAGTAACTTAATCTTAATTAATAATCAATGTTATTGAAAAATAAAATAATATTTTAGGTTATCACCTTGCACTCATTAGTGTCAGCGTTCCATATGCGCACGGTCTGGTCGTTGGAGCAAGACGCGAGAAGAGTGCCGTCGGCAGAAACGCGAACCATGCGCACCCACTCGCGATGACCCTTGTACGTCTTGACACAATATCTAGAAATAATCATCAGAATTAGTAAACGAAGAAGTTTGAAGACAGAAGCTGATAGGCTTGTTGGTGTAATGGCAACAATATACGGCTAATGTCGCGGGTTCGGGTCCATGTTTCTAATCAGTTTATAATTTTTCTGAAAATTGATGGACTTTGTCTGCAAATGCCATAAACCACCAGTTTAATCACTTTTCGGTTTCAGTCTGTGGATATGGAGTATCCAAAGCCAAAATACGTCGACACCGCGTCTTGTTTTGATGCTATAGGCTGGGATATGCCATCTACCATCAAGTGAACCATGGTTGTCTGTCCTCCTCTATTATTGAAAAAGTAAACTTTCCCACAGCTGGGACTGCAAAAATTGTATTTTAAGTTCTAATAACTGCAACTGAATAAAGCGCCATCTAGTGATATTTCGATACCTCAAGCGTTTTGACAAAAAAATTTTGTAAGCACCAGGTTCTAGATTCTACCCACATTCAACTTACCCAGTAGCAACCTCCCAAGCCTTGATAGTCTTATCCCGGCTGGCCGAGTAGACAATGTCCCCGCTGGGGGAGAAAGCGACCGAAGACACGTTGTGGTCGTGCCCGTGCATCGTCTTGACGCACTCGTACGTCTGGTTGAAGTCCCACAGCTTGATAGACATGTCCGCACTGCACGATACTGGAATGAACATCAAATAACAATAATCTCTTTTAAAACATATAGTTCATAGCACAACGTCATCATTAGAATTACAATTGACATATATTTTTGGCTTTTAAATATAGGTTAAATCAAACACTTTAGGGAAGACTATCTCCCAGAGACCACGGCTGCTGCTAAGCATCCGACACGTCGGGTCGTAGTTAATTCTTTTTTCAAAAAAGCTCAACTCATTTATATATTGCGTTTTAAACCGTTATCACCGTTAGTGTTTTAATTAAATGTTTACTGCTGGCGTTAACTACAGACAGTAAATAGTACAATCACCATAATATATGACATAGTTGTACAATTAATTAAGTCAATTATTTAAAAAAAAATACTTTAAAGACATGGCGCTTACTTCAAAAGTTTTATACAATAACTCTTTGATTAGGATGTTTTAAACGTTATTTATTATATACTTTTGCAAAAATATTAAAATTACATTTATTGAAATTATTAAAATTTTATTTATTACAAAGAAAATAATTTTATTTTACCCTAATTAACATGAATTATATGGGATCATCATTTACTTGTTGGATAAGGTTTGAACATTTTTAAAATTGAATGAAATCTCACCCAATAAGTTTCCATGATGATCGAACGCGATATCTTGAACAGAGTCGGTGTGACCTTTCAGGGTTCGTTCGAAATCGCCGTTCTCAAAGTCCCACACCTTGATGGTGGCGTCTTCGCTCGACGACACCAGTAAGCTGAACACTGGATGAAATATTACCTGGAACGTGTCAATTATTACATTAAGATTGGATCGCTTCATATCATTTATAAACTCCAATTGGTCTTCTAATTGATTAATAATATCAAGCGAAAAGGTTCATAACAAGAAATGGTAATACAATTGCTAGAGGAAGTATCTTTATCTAGCTTAGGTAGCAATGTATGGCTAATGTCGTTGGTACAGATCCAACATATGTCTAATCAATTTATATTTTTTATGAAACATGTTAGACCTCGTCCGAAAATCTGGATATTAAATCTGGGTCAAAAACTACAGTCAGACTGATGAAAAAGGGGTGACTTGTCGCGTTTCGGTTCAGTGTGCGGATTTCCGAATATCCAAAGACAAAATAGGTCACAACGCAGTTTAGGTATGCATATGGCTGGGGTATTTCCTACCATCTGCTCATCTGCGGTGTACCCCATGATTGTCTATCCTTCTCTAATATAAAAAATACAATATACTGTCTCTCTTACTTTAGTAATAGTAGCTCGATGGCCAGTAAGGCTGAACTTTTCGGGTGGCCTAGGGATCCACTCGGTTGGCGTGCGTTTCGCACGCGTCGGTGCGCCCTCTATGAACTCTTTCTGTGCCTCGGACAGCTTCGACTCCAGTTCCATGACCTGCCAAATAATAACACAAATAGATAAATATACATATATTTAGGGTAGAATATGGACTCTCCAACATTTATAAAGGACATTTTACATCATCCTTTAGATTTAGAAGAGACGAAAAAAATGTAATTTTTTACCTACACAATAAAAAAATCCTTTTTAAGCTGACTGTAATGGTTTAAAACGCGAAATATAGTAGACAAACTTATTTTTATTACGGCCCGACGTTTAGTAGTCTTTGCAGGAGCAGCGATGAGTGGTGGGGGGGGGGGGGGATACGGGTCAGCTGATAGTTAAAATATTTCACATAAATTGCGCGCTTTAAAGTGGTTTATTTAAATATGGACAAATATTTGTGCTTATTATTTTTTGGCAAAGAATTTATTTTAGAGTTTAAATTGAAGAGTTATAATTATTTACTTTATTCTCTTAATTAAAAATTAATGTTACTACACGTCACGCGCTGATGTTATTAATACGTAAGTTACACGCTAAATGAGTTGTGTAGAGACTGAGCTAATCATTAGAAATTAGTATAAGTTCCTGTATCCTATGGTAAACTTTTATAATAAACATAAGAGGTCCTGGGTTTCAATCCAGAGATTATGTGTGTGTGAAAAGTTTATAGAATATATAGTATCTGACAAAATTCTTTGGGAGACCGAGAAGCTACTAGTGTTTAGCGAGACCTATTGAAATGCGATGAAAGTAGAATAGTTTGCAATATAGCGACAAGAGATTGCACGTATTGCAAAAAGGTAGTAGGTTAATTGTGTTCGCTCGCGCATTAGCCTATTATAACTGTCATTTTAATCGATGATAATGTATGCAACTTAGATGAGCCGCTTAGAACTAGAATTAGCGGCGCACAGACAGTTTTTAATGTAACAAGGCGAACGATTAACATAAAGAAAAACTCTCAGAGCAAGTTTGTTAATATATTAGGCAGCTAGAGGCAGAGTGGCCTAATAAAACATGATTGATAGGGAGAAAAATTATTAATTAACTTAGGAGAAAATGAATTTGTACTGTTATTTGTGTAAGAATTAAATCAACAATTTTCGGTCATTGTGCTCTTGTAGACTAACATTTTTAGGTGGCGAAAATTTTATAAACTTAAAGTTATAAACTTGCAGTTAGGCTACTCTGCGTCTAGCTGTCTCATATACCTGTAGAATTTTATTTTTACATATTTGTTTACAATTATTTTAGATAAAACACTTAAGACGGCAAAGCCTAAGACATGAAAGATGAGACAATAATCTGTTTTAAAAAGGGAACCTTTTAGACCTACGTACGGACGTACTATTATTATTACATACATGTATATTACTATAGCTAAAATATGAGAGCAAGAGATGAAATGTACGTCCATTGTAGGCCTGACGGCGACCTAGAAACGTCGCCGCAGCGATCGATACGTTCCATTCCCTAGGTTAAGCTTCGCCGTATCATGAGCCAACTTTACTGCGAATGGGAGAAACATTCGCGAGTCGTGCCTTGAATGAGATTTTGCAGAGCATATGTTCAATTTTCAGATATTTTATGTGGTACTTGTTTATGAATTAACAAAGAAAAGAAAAACCTGGAAAACTTGATGCGGTCTAACTAAATCTACCCTGTATATACCTCTACATCATGTAATTTATAAACAAATAACGGACAAGGTAAAAAAAGGCTTGTCTATATTTACGTAAAATAAATTAAGGGACAATAGACAAGGGGTAACCACGTACAACATATCTTAGTGTACTGTGGAAGTAACTATTTGAAATAACTTTAATTACTATAGCTAATCTAGAATATAAACTATTAGTTACGTGAGCAAGTTAAAAAATAATTAGCTTAATTGGTTGAAGCCAATCATTTCACCCTAACAGGTTATCTAATAGCCTTGAAAGGGGTGACCGTTTCTATTAGGGTGCAAAATATCACACAGCGTGACAGCGTTTAAAATTGAAGAAAATTTATTGAAAACTAGGAAACCCCGTATCACAGAAATATATAATACTAGCGGCCCGGCCTCCCCTGCGGACGGGTAGACATAAATAAGTACAGATATTAAAATTATAAGCATGCTAATTAAAACGACCATGAATCACTAAATTAAAAAAATATATATATTCGGATAAAAATTTATAAATGGTACGGATAACACGGTCTGATTTTGATCGGCATTTCTATCAATTTGTTAAATGTAAAAAAGTAGTTATAGCGACGTAACTACAATCGTTAGACATATGCTCTCGCGATGTTTTTTGTAGATATTGATATATCCTATAATATTGTGAAACATTTTTTTGTCCTATCATTAATACCTTTCGCAGCGTATGCGAAGAAAGACATTTTACGGCTAATTTTTTTACGCCTTCCGTTGGTTTTAGTAAGAATTTCTATAGATGCCTATAGTTAGTAATAAGCCTATGTTACTCAGTGATAATGTAGCTTTCTAATGAAAAAAGAATTATTAAAATCGGTCCAGTACTTTTTGTGCTTACCCCTTACATACAAAAATACAAATCTTTCCTCTTTTATAATATTAGTATAGATAGCGACATATTTCTTGTGGCCGTTACATTAACTCATTTTCGTTTCCAACTTTCATTATAATTTTGAAAATTAGTTTATTGTTATAACAAAAGCTAATAAGAATCAATTTCCATGACAAAATTTTGTCAAGACACACTGAAAGCAAATGCTGGTTAAATCAAAATAAACGTACGTCATTATTTTCAAGAGGGAAACTGCGAAGTTAGAAAAGTACGTGGGCGGGAACGTGACCCTATTATAAGCTTTACAAAACGTTACTTTAATATTGCACTAGATTTTTTTATAATCCAAACAAAACAGTTCAGACTTTACTCACGGTATTTCTTTCAAAAATATTTTGTTTTTTTAGTGGGGTTTTCATTTTAAAGGGTCAATCTTTGCAGTAGGGAATTTTTTAAGTTTTTAGGTCTAATAATAGTAAATCACTGCTGAACAGAGGTGATTTTAGTTAAAGGGTCAATAAAACACATGTGTACATCGCACGATCGAACTTCGGACGTCGCAGCTCTTTGCATGGTGCGCAAATGTATATATTATGTTTATAGAGTTGAATTATAATTGAGTAGATAATAACAAAGGAGGTGCATGAATGTTAAATGGGGTAACATGATCTCGATGCGGGTCAACAGAACAAGTTGATACGCTCAAAAATGCCCTTTTCTGATTTCATTTGACGGAAACCAAACGTGTATGAACGTGTGAAAAATGATCACATTTATACCCATAATGCAACATATTCCATCTTTTAATTAAGCTTTTTCAGACTTAATTAAAATACAATAAAAATGAAAGCGTAGCATTTCATTGGTCATTAATGTGTACATATTGAAATAAAAAAGTTAATACGACCCGAACTCCCGTTTTAAACCGATAAGGTGTTCTATTTACCATTATAACCTATTATACTTTAGCTATAAAACACCGGATGACTTAAAAGGTTTTTTTAACCAATAGAATACTTGAAAAGGTACTAAGTTATAACTCGCAAGTCCTTACCTTCTTCTGTAACCTGATGACCGATGTCCACTTCTTCTCTAGGAGTCCGCCAAACTTGCGATCCATTTCGCCGGTCATGTCCGCTTCTTTCTTGAACGCTTCCAGCGCGTCCGTGTACCCATTGCTGCCCAAGTAATCGGCAATGGCTTTGTTCCTGTAAAGCACAATTTATCCTCAGTAACGCAATTTCTACCATATTTCCGACTACGAGTTGGGCCAGATACTTAAAGAAAACTTCAAATACTTTGAAACGAGAGCGAATTGAAATATCGTATGTGTGACGTGTGTTTATTACAAACCCAAATATACAATTGGAATGGATTTACATCTTGAAAATAGGTTTAAACGAACAGTACACATTTAAATAATTTTTTTATTTATTTTAACTACGACCTCACGGCGCTAGTGTTTGCAATTGTGACTTAGGACCCCCTCCCCCGTGACCACGGCTGCTGCAAAGCATTCGGCGGGCCGTAGTTAAATAAATTAACTAGTACATATCGCGTTTTAAACCGTTAAAAATGTTTTGTATATACATCTCGAGAATACTTGGTGAAATACCCAGATATTCAAATTGAATATTGAAATTGTTTAATACTTAACAAAGCTACAAAACAACCGTTATATATACAGTTATATACACTTGCAATATAAATAATTCGTACTAATTTAGTATGCAAATGAAAAGAGGAATATTGATGAGCATTAAACATTCATCCTAGGTTTTATGCAAAAAAATAACGATTACGTAGATCTACTACTGCAAGTTATACTCGCTTCTTTAGGACTAATACAGAAGAAGTAAAGAAGTTCATAACTCAGAGTACGTTTTTTTTCATGATAGAGGAAGATAAAGGTCATCACTTGATGGTATAGCATCTAAACAAGATGCGCTGTCGGCCTATTTACGGAGTATCTTTGGATATTCGGTAATCCACAGACTGAAACCGAAACGCGATTAAACCTCATGACTTTTCAACTATGGAGGGTGGCTGCTCGTAATCCGGAGGGAATTTCTATATTCCTACCACCCATTTTTACGGCAATTTTTTTACGCCTTCCGTGGGTTTTAGTAAGAATTTCTATGGATATCTATAATTGAGTGCTAAATTATTATATTACTCAGTGATAATATAGCTTTCTAATGAAAAAAGAAATATTAAAATCGGTCCAGTACTTTTTGAGTTTACCTGTTACATACAAAAATACAAATCTTTCCTCTTTATGATTTACTGTTGATACAAAATGTTGTGAACACCTGCAGTTTTAAGTAATTTTCTAGAACATATAGGAAACATAGGAAGTAACTTTTCCTAAACAGATAACGCGTCCTTGTTAGGTAGTTATGGAGGTATATTGTATCCGCTTTAAAGTACTTTAAGCTGTTGTATGACTCAAATATCTCTCAAAGGAAATACCAACATGTCAACGTCCAATGTATTTCTGAAGGCGGCGAAGTTAGGAACACAACTTACAATCTACGCTTCTATACTAATATTATATAGGTGAAAGAGTTAAGACGCGGTAATCTCAAATTGCGGATTGAATTCTTTTTATTTTTAGGTTATAAAACATCACGCTGCGATCAATAGGAGCGAACAGTGGGATATATGTAACGCTGTTGCGTGCGCTGCGAAAAGTGAAACCAAAAAATATGAATTTAAGATTGATTCTTCTTTATAATGTAAATAAAATGTCGATGACAAAATATGTCTATCGTTTAAGATTAACTCGCAAGAACGACGGAACGCGGACGAAGTCGCGAGCACAGCTAGTTAAATATATAATATACATGTCATTCGTGCAATATGTTATCTAAAAAATATATACTAGTTAACTCGATACACATTAATTTACATTTTAAACTGCTTTAAATGATTAATACATTACACCGCTGCTGTAAACCACCCGAAACGTCGGGCCTTACAAACTTAAAAATTTAGAGAATATTTTATCTTAGTTTAGCTCATTTTGCTCATTTTTATATTATTGTCATTAGCTTTTATTATTATAACTAGTTTAATTAAGTGACTAACCTATTCTGCTGCCACGCATACCTATTTTATTACGTTTCCTTTTTTTACCGCAATTGCTTGAAAGAGATAGCTATAAAGCCGACGTTTGTTTAAATTCTACCAATTTTTATTTATTGTTATGTTTTGTTTAAGTACAGTTAACTATATCGAATAGTCTTTCAGGTTATTTCATACATTAATTGGATACAATTAAAAGGGACTATGAACGGCCAATTTACGAGTTGATGTCATCGTCTTTATCAATGTCAAGTAACGCACCTGTACAGCTTCACACATTCACAGCTGCCCAGAAATTATTTTAAGACCACCTTTTAGCGTTTAGCGTTATTCCTTAGTGTCCGTAATGTTTTTATTTTACGCATCTTTAGCATGGCGGTATAAATTACTTTTTGTACTCCTAAGAGTTCTGTGTTGTTAGTGCAAATGACCATTCTAGATTATTCTCGTTAAAGTCAGTCTGAATAATGCAAATAATTTTTTGCCGAAAAAGTCTATTTTTTAATGGCCTAAATAGGAGAAACAACGTTTATAGTAGTACGGACATAATAGTTGTCAAGTATGTCTATATCATATATTTCTTTTTTTTATTAATAAAGAAGCTGTGTATTGTGTAAAATCTATAACGAGCAATTAATTCAAGCGAGCCGCACTAATCATGAATCAGATTCATACATTATACTAAATCTTTCAAACGTTGAAAAGTTGAAAGTCACGCGAAGTACACAGTGTGACTTTCTAATACCAATAGTATAAGTTTGATCAGAATTATTTGGCATGTAATGATCCTCATTTAAATTTACAAAACTATCTAGTCACGATGTAAAAGGGTGTTACAAAGGGTTCATATTCAATATAACACCTTTTTTTTAGATTGTATTGTCTTAATATGACTGTAATACACTAATAATAAACGTTATATGCTAATCAAAATTAACTCGGACATAACAAATACGTATTTTTATATTAATAAATTACGGATCTTTCAAAAATATTTTAGCATTCCATTGATTTCTTTTTTCGAGTGATTTAATCACTTACAATATTGGACGTAAAGTCAAAGTACAGTACGAAAAATTTGAAGCAAATATCTGTGTCCCTTTCTCAGATCGATGTTTTATGACAGGGGAGAACAAACGAGCATTGGGGGTTCACTTGACAGAAGGTGAATGACTCCAGTCCTATTGTATCGTAGTGATTTTGGGCATCACATAAACCTCCTAGTTTTATAAATATATGTGTTATCCAGAGTGTTCGTCCCGTTTTTGCGAGATAATCCCAAAGGATTCACATACTGTTGCAAACATCTCCTTTTTACCATTAAAGAGAGAGAGAGATGAAGAGAGATTATTGTTTCAAACGTATTTATTAGTTGCTTGGTCCATCGCAGCACACGCAACGGAACCCCTATACAATTAATAATATTCCCCGTCATGAAACCTTCCTCGATAAATGTATAATATTTCAATTCAAACCACCGGTTCCTGAGGTTAGCGCGTTGAAACAAACTCTTCAGTTTTATAACAGTATAGATTACACTTGGGTACCTTGCTCACCAGCTAGGCGAATAAAAACCACGGAATGTTCCCATTCAGTGCGACTGAATGAATTTTAATTTCTCGCCCGTTTGATATGCCAAGTAGTAATGTGTACCTGGTGAAACTAAATCGATTGTGAAGACAATCACCGCGGCCGGTGTTCCCATTGTTCGCGTGGGAGTAATCAAGTTAGACCTTTTATTTTCTGCGAGTGAAAATAATTTCGAAACGCGACAGCGGATCATATTTTATCTGTATCTTGGGGTTTAGTGTATAATAGCGTAACGTATGTTAACGTAATGATGAAGCACATCGCCTGTGAGCTGTGGTTTTATTAGGGATGATTCGCAATTTCAAACAGGATTTTACAATTTTGCAAAAAATAGTTTTTAATTCATGAATTTTATTCGCAATTAATACATATATTCGCAAATCAGTATCTTATTTTCGCATTAAATAATTTTTAATGAATAAATTTACTTTTTGGTTAGAAAAAATAGCCAATTAAGCTTGTATTTAGTTAAGATTGAAAAGAGAACAATGGATTATATTGTTTTAGGGAATAAAACAGTTACAAAACATACAAAACTTGGCCCTTAATAAAAATTAAAAATAAGTTAACTAATATATTTTGTGATTTCAACCGTTAAAAAGTGATTCATTAAAATTTTACTACTACCGTAAACTACAGACAACACATACAACGAATCAATTATAAATATTTGCGCTCCCCATTCGGGGCTTGGAGTAGACATGAAAAATCATAATACATTTTATATATCTATATTAAATCCATCTACAGACTTATTAACAGGCATCAACAAACAGAGTTCAACGAACGAGCATGATTATCTCCTAGTCAGTGTCATATTACATAAGAAACAAACCACATGCCTACAGATATTGTTCAAGTATTAAGTAAAACCTTTCTATTCTTAGCATTGTTATTATTGCTTACAAAACAATATATGTCAATTTGAACAGCTGTTCAGCTGACTATTAGTGAATAGAAGCAACCAGCGCTAGTACTAAGTATGGGTTTCTACAAAAGTAGGTATATGTCTCTGTCTGTCTCAAACAAAAACAGCAAATTAACGTCTGCATTTATAGCGAGTTTTTGTACATTACAATTATAGTAAGTGACAGCTGAGCATTTCCGAATGTTCTAGATAGGTGCGGTATTTTAATTTGGATAAAAGAACTAGGGCCGAAGCTAGCATAACAATGGATTAACTATTTTTTTTGGGTTACCTAGAAGACATCGATCGACTTAGCTATAATGTCGCCTTTTAGTTTTATATAACTAAAAATGTATGTAGTAGTTAAGCCGACAAGAAACTTTAAAATACTGTCTATAGTTTACGCGAGTATTACACATTTAAATTAAACACTTTAACGGTTTAAAACGCCGTATATTAATTAAACTTATTTGAAAATTATTTTTAACACGGGTCTCCCCGTGACCACGACTGCTGCAAAGCATCCGAAACGTCGGGCCGAAGAAAATCTTTTTTTTAAGGATGGGATAGTTAATATATAATTATATATATGGGGGAAAATGTTTGTCTTTTTGTCAAATTCTA